TAGCAGAGGGTAAACATCTATACCTACCAGCTATTTTTGCCCAAAAACAAACGGGTATACTAAGGGTGAAATGAGTTGTAGATTGTAGACAATATTAGGAGATGGCCATGACCAAGTGGGCAGGGTGATTTTGCACCCAATAAGGTGAATAATTCTGCGATTTTAAGTGTTTCTGACTCTAATGATAGCTTGCCATGAGAGTGCGAATGTGCTAGAAATTGTAACCCATACATACCTATACCACATGACATTAAATATTCCAGCCATGTCCAGAGTAGGTTGGTGGTTTATGTTATTTTCTTCCGAACATGTTTGAGATGATAATGACTACTTGTGTAATCAAACGTGGCAATGGACAATTCCCTATAGATTGGATATCTAAAATATAAAAATGGAAAAATCATCAGTGGGAGATTGTCCATTGCCATGTCTGAGAACACCAGAAAACAATTGTTTTTCGAGGTTGGGTTGACATCACTAATCAGATAGGCGATGTTTTTGTTGAGGCATCACGTTGGGACCTGCAAGTGCAGCTTCTGGATGAGATGCAGAATCACCCTCTTGGAGGCGAAAAAACATGGCGGGAGAAGCAGTTTCCCGATTTTGCTACAAGGTGCCCCAGTGAGGTCAATCGCTAATTTCGCTTATAAGTCTTGGAATACATATATAACTTATAACTATTAACTATCTATCACTAGAGTCTTCTGGCAGAAATATATCGATAGTTAATGGATGTTATTAACCACCTTGTACACCACCAGTATGGTTCAAAACGAATCTCCAACCATTAAAATCTCACTTAAGATCTCATTATCAAGAAACACAACATCATTAAAATTATAGTCCCCATGAAACCATGATATTCCCAATATTCCACATATATTTATAAGTTTTCCATAGCTTTTCCAAGGGACCCCCGAACCGCGCAGTTCAACGGCGCAGCTACCGCCACGTGGCGCTCCTGACGGCCCTGGCGCAGAGTGCGCAGTGGCGCAGGGCCATCCATTTGCTGAGCCAGGTGGGACATGGGGGTTTGGCCTTGGGAAAATTGATGAAAATTATCAGAAGATTGGGAAAGGCATGGGACATTTCCAGAGGTTTCATAATTATCCCACATTTGTTTCATAATAATTATGGAAGATGTATGATGGGAGAATTATGAAACAAATATGGGATAATTATCATATTCTTCCATCACCAATATTCTATAGTATGGGATGGGATAACCCACATTGTAGAACTATCAGGAAAATTGTGGGATAATTCTGGCAATTTGTGGGAAACGTGGAAAATTATGGTAAGGCCTCGGTGGGAAATTGTATGGGAAAAGCATGTTAGATTTATGGGAAAATGACGGGATAATGATGGGACATGGGATGAAGTTGGAAATTATGGGATGCAGTTCTGTAAAACCATCCCCAATGATCCTCCAATAATCCAACAGAGCTGGAAATTTCTGGTGAACCCGGTGCCGAAATGACCTATAGGGCCATATGATGCCATATGTTGGAAGGATACTTTGGGAAAATCGTGGTATGATTACGGATGATTATCATAAACCATTGGTACTTTATGATTAAGGATGATTATGGGATACGGGATAAAAATTATTATGGTAACCATTGGACAATGATAATTTTAAAACCATCCCCAATAGAGACACCAATGGAATTGGTATACCCGTATACCCCATAATGACTCGCATGGAATGTAAAATGACCCCCAAATGGTTGGTTAATAGATGTTTATGGTATGAGGCTTACCACTCTGTAAGGTCTGTAAGGGACCATCGTACTTAGTTATTGGTTAGTAGCCATAGTTGTAATGCTTTTGTACAGGGGATAAGACACGAATCGGGGGCTTACGATCACCAGGATTCTTAACCACTGATGATAATCCAAGTAGTCATCCACCCCCACAATGGAAATCCAAACAGAATGGGTACTGTATGTACTGTAAATCCCTATGAACAATGGTCATTCCCCACTGGGCAAATGCCAATATGTTGTAACTCTTTTCATAATTGGTTGACCAGAGATTTAAGCAACCACTTTTGCGCGAACATCATGGGAATACAATGGGGATATCATTGAATATAACCAACACTATGATCTTTGGCTGTGTTTGAACACTGGAGGTTTTTCATGTTGTTTGATCCAGTGTTATCAGCTGGACATGTCCAATGTTTTCAGACTTCCAATCACACTTCATGGGAATATATTGGAACACGTTGTTTGTTTGAAGTGTGATATATTTACAATATATGGTGGTTTCCTTAAATGAGGGGTGCCCCCAAATCCAAAATTATACAATAGTATTAAGTCACCTATGGTGAGTTGGGGATCCCCTATTTCAAGAAGCCCTAAAATTTTCTGTGCGTCCTGCTGAAACATCTTTGCTTTGTGAAGGGTTGCCAGGGGTATCTCAGATTTGCCAGGTAGATCCTGAGATCTACGTCTTCAATGCAGCCATGAGTGCATGTGCCAAGGTTTCTCAGTGGGCAGCTGGACAGCACGGCACTGGGGTCATCGGGCCGACCAAATTCCAAGGGTCATGTTATTTCATGTTGGTTAAAATCATTACGAAATTTCCCCCATTATATTCCCATAAAAAATCACAATTATATAATTCCATTTTATGAATTCCTATATATGTTGGTTAAACAAGTTAAACCCCCAATTTTTGGGTAAAATGATTGTGACCCATAGCGTGTGCGATACTCTGTTCCGGGAACATGGGATTATCCTCCCAGTTCCTATTATAGGAGTGGGTCAATAGTTGTCTGCCAGCTCAGCAGGTTGTTTCTGTTTGTCATAGATGGGAATATATGAAGGGTTCCATCAATATATATATATATATATACGCGCAAGGCCTGGGCTTTGCCCGAGCGTTGCAGCGTAGAGGGTTCCCATTCCCAATCAAATGTTGTTGCAACTTTACATTCAAGTGGGAAGATCAACCAGGGTATTAGGGAATGTTAAGATCCCACCCCCGTAAAACTTTACATTCAATTGGGAAGATCAACAAAGGTATTATGGAATATTCAAAATCTACATTCAATTAATGATGATGATGATGATGATGATGCGTTGCCGGTCGTCGTTGCGGTTCGGGGCAAAGCCCAGGCATTTGCCGTATATATAATACATATACACATTGCATATATATATACATGTGTGTGTACATACACTATACTATATCACTAAATTGTGACTCTAGTATATTTGTTGCAAGGTATCTGAGTCGATACTTTCATCCGCACACGAATCTTACCTGTGGTTAACTTCAATTGACAAAGCATGAATCCTCATTTTCTGGATCATCCGAGCAACCAACATATCTTCGATATCCAAATAGTTTATCCCATTATACTATGTTTGGTGGCTCATCCCGCGAATCCTGAGCAGGTGATATCTCTGGTAATAAGTGGGATAAGTAGGGTTAGTCCTCTTATAATTAGGTTTATAACCTACTTAGTAGGTGGGATGATCCACCAAGTATATGATCTGTATGTAAACATGTATATATATATTATATATATATTATGTATATATATATAGCGCGGTCCGACCTCTTGGAACTTCAATACTCTCACCTGGTGCGTTTCTATGTGCTTTTCATGATGTTTGCATCACCAACTGCTCATCATGTGATCCGCTGTTGTCATATTCCCTTCTCGGATCAATTGCAAGTCTCCTATGCTTTGGGCGTATTGCTTTTGAGATGCTTTTGAGCCTAATTGTACCAAAGCACATACATGTACGGAATTCACCAAAGCCCACGTCTAAGTAGGTTGATCGCAACAATATCCTACTCCTACCCCCTGAGACAAGAACCTGCCCTGTGAAAGAGGAACCTATGCATACCCCGTAAAACAAGAACCCGCTCCTACCCGGTGAGGCAGGAACCTACTCTGTAAGACAGGAACCTACTCCAACTTGTGAGAGAGGAAGCTGAAACAAGACATGTCCCAAATGCTGCAACGTTCAAGAAGTGCTAACGAAGCAAGTCCGACACGGGTTTCCTGCGACGAAGTTTGAAACTGAATAAGCAGCGTGTGACTATGTAGTTGATGGCGTTGTTGCCCCCTCCCCACCCCAAGGCATGACAGGGCTGTCAACATAAAATTGCTCTCCGCACCATTTGATTGCTGATGACACGGATGTCAATATTGAGTGTACTTTCGGTACCGAATATGAATGCTGTCCATAGTTCTAAGGGGTTGGAGAAGCCTGTATATATCCTTTGGTAAAATAGCACATAGCACATGCATGTGGAAAAACCAACCACTCGTAGATCATGTTCCGAAGGCTCGTTTTCCATATCTATGAAATTGGAGGCTAATCTGGTCAAGTGCTTTGGTCATCCGCGTCACACCAATACATCACAATCATATCACCAATTTGTTGGCTACTCCTTGTTTCGTTTGGTTAAACCAGTAGCTAAATGGTCACTCCCTCATTTTTTTGGTTACTCCTCCATTTTCCTAATCCCGTTTCTTCAAGTTACTCCCACATTAGATAGATGTATACACCCCCATTAACTAGTTCGATATATCATATATCTACCACAAGTCCTTGTTATTGGAGTTATGTTTACCAACTTGCCAATCCTCGCGTTGTAAACAGCTATACCGGCTATACCCTATATTTGCTGACTGAAATCCCAATGTTTGTTGGTCACATCCATTTTTTTGCTGGTTAAACCTCATTATTTTTACATATACTTATACATATACATGTACATACACATATACATATGCATATACATGTACAATCATACACATATACACATATACATATAAATAAGTATAAATAACTATAAATAAATATAAATAAATATATACAGATACACATATGTATTTTATATATAATATAACTATATATATCGTTATATCCCCATGATATAACCATGTGTCATCATCATTGTCGCATAAAAAACAATGTTTTCGTCGAACTCCGCGTCGCTTCTAGGAGTCGTGTCTCCATCTGCTGCGTCGCATGGTGTCACTGCGCCTGCCGCTGGCCTACAGCGCCGCCAGTGCCATCGCAGCGTGTGGCCCGGAGCACTGGCAACGGGCCCTGTGTTTGTTCGAGATGGCGACTTGGGGAGCAACGTTTAGAAACGTTGGCGCTGCGGTTCCATCGGTTCCACCTTGGAATTGCGAGTTAATGGTGACTCAATGGGATTTAATGGTGATTTAATGGGACTTTATTGTGATTTAATGGGAATTTATGGTATAAAATGGTGATTTAATTGGTTTTTATGGTGATTTAATGGGATTATTTATTATATAATGGTATTAAATGGTGATTCTAGGGTGGTCAATGGACACTTTCCAGTAACAAAAATGGTTAATTTCCCTATTTTAAATCTATATAGTTATGGTATAGATGGCCCATTTAGTTCGATGATTTTATGATGGTTTACCGTTCTAAGGTATGAATTGTGATTTTCCAGTTCGCTACGTTTAATCACCAGAGGATACATTTTGGATGTATTGAACCATCACTGGAGGTTATAAAGCAATATATAGATGTTTTAAAGATATGTTACCACCATTTTTGTTTAGTTTTATTCAAGGTGGTTTAGTGTAATAGCCCAACATGGATATTCTCATCAGAGAATTTTGATAAAATATCATTTTTCAATTTTTCATAAGGTTTCAAAGGTGGTTTTCTGTTTTACTGTTTTTCAAGGTGAGTAACTCATACCAACCAAGCTGAGGTGAAATCCAGATGATTTCTGGTGCTGTGGATATATCAAGGCAATTGGGATGTTCACCCAATTTTGTGACTCACCCCTTACAAGTTGGCTCATAAAGCCCATGAACTATGGTCATATCCTCCATAAACCCAAACGTTAACCTAGTCATAAGTCTTCCTGGCTATTTAGGGGGGCCCTCTTCGGGTCATGGGAACACAACCTACAACACTGGGACATAATGTGTATATATAATTATATACATATATATATGTATACATACACCAAGTGTATGGAGATGGATCAATACTTCTGGGATCTTCTGGGACCCGTGTTCTTTAAAAACTTTGGTCTTTAAAAACTTTAGCAGCTATCCAAGACCCAGGTCAGTGCCGCCGTTAACCCCGATGTGAAAGCCGTGGCCTTCAATGCCGCCCTCTGGGCTTGTGAACGGGCCGTTCAATGGCAGCAATGCATGGCACTCCTAACGGCACCTCCCTCAGCCACTTCGGCCTCCAGTTTTTTGGCCTGTGCCAGTGCTTACCAGCAAGCTCAAAGATGGCAGGACGATGCGGGAGATCTGGAGTCTAAAAACTGACTGGGGAAGAGTTTTAAGATTTTTAGACCCAGCTGAACACACACACACACATATATATATATATACATATATATATACATATATATATACATATAATATATATATATACACATATATATAATATACATATACATATATATATATACATATTTACGTATATAAAATCTTTCTTGGGTCGGGGATAGGGGTATCTAAAGAGTCAATGGTTTTCATCCCCACTGTAAACACCCACTGCACCACCGGGGGATGGAATTCAAACGACATATCACGGCGACAGAAAAAATCGTTAAAGATGCCAACTTCTTATCCTTAAATCCCAATAATGTACTTAAAATAATGTGGGAAACCCAATAATTCATAATCCCCAAAGTTATCAATACCGCAAATGGTAGATTCATGTAGATTCACTATTGGGTTTCTCACATTCATCAGCTATTATTGACAGATTTGATAGGGCATTCATCCCATTCTGTCCCAATATTTTGGACATTTCCAGGACGCACTCCACTTGTTGGTGGACTCGCTCTCGCTGGTGTCGCCGGGTTCGCAGGTGGGGGGCTGAGACAACACGGTGCCACAAAGGGAAACCACTCCATGCCTACCCTCCAGTGTCTGAGTTAACATGGGCCGGGAGTTTTCCTCCTTGGTTGGTTGCGAGGTTGCGAATCCTCGAAGCAAAATTTGGGGACTTTCCAATGCCAGGTTGGATGACCAGTCAGTGTAATTAGATGTAATTAGTGTAATGGGAAGGGTGTGCACATGAATAATCTCTGACTCATATATGACTCACATATGATATACTTTTGCTGTAGTTATTGCTGTACAGTATACAATCAATTTGGTCCCACCCATTTTGAGGTTCACCCTCCCCAATTTAGCTCAGCAGTCCAAGCAATTCACAATCACAAGTTGATGATACCCCTTAAAAAGAACATGGGTCAGTATACCTTGGTATTCAGGTGATGGGTGGTATATAGGTAATGTGGATAATTATGAGGGGGATTTGCGGGAGGTTGTTGTATGCTGCAGAAATGTTCGGAACATATGTGCCTGATTTACAGACAGCAAATACTGCGCATTTCCCCAAAGTTACAGACAGCAAATACTGCGCATTTCCCCAAAGTTACAGCTACCAATATATGACATAGGTATATGAGGGTATCCGCTCGTGATCCTGCAGGCTTCACGTGACAGGAATGCTGCTTTTCATTTCACATTTGATCACATGTTTTGAGAATGTTTTGGCATGAGTGGCCCTTGTGTTTTAATTCCGTTGTTGGATTTAGTTTAGACCAGCTTTCGGTGATGTAAGAATATGTACCGGCCGGGGACACACCGTTGATTTGACCATGTTTTGGCTGCACCCGATCCTGTTCGGTGATGCAAAAGATCAACCGCAAATCGGCACAAAAACCTGCAACAGGGCGCAAACACCAAAACTAGTTGGTTCATCTTGGCTCCTGGTTTTGCCAGCTGACTGAACGAAGAAACGAACGCAAGCGGTTTGAAAGGGATGGTGCACAGGTAGCCTGACACTATGACCAGTTACTAGGGGATGCTCCCAGTTTTGAACTATGTTAATTAATAAGATGTTACTGTAATACCAGTTAACCATATTTAACCCAGTTATTTGATTGTTTTTATGGTTCATCTGAATATGGAATCTCAGCCCCACTTATCTACACACTATTTATATATATATATATACAAATATATATATATATTGTGTATATATATATATATATTATAAATACTGTATTGATTATATGGCTTGTAAACCACATAAAGGCCGTGCTCCAGTCGCAACATCGCTGACATCCCAACACGTTACAGGCTGCGGCTTCGATGATTCTCCTGCGGGGCTTTGTCGCCATGGCGTCCTGGCAGCGAAGTTTGCAGCTCTTCGAAGACATGCGCAGGGACGGGCACGGGGATCTGCTGGCGCTCAACGCAGTGCCTGGGATGTGCACTGGGACTGGGTCAAGTGTTGGAACGGGCGTTATGGATTGATTTGGAGCTATATCCACGATCCAAGTAGAGATCGGGATTTCTACGGTAAGTCACTGGAGAATTATTGTTATAATATTGTGTGTATACCCCCATATCCGAGGTCCTAGTCCTAATAGAAAATCATGAAAGGTGATCATGGGGGCTTAAGTGCTGGGGTATGTTCCTCCCTTCGGGGTATTTTCAACCAAAGCCTGCAGTGTCTCGGGAAGCTGTGCGATTTATCGCAGTGGAGCAGCGGGAAACCATTTATCAGCAGCAAAACAATTTTCAATATGGGTTAAAAAACTAGGAAATGTGGTTAAAACAATAATAAACCACCCATTAGGGAATGGTTTATACCACCCATTTATGGTTTTTTTGGGGATGGTCTATTATTGTTTTGCCCACCTTAAAGGGTATAAGGTGCTTTGTGGAGGTCAAGATTTCCGCGTTGGACTAGCCAACATGATCAAGCTATTGTGGCACAGAGGATAGAATCCCAAAAGTTGAATGATTTGGTTTCGCAGGTGACTACCCTCTGGCAAACTAACAGTTTGCTATTGAAAATGGCCATAGAAAAAGTTGATTTACCCATTAAAGATTTTGATTTTGCATAGTTATGTTAGTTTACCGGAGGGTACTCATTGTGGGATCAGGTCTCTCAATGTATGAAGCCTCCAACGGATCTGGAAAATGTTTGCTAATTTTGTATGTTGCTACTTGATATGATGTAGCTGCAGCTTTCGCTGCTGGATTTCAACGTCTAATCTTTGTTAGGAAGTGCTGGTGAGTCGCCAAAAGTCTCCAACATTCTTGGGCCGATCCATGTATCTGACGTATCTGAAACTGGGAGGTCCCCATGAAATCCCCGTGGCCGATTGATGAAGGTTTAGTTCGCTGGGAACAGCATCGAACTGGCGGATTTTCCATATGTTTGAGATTACCAGAGGGTAAGTGGATGAATTGATTGACTTCAAGGTAGACACCGGGACACCGCTGTACCAGGATACCAGGGTTAACTGATCTTTTTAAACCATATAACTGATGGGATTTAACATGATTTAACCATGATTATCAGGGATTTAAGTCAAGAAAAGTGGGATTTAACCATGTTCAACAGCCCATCTCGGGAGTCCCACGGTTCCCATGTAGATTCCCATGTAGAAGCATCATAGTAACTTGACCATTCTGAACCATGATTAACCATAGTATAGTTGGCTATTAACCATTGTTGACCCTTATGAACCTGTAGTTTATTTTTGTTTAAACACCATACTGGTAGTTTGTTTCACCACCTTTGATGTTTCACAATTATTAACCTTTCATTCGCCAATTATTAACCCATCATTAACCCATCATTACCCCATTATTAACCAATTAGAAACCATTAGTCATCGTCTGATACTCGGTCATGAACCATTATTCTTTTGAAACACCATACTGGTAGTTTGTTTCGCCACGCTTGTTCTAGGTTTTGAATGTTTGACCTCCCTCTCGGATGTGCATCCCCCAAATCGGATCTGTGGTTTATAAACCATATCTATAGCCCCGAGTTTTCATCACGTTGATCGATTCGTGGGGATCTTCCATGAATCTGGGGGTTTGTCTAAACCTTGGATCCTAAGTGGGGCAAGTATCCCCAAGTTATGGTATTTTTTACTACTACTGGCTAATGGTTGATGCCTATGAATAGCCATTCATAGTCATCATCAGTAGCCATGAATGATAAGGACCATTATTCTTGGGCATCAATAACGGCAATAATGATCCTAAGTGGGGCAAGTACCCCCAAAGTACCCCAAGTATGGTGATTTTTCCATTGATTAATGAGGCCCTTAATTGTTGAGGCCTATGAATCATGGTCCCAGGTTCTGAGCTCCCTGGCCGATGCCTCGCAATGGTCCCAGTGCCTCCGCCTTGCCGCGGAGCAACACCGCGATGGGGCGACGGAGGCGCAGCTGCTGCGGGCCTTGCAGCGGCAACACATGACGCGGCGGGAGGCCGCCTGGGCTGGGTGGAAAAACATGGTGAGTTTGATGGCGATTTCATGGATTTATGTTGGATCGCAAGAGTGGCCTTAGATTCTTAGATCAGTTTTTTGGATTTCATGCTCCAATGTCCACACAGGGTCCAGATTCGATGATATAATATTGGACATTGAAATATTGTACTGAAATGTCCAGATGGAACTGCATTGTACTACATTAGTTATATTATTGTCATGGTGGTTCATCAACATTCATAAATCATAAACTACAAATTTGTGCCCCATAGTGCTGCGACATCCCTCGCGACCCCAGGTCACCTTCAAGGATCTGGAGCATCGAGGTGCGGTGAAGATTGGATCAGTGGAATGCTTGGTGAATTCTGACAGTATGTAAGTTATCCAGTTATACAGTAATATATAGATATATACATAACAAAATAGGGCCGTTATCGCGGAATCACACTCCAACATGTCGGGTTGGTGAATGATATTGATTTAGTCGGATTTCTCCAGATATTCTGAATATTTAAGTTGTGCTATTTATTCAGATCTTCTTTAATGTGATGATGCCAAATTTACGTGGCACCTGGCACGGAGCAGAGGGTTCCGAATTGTTTGATGTTGAAGGTGGAAGCCTTCAACATTGCATAAATATTGGCAAACACAATCTGATGGTGATGGTGGTGATGATGATGATGACGATGACGATGACGATGATGATGACGATGATGAGGAGGATCACGGTGATGATGATGTTGATGATGATGACGATGATGATGACGATGACGATGATGATGATGATGAGGAGGATGACGATGACGATGACCAGGACGAGGACGATGACGATGATGAGGAGGATCACGGTGATGATGATGCTGATGATGATGATGACGATGACGATGACGATGACGATGAGGAGGATCATGGTGATGATGATGATGATGATGATGATGATGATGATGATGATGATGATGAGGATGACGATGACGATGACCAGGACGAGGACGATGACGATGATGAGGAGGATCACGGTGATGATGCTGATGATGATGATGACGATGATGATGACGATGATGATGATGATGACGATGACGATGATGAGGAGGATCATGGTGACGATGATGATGACGATGACAATGATGAGGAGGATCATGGTGATGATGATGATGATGATGATGATGATGATGATGATCATGATGATGATGATGATGATGATGATGACGATGACGATGACGATGACAATGATGAGGAGGATCATGGTGATGATGATGCTGCTGCTGATGATGATGATGATTATGACGATGACAATGACGATGATGAAGGGGATCATGGTGATGATGATGATGATGATGATGATGATGATGATGATGATGATGATGGTGGTGTTGGTGGTGGTGATGAGGATGGTGGTTGTATTGTTGCCTTTCAGCGCGTATTTTTCCAGGAATGCTTTGGAGAGCTTTGGAAGAGTCCAAGACAGGGGCGCTGGAGAGGGAACAGCTCAGCCAACTGAGCAGCTGGAACTTGGAGGTCAGTGGGTCAACGGGTGAGTTTGGTGATGAAACATGGGATGGATCGAAAAAAGTAGTGCCCCATGGTTAGCTAAGTTGGTTTATAGTTCCAACTGTGGTTTATGGTAGATACATCAAACTACTTAATTATTGGGGGTTATAAACCAATTTCTAACTGGGGAACACCACCTTGTGCTATACTAATTTTGTGGGACCAATATACATTTACGAACTATGTGTGTGTGCGTGTTTCCCAGGGTACTGCACCAGGGTTTGACCCTGTGGATTTGGTGAATGGTTAATTCATCGTAGTTCTTCAACACATCTTGAAACACGTGGTGGTTGGACGAACCAAATATGCATTTTTTGGGGGACAAAAAATTGGATGGCGTGAGTCGAAATGATGGTTGATTCAAGATATATGAGGATCTTGCACCATTCAACCCTCTTTTAGGTGATCAAACAGGACTTTGGAGAGTGACCATTTGCCTTTTTTAGCACCCGACTTCAGGGCCAACCACTCGTGAATATCAAGGGGAAATCAATCATCAAGTCCCCATGGAAATCTTGGTGTGTTCCGTCGCAAACTTTTAACTGTCATTTTGATGGACCAGTTTTTTTTGGTGATGAATTTCACTTATCCCCGATCATATGGTGTATATCTATGATTATCTACGTGTGTTTTCAAAAATTGTTGAACCGGGACTAAGAAACCTGTTGGGTTCAATTGTGGTGGCCTCACATCAATTGCAATTTGTGTTTTTTGGTGCTAGGGTCCTTGTTCAGGAATTTTGGGGTTCCATGGGAACGGGTTATGTTTAAAGATGCTTAAAGGGAAGTTGTTATATCGTATTGACATCCCAGAAAAAAGGTGACCCATCCAAAGATCCGTTTTTTTTTTTAAACAGGGTTTCAGCGGGTTTTAACAAACCTGCAACAACTGCTGTATAATAAGGGCTTATTAACCATCTATACACCATCTATCATTGGGGGATACTGTTGTGGGGGTCGGTTGAATCCGCATTACTGGCATGTTTAAGATGACCCTTCTGTGAAAACATCACAACAGCTGGTAGACGGATGTTCATCAGTCCAATATTGGTATTATAGAAGCTGGCACCTGCCAGTTGTGTTTGTTGGTTTATGTTACCTTATGGCAAACCCCGATTGGCTAGTTCGAGATATCTACCTGTTCAGTTAAATTTTGGACTTGATGTAGAAATAAAACTCTTCGCAATGGCTCACATTTGGGCACCGGGAAATCTGAAGCCAAATTTGGTGATTCTTCAAGTTCAATTAAGTTGATGATGACTTGATGTTCCTCCAAGATTTGTTGCATGTTCATATATACATTTTTGTTAGAGAAATCACAACATGTTCCCATCATTTTCCGGGCCATCAACGACCGCACTCTTCCAGGTGATCCCCCTAGGCCCTAAAATGGTGCGACAAGTGCTCGAGCGGAAAAAAGTGCCCACGGATGTCTATGTGCATGTAAAGTTGTGTTTATATTGATTTTTATTGTATATATATACATATATCTTTATCGTTGTTCATATATTATATGATTATATACAGTGTATATATAAATGAATAAATATAAATTTGGACACTTGCTCGACCATTTTTCTATATAAGTGGAGAATGATAAGACTGTTATTACCCATTTAGACCAACTGGAATGCACACCCAAGCATCCTGCCAACAAAGGGATGGGCCTTGCGATTCTTTGGGTGAGATTTGGATCCAAAAGCTGCGATGTGTCCCGGAAAATATCCAAATGACCCTCCGGTGTCCTCAAAAATCCCTGGCTTGGACATCCACCTTTAAATAGTGGGCATTTAAATGGGAAATCATATAGAACTATATATTATAATATATTATAGATGTTTTTTTGTCCAGCTAGCCATGTTACGGGGGGGTTTTAGGGCTTATTACCCAAAAAGTCTACAGATCATCAACATGGTATCCAGGTCACAACCGCCCTTTTTTGGTGCACTACAGAATTGCAGTCACGAGATGTCACGAGTACACCGCCCTGTTGGGTCCCACCCTATCATGTCTATTCAGATCTATCATCAACTTGTTGACTTCGGGCAGGATTTCTTTCATTTCTGCCAAAATTGTGTCACCCAGTGAAGCAACCTTTTTGTACCTGGGACGGTCCTATCAACTCATTTCACCGCGTAAAAACACCTCCTTTGGATGATTTGAGCCCCTACAAACAACCAAAAAGGGAAAATCCCGGCACAGCCATGGCACAAAATCATTGAAATCTTGGCGTGTCAAGCAAGTCCTTTTGGACGCAAGGTCTTGTCTCAAGTCGGGGGTCCGAAGTGCTTTGGTGGCACCCGCCCACCATGCGGTCCTCGCTCGGAACCACTGTGGTTACCATGGCGCTGTGTGTTGCGGCCTGTGTGGCCGCATGTCCCGACCATTTGGTAAACCGGACGCGGTGTAACCCCGTGAACGCCGTGAACGACATCGTGGGGCCCGAAGCTGAAACCTGTGTGGCTGGTATGAACATGATGGCAATGGCAGGGGTCAAAATGATTGCAGATTGACGGGTCATATTTTTGGTACCCAAGTTTCATCCATGATTTGTTTGGACGAGCTTAGCTAAGACATCTGGTATCTTTTTTCTGATAGTTCGGGAGCAAAACGAACAACACTATCTGGGTAAATTTAATCACATGACTAGTTAATAAGGGTAATTTGCCTTATTTCAGGTTGTAAGTGGTTTACATAATATTACTATAAATTACCCAGATACTATAGACAAAATAAATCATATCGTTTGACTTACAACGACATCAATGGCCGACGATGGGTATATGTACAAGGGGAGTTGAGTCAAAATTGCGAAACATCTCAGGTTGGTGGATTGTAAGGAAAAAACATTCGATGCTCATGGCAAAAGATATGATAGTGATAGAAACTTCTCACCAACAATGGTCATAGATTTTTTTTCATTTTCTCATTCTCAGCTATCTATGATCATTGTAATCATCCACATGTTTCCCAAGAAACTCACATAGAAATCAGCTAACGTTTCAGGTTGCTGAATCAACAAAGAGCTCGACCCTGGTTGGATCACTACTTTCTACTTGGGCGTGCAGTTCCATTTAAAATTTATAAGTGGATATGATGTGGATATGTAAGCAATTTGTAACCATATTACACCCCAGTTATTTGAGATATCCCCAGATAATCCTATATATATATTATATATATATATACTGTGTATATATATATGATTATATATGGCTTATCAACCACGGATCCGATTCGTGAGATGCTGGAGGTGGGAACTTTTGCTGAATTCCCGGTGGTCGATGCACTGGAGTGGGCCTTTGAATGTGGGCTACCCATCGAATTGACCGTGGGTCTCACGATGTCTTTAACTGGCAACTACAGCGACGAAAGTATCTGGGATGAATGGGATGAACAGCTACACGACGAACGACTTGGCTGGGACTTTTTGTGAACTGGAAAGTACGGTGTGAAAAATCCACAGCTATTTCGTGATATTTAGATAGATATATATATATATATGTTGCGCATTTTTGCTGCTAGGTTATTCTTGATCCCAATGATGGCTGGATAAATGTGACTCATGTGGCACCAAGCACACCAAGCACACCACTGGTGACGGTTTGGTTGGTGCGTTCAGATGTTTAAACTGTCTTCCGTTGAGTATAGCACCCCCCAAAAAGATGCTGTGGGCATCACCCACTTACCCTTTGGTAAACATACAAAAAGCTATTGAAAATGGCCATTTATAGTGGATTTACCTGAAACATGGTGATTTTCCATAGTTATATTAGCTTACCAGAGGGTACTATCCCTCAACACTTGTTGATCGTTTATAAGGACTTGTACTACCTGCTACAAATTGGGGAGTATGGGCTGGCCCCATTTGGGAATCCCTATCAGTGCTCAGATGCACATCTCCAAATGTCTTGCAAGTCCTGAAAGCCTATATTAACATAGATTGTATTTTTAGGCATCTAAATATGGGAATCATTGTGAATTCCTATCAGATCAATGAAAGCCCCTCTATATTTTCCAGTGCAGGTATGAATCAGAATGTGTTGCAAGTCCTGAAGGATTGGAGCAATCAGATCTCCAATAAGACCGTCGCCTGGTGGTGATTTTGAGCAGGGATTTATGGCAAGGGGATATGGAGCAACATACCCTATACAAGAATGTAAAGATATTTGAAGTGGGATATGATCTAACAGAAATGGAGGCTTGAAGCAAATATAGATTAGCATATATATATATATGATATATGACCAATAGATATTTACGAGCATGGAACAGGATTTTGATAGGAAAACTGAGCGGTGAACTGTTCAAGGAAATTGTCATCAGGTTGGAGGTTTTTTCCGAGAATCTATGAACCAATCGTGTCAAACTTGACAGAAGCACATGTGTCAGGTTTCAGGAATCCTTTGCAACAACACTTTGACTTGGTTTGACTGGAGAATATCTTGTGGCTTCAGCCAAGGGCAAACTTTAGCAGGATACCCATCAGAGTCTTGTTATGTCTTGCTGCCCTTTCCCGGCAACTAAAACCTTGCAGGCCACTCTAATACTTCGGTAGGGTCTCTAAAACAATTTCCTAGACTTGGTTGATATTAGTTAAGTTGGGAAAATGGGATCCGAAAACCTCTATATTTGTAGGTGAAAAACCATGGTTTCCGCTTTCCAAATTAATTGCTTAAAAATCTCCCATCTCCCCCATACTTTGATGCTGAAATCTTCAAGGGTTGCGCCGTATTTTCCGGGACTTCAGGATGGAATGAAGCTGAAAGGCGTTACCTTAGGCCAAATCAAGACACTGGGTCGATGATCAACGGCTTTGGGCAGTTGTGGATTCATGGATGGTAATTTCATAGGTTTTAGACCCATCCTCCTTCCCCATATACCCTCTGGTAAACATACAAAAAACTATGGAAAAACACAATCTTTAATAGGTAAACCAACTATAAGTCACCCATTTTTCATAGCTATGTTCGTTTACCAGAGAGTATGTGTTATTTTTTTGGGTTCCTTAATCAAATCCATGTGGGCCGAGTTAAAATGAGTTATATTATACTAGTACAAGCAGCATTTTTGTGGGTCATAATGGGGCTATAAAACCAACCCAGTTCTTTTGGATACAATGGTATGTAGTCAACTTAGTCAACTTAGTCTGATCAGTCTGATCTTTGTGTTTGAGAATGGGATACACCTACATAATTTTGGGGTATTAAATTGTCAGACCAATGGTTTTGGGGTAGAACCACCCACATGGCAACCGCCAAATACATAGAACCTGGCAATGAAATTGTAGATCTCTTCAACCAACACGAACAACTTTTCTATCTGTTTGGAGGTTCCTAGACTATATGCAGAACTATAGTTGTTTGATGATGGTATTTGTGTGTATGTTCAAAAATATATATATATATGTATATATATATATATATTTATAGGTATAGATAGATAATTGATGATAATTGTTCATATCGCTGTTTGAATGTTCAGTGCTTTGGGAGCACTTACATACAATATCTTACAATTACTGTAATTATTGTTGGATAATTGTGAGATACCACATATCTATATAATATATATATATCCATATTTTATCTATGTACATTTTCTACATACAAAATACAGTAATACAGTAATGAGTGTGTTCCTGTATAATATATTTTCGCTTAAACTAAGTAACCATTGGTGATGCAGAGTAGATCTTGTTGCAGCTCATTGGATGATTTGTTGCCGAGTGCCCTTTTACATGTAGCATTTTTCGAATAGAAAAAGGGGCTTTCATTGCACATGATATTTTCCAGGATATACCCTCTGGTTATTTAACATAGCGATGGACAATCACCATTTTTCATATGTAAATCGATGGTCTAACATTGTAATCATCCATAAATAGACCATTTTTCACAGCATCAACTTACTGGGAGGTAATTCCTTTACACATATATATATATATATACACCGTTATATACCCATATATTTCCCTTGTATATTCCCATTCGATGAAATTTTAAGGATGTGCACCCGCTTCTGCGTCATGGACGATGAGAGCTCAGAGGAGAAGATGGTACAGCTCTATCGCTCCTTTTTGGGGGACGGAAACAGCAGCTTGGTTTCAGATGGAGATGTCGGCAACAAAAAAACTTGAAGGTTGGCTTAAACGCTCCATGAACTATAAGTTGTATGTATTGTGTATATATATATTTAATAGGATTACATAGATATCTACATCATAAGACTATAGTTGTTGGAGCTGTAAAACACGACTATGGAGATGTGTTTTTTTTGTCCAAGAACCTGTGGATTTAAGCGTTGATTGGTTGGTTGATGAAAGAAATCAGCCATGTGGTTCATTGATAGTTTCTTATCAAACTCTGGTAACATATACATATTATACATATATTATACATATACTATACATATATTATACATATATGTATGATATACCCGGCTCCGACATGATGTCTTCCGCTTCCAAGGTACGTCGCATGGCATTCCCCTTCTGCTTGGCCCAGGGACCGAAGCCTTTCGCAACGCGGCCGCGCAGGTGGCGAACGACTACCAGCGGCCGATGATCTTGTGGTCCATCCCTCAGGAGCCGATTTCTGGTGGATTTCTGGTGGAAAGATCTGGATCTAGAACTGGTAAGTCCCTGAAAAATGGTTAGAGATGAATAAGTGAAGAAGTGAGTTGCTTGATCTAGAGTTGATGGGATGTAGGGTTATGACTAGCTACTAGGTAGGATGATGCCGAGGTGGCCAGTCAGATGCGACGTGGATGTTTTTGTTTGAATGTATGGGAAACAAACGTATAGTCTTATGGGATATAAGTCTGCTTTACCCAACAGAAATATTTTTTTGGGGGGAACATAAGTTATCCATAAACCATGATTGATCTAGTTATCAATCAACTTAGCTATTGAAAACGGGGGCCCCACCTGGTAGTTGTGACCCAAGGTTTGAGGAAAAGTGAACAATTTGAATTGTGTTTTTGTGACTGATAGATAAACCCAACTGAGAAGGGGTAATTAATTATAAATTATAATCCTTTTTCATAAATGGTGGGGTCCATGTAGGTGTCCTAAATTCACACTAGCTGATGAATCGCTATCGCTTGTTATCCTAGCTTTTCACAGACACCAGTGACAAGCCATTTTTTTTCGAGAAGAACACTATCAGCGAACATGATGCTTAGGTCATGCAGTTAATAATTCTGCTCCAAAACAAGTAATTGGGGCGTGATCTTCATCTCGTCTTATGGACTTTCCAGCAGTACATTGAACATTGTGTTATGCTGTTTTTATATGGGTTTGTCTGAAACTAATCTATCCCAAAAGAAACATGGGCTTTCATCATATTGCTGTCTCTATCAAACAATCACTTGGTGTATGCAAGATTTGCGGACCGAGATAGGCAAGGTCAAACAACATGGAGTGGAGCGGGCCCTGCGATCCCAAACCAACAAGCTAAACCAACTAGTGGTGTGGTTTCAACCAATTTTATACACGTTTAAGAAACATTAATAAACCATCCCCAATTGGGTTTCTTGTTATGGGTATACGCCTATTTGAGACGGTGTAACATGACCGCTAATGAGATTGTTTGTTCTTGGATTGACGATCCCAATTGTCCACCAGCCATTATGTTTGAGACAAGGGGCGAATCCATGCAAATCCCTCCAATCTATGGCCGTCAGATCAACCATAAATAAAGATATACATATAACATATATATATATATATTATATTTATATTTACATGTTTACTATATTTTATGTTTATAGTTATATTACATATATATATATATATACTTATATTAGATTTATACGTATTGGTATGTTTATATTTATATTATATGTATATTTATACACCCCATGTTTGGACATACCAATTTATATCCCACTTTGCTGACCAATCATAGATTTTCTTGTAGGGGGATAACAGTACTACAACGTGGTGTCCCCCAGTTATGGTTGTTGGCTTATGTTGCGCCCATTAACTGGTTCGATATATCTATCAGAAGTCCTCGCTATTGGAGTTATAAACTATCTATAGCCAATATAGTTCAACTATAATATATAGATCTATAAGTTCCCAATCCACAAGTTCCCATTGAAAAAAACATAAAATGCTTTGTTCAATGACCATCGGACCATCGGTATTCAAACCATTCAATCATTGGACCGGACCATGGGACCATGGGACCATTCGAAGATCCCACTTCGGCGCTCGCAGGAGCTTCGAAGATTTCCAATTCTGCCCAAAGATTACAAACTCTCAGAGGTCATCGACTCTCGGGACAAGCTGTTAGAGTTAGATCAGTGGTGAATAAGCATGTGCAATGAAATATTAATGATTATTGGTTAGATAAGCATGTGTTGAATAATATAATATAAAATGATAGTTATAAAAATAAGTGCTTATATATATTATATTATATTATATTATATTATATACTATCATTATATGTGTCATTATCAGTAACATAATGATACATGATGTATTTAATTCGTGGTCACCATTCGACATGCATTTTTTATTCTACAGATTTTCTGGGATGGATTTCACCAAGCCAAAAATAACTCCGATAGTGGTTGAGTCTATCGAAGTTATCTTAACCAAGAGTAGTACAAAAAAAATGGTAGTCTATGGTTATTGAATGTTATTGAAATATCATTCTAAGAAATGATTCTTATGGTAACTCAAAAAGATATGATAGAAATTTGAAACATTAGGAAGTAGTTCATGTGGGTTAAGACAAATTATAAACCAATAATCATGAAACACTGGGACCTCCGAGTGGCTCCGGTTTTGATTAGACTGATGCTGCATTTGTTTCTGGACTATTTCAAGCAGGATCTAGGTTTTTATTCTGACTTTTGTTTCTTGATTTTAACACCAATATTTTAGGTATGATTATGATCGATTATTGTTTTTTTTCCAGTTGTTCTGTCTTTGATAATCGCTTTGAAAGTTATTGTAATGCTGCCGCTAGCTGGCTCACATTCCACTTCTTTGGAATGAGAGGATTCTGTGGACTGGATTGGTCAAAGTTTCAAGCCAAGTCGCCACGCAGTTTGGTGCAACCGGTGGAAAGACAGCCTGGGATAGTCCAGATATAACCCACATATTTCATTATAATCCCATCTATATGTATATATTCTATAATCTAAGTGGGGATATGCCATATTTATATATATATATAACTGGGGGTGTAACCATGTATGTATAATTCATTTACTAAGTGCACCCTCAAGTGGTGGCTTCCAAGCTGGCGCCAGAGAGGGGACAGGCTTCTGATTGCGTTTGTAGATTTCAAACAGTACCACCATATCCTGCTTTAAAAACCATTTCCATGCTGAGTTACATAAGAAATGCATACCCAAAACATATATATATATATATAGAATGAGTCGGAATTCGATGCTGAACTGATGAAAAATCGTATAGTATGAGCTTCGGTCGGAGCCGCGACAGCCTTCTATGACTTAAAACGAGCAGCTGTGACTTAAGCAGTTTGCAGCGTTTCCATGTGGAAACAGGTTCCTGGCAATGACTTAAGACGAGATGCTACGAATTCACCCTTCTGCTTGTACCACAAACAGTAGGTAACGTCTCCGACTACATTGTAAGATCCTTGGGCCAACGTGGGCTGCTTATACGATATCTATCCTGAGAACTTGAGCGTTTACGGCCTCAGAAATGATGGGTCACGGGGAAATGCCGTCCCCGGATCCTATGAAACAGCCCGGATCCTAAAGCATGATTTCTGAAGGGAATGTTGAATGTTGGGGATGGGATTATGGCTAAGATTGCAAATTCCCAGACATCCCTTTGGTTGCATACGTAATGTCAGCCTTGGGACCATAGCAACCCCCACAAACATAGAAAAGTAACATGTCCTACTAAAATAGTGATAAATTGAAAGTGTATGAACGTGTTCTATCATTAAATTTTATTGTAACCTTTAACCATTAGTAATTGGTAATTGTAATGACTAATGATTGTTACAATCACCATTAACCATTCCAATTGTTCTGGGTAATTCACTGATTTAACCATTACTTAACCATTCCATGATTAATTTATATTAATTTGTTCCAATTCTTACCTTTACTTAACCATTCCATTAATCATTCCACTTAATGATTCACCGATTTACTTCATTCTGGGACATGATTCCTATTGCGACAGCAGAGTTTTTGAGTTTTGGGCACTCTGGAGGACCCCGGAAACCGTACGGCCGTACGGACTGGGTTGATTGACGATCTGCCCCTCTAAAAACTACGGCCTAACTAGGGCCTAACTAGGCTTTATGCTGGATATCATAGATATCTCAAACTTAAGTTGGTACAAACTTTTTAGTGAACAGTTATTAGTGAACATATTTATCATATCTCCACAGCGACATACCTCCGGCGAAACGACCCAGGAGAGCATCGAGGTGCCCAAGAATCAGGTGATTCAGGAGCAGATTGCGAAGATGAGCGAGAATTCCTCTGACTCAGGACGCAAGGGGCGAGATCTCGGGATGATGAAATTGGCTGTGGGCCCTATAGCCAGAAATAATCCAAAATTCCCATGATCCAAGATGTTCTTAAAATCTGTGGTTTAGTATCGTTTAAGTATCACACATATACCTAGACCTAGAACAACCGAGGCATTAATATTTATCTATGTTTGGTTAAAAATTAACTTTTGGAGGGGCCAACCCTCAAACGGAGTTGTTTTAATGAGACGGAAGTTTTTGGATTTTGGATGGTTCCAGCAAATTATGATATTTTGAGTGGAATGGGATTCTCTCAATTCCACAGGTGTGGCGGAGACTTTCGACCAATGAAACCGCATAACTCATGTGTCCAGCTTGAAAACCTCTACCAAAAAAGTGACAAACTGAAACGGCGCAAATTCCCAAATGTCCAACCAAACGGCGTAAATTATGTTGGTTGTTTTCAATGCATATTTGGACTTTGACATGCTACATTGCTACATATCTGCCCATGTTCCCCAGGGTGTGTAAATATCAAAACAGTGCGACACATGCAAGAATGGCAGCTGACCTGGCAAGAATCTCGCCAAACAGTTGAAACGGAAGTTTTTGGCTGAGAAGGCCAACATTACTGAAGGGACAATAATTTCTGTAGCCTGGGCTGGCTGAAGGAATTTTACCCAGCCGGCGGGCCTAGGTATATATAATTATATAATTATATATATATATATACATATATATATATACACGACTGTCATTTTCTGTGGGTCTATTTCTGACCCATCTTTGCATTTCATGGGTGCTTCATGCTCAGTAGGTGGAGGATACACCTGGTTATGAGTTGGGTAAGTAGGGTTAGCCGGTTAGCCCACTTATATCAGACTGGGGTTATGACTTATAAGCTACCTGGATGTGCATTTTGGTCAGAATCACTCGGCATACCCCGTTTTTGCACGTCGAGTGGGAAATGAAGTTCAGTCAGCCGTCACGAGCCACCTTTTCGCCAGAAATCTACAGCTCCTTATATGACTATCCCAGCAATTCGTGCCAAGATTTCCCGGTGCCTGCGGGTTCCTTGGATACGGATGAGCGGCGGCAGTTGGAACCATGAGATCTTAAGGCACCTAATTTTCAGACAAACCTGTATAATGGTTTTGTATAATGGAGGCGGGGTTTACCATTTTAATAAGGACGATGGGGACATGTTATGATTTATATTCTAGTACTGTCAGAACATGTTAAACAACTTGTGATAATAATACATGTACATACATTATAGTATGATGATATGCTGAAATATAAACTTGGCATTTGAGCTGACCCTATACTCATTGTCTTGGGGATTCTTATGGCAGAAGCATTGCCCTGGTGAAATCGGTGATTTTTTTTTACATCGTTTCAGGGTTGCGCCCTCTGATCTCTAATCAAACATGGCGAGCTGGAAAATCTCATATAAATGAACGTTTACAGATGGGAAAATAATTTATAAATAAATGGGTGATTTTTATGGATTTTCCCCCATGCTTGATTACCCGAGGGCAAATCATAAGCACCTCCAGCCGTCGCAGGGGGCGGTTCCTGGAAGTGGCTTCATGCCATTGTATTTTTCACATAAGTTTTGGGCTGTTTAACCATCAACCCATAGTTGATTGGTGACTCTGCTGTGACTGTCCTCAAACGTGGCTGGGAAGTTTTCTGAAAGAAACATGGCGGTTTATAAGCTGGATTATTGTCAACGAAGGGTGTGTCTTACTATGTTCTATCGTAATTGCCATTAGTATATAAATATATATATATAAATTATATATATGTATACAAATACATATATATATATTATATGTGTATGTATAATTATATATGTTTATGCAGTCGGATCTTTTACCGGCCCACAAATTCGACATGTTTGGTACATATCATCTTAAACCTCTTGGGGTGGGGGTTGGGTGGGGTGGGGTGGGGCATGTTAACGTTCGCTTGCACTTGCGTCATGAAGTTGATGCTACGTTGCGGATGGGGTTGGGGTTGGGTGGGGGGTGGGGCATGTTAACGTTCGCTTGCACTTGCGTCATGAAGTTGATGCTACGTTACGGATGGGGTTGGGGTTGGGTGGGGTGGGGTGGGGCATGTTAACGTTCGCTTGCACTTGCGTCATGAAGTTGATGCTACGTCACGCATGGGGTTGGGGTGGGTGGGTGGGGTGGGGCATGTTAACGTTCGCTTGCACTTGCGTCATGAAGTTGATGCTACGTCACGCATGGGTTGGGGGTTGGGTGGGGTGGGGTGGGGCATGTTAACGTTCGCTTGCACTTGCGTCATGAAGTTGATGCTACGTTGCGGATGGGGTTGGGGCCGGGGTTGGGTGGGGTGGGGTGGGGCATGTTAACGTTCGCTTGCACTTTGCGTCATGAAGTTGATGCTACTTTACGCATGGTGTTGGGGTTGGGTGGGGTGGGGCATGTCAACAGCTGTTGGACCATTCTGAAAGCTGGTGTGCCAGATAAGATAGCTTCAAAGTGTAGATCCAAACCCAATCCCTTGCTGTGGAAGTACATCCGCAGCGCACAATGGCGCTGGGAGATGAACTCTGCAGACCTGCTGGCCAAAATGGGCCTCTACCTGGCAAAGCTGTGAGCTGAAAAAAGGAAAACCGAACTCGGAACGTTTTTGACCACAAAATGCTGGAAGGGTTGACGAAAGCATCTTGCGATGAACTTTTTAAAGAAACTTTTTTGGACCCAGAATGTGCGTTTTGCTAGCACGAGAACGACGTTTTTGAGAAATCATGGGACGGTGAAAGATCCGTCGGGATGTTTATGTAGATATACACTTGATTTTACATGGTGATACCCAGATGAAATGTTGCTCTTCTTGTGTCATGTTTTGCCAAAACTGATGGGTATGAATACTACTTGCATCCCAGGATCCCTGGCTAACCTATATATTATCTAACCATATATTATATAACCCATAAATCTGGTTGCTGGTTTGGAACATTTGGATTATTTTTCCCATTCAGTTGGGTTGGAAATAAGAATCCCAACTGACTAATATTTTCAGAACACCTTCCGGAAGAGGCCATTTCAGTTGCAATCGCGACAAAACACGGAACTACTGTGCAAGATATTGTTATGAACCGTAGGGTTGACAAAATCGCGAAAACATCCGCAACGCTTAATCATTCGTTTTTCGTAAACCTTGATGAGCGTAACCTGAACATTTAAAAATGGCAATGGTGGTTGACCAAATTACAAGCGCACCTTGCAGAACCCAAAGATCAGAGAGAGAACCCTGCACTTGAGGAAAATGAGGCCCACAGCCACATTCCCAAACTTTCCCTCTCCTCTAGCCTGCAAGATTGTAAAGCCTTGTATCCTTTGTGGGATTGGTACCAGCTCCATGCAAACTACACGTGGGCCACCTCGCTTGATGCCCATGATGCTGCCAACTGCAAATTGCCCGCCAGCTTATCAAAAACTAACTGGAAGAAAATTCTTCAGTGGCTCGTAACCCTTTCCTGGGATCCCGACCCGTATGGTTCAACCAGTTTTTTGCAGCTAGGGTTTGCCGCTTGGCACGCTGGAGTGAGACTTGAGGCCAAAGATTTGACTCCAGCTTGCTATGCCATTATGATTAGGAAAGCCTTCAACATCATCACCAAGAAATTCCCTGACACTCCTGCCATGCCTGGCGAAGTTTCCGAGAAATGCAAAAGTGATAGAAAAGTCCATACTTCAGGCTACATAAAGGGCGGGAAAATTGTCATGCCTTTCCCGGCCAATCGCATGCTTGGGGTTGCTTTCGTGGGTCGAAACCATGTCCTGTCTAACGAAGTTTCTTTTTAATTCAATCAGCTGATCACTGTTTTTCTCTTCTCTTGATGACTCCGATGCGAGTCTCGTTTCTTCGATGCCCGTGGTCTGCGTGATTGCGTGTTGCGAGTGAGAAGAGGGGTGGCTCAACCACCAACCAGTAAATCTACTTGGGAATATTATGGGTATTACTGCACCTATTTGCCAGCCCATAGCAGAAACCATGTTACTGCAGGTTACTACTTGCGCAGCGGTGCAGAATTCTTGAGCTGCGGGGGGCCATGTGACCCTGTGGCACATCTAGATCCTCGGTAACGAATGGTGCTTGGAAGATCCGCTGCTGAAAGTCGTAGCTGCTGAGTAATTATGGTTTCGAAAAAAATATTTTCCTCAAAAATCTACTTGAACCACCATCACTAACACCACCAACAACAGCAACAACAGCAGCAGCAACAACAACATCATCAATATCAACAGCAGCATCAACATCAACATCACGGTAATTCAAACGATGCATTTAAAATATGTGACCATATCCCAGTTAGTTTGCTTAACAGCACAGTTGTTCGCTAGTTGCTGGTTAGAGTGGTCAACTGGTCAAGTTTGATCATGTTTCATATCTCACTATCTCACATTTTTTAAAACGTATATCAAATATTCATGTCAATTCTTGGTGTTGCAACCACATTTCTTTTACAGTTCAAAATTCCCCTGCTGGCTGGTTGAAATTTTCATCTTTGTAGATTCAATCTCAGTCTTTGTGACTTCACTCCAAAAAAGGAGTCTTGAACATAGCTCTGGAAAATCACCATTTCAAATATGTCAAATGTACATAGATCATGTATAAATCTATACCATATCTATGGTATTTGTTTCAATCAGATTTACTGTACCCAACATGTTGGCTTATAAGATTCTTGGGCAGCCACACACTGGAAATTCAATTTTATTTTTTTTTGACCACCTTGCAATCTATCCTACTGACATGTCACCATAAAATCGTCGGTCTTATCCGATGATAGTTCAATGACATCACCATTTCACAGTTTTTGCCATGCTCAAAACATAGTTTGTTTTCCCATATCAGAGGAAGGTAATCATCCATTTCCAAGGGTTTATATACCATTACATATGCCCTGTGTTTGGACTTCCGGTATGGGATAGATAGATGACCATAACCAATTTTCTGTGGGTTGATCATGGCACATTTGATGCTATATGCTGGTATCAATCTCTTTGTATGTCCATTAAAAATATATATATATAATTATATATATGTGTATATATATATATACACATATATATATATATACACATATATATATATATATATCATATATAATGATAATATCTCATTACATTTCATTAAATCAGAATAAATCGCATCATAAATCCCACTATAATTCCTATTATCCCAGTAGATCACCATAAATGTTCGTCAAATTCCCATTAAATCCCATTGAACACCATGCAATTCTATTAATTCACCATTGAATCCCATGAAGTCACCATTGAATTCCATTAAATCACCATTAGATCCCATTAACTTACCATTAAATTCCATAAAATCGCCATTAAACCCTCATATATCACCATTAAGTCCAATTAATTCACTCTAAGTCACCATGGCCCTTGCTGGGTAGATCTGCTTCGTAGCTTGGACACGTCGCGACTCGCTTCGAGGATCTTTGCTGTCGCCCCAGCAGCGGCCTACGCGTCTCTGGCACTTGGTCGCCGAGCTCATCGCTGCTGTGACATGGTCCAGACGGAGGATGGGGACTGAATGGTCGGAGAAGACATGGGAATATGATATATAAGTATTTAATGGTATTAACCCATCATCTAATATGGTAGAGACCGTCTTTTTTATTCGGGAAATAATGAAATATACAAACCATCAGTTGTGATAAGAAATGGGTCTGAAAATAGGGGATGCCCCAACATGACCACAGGAAAGGTGGTGAACGTCACAGGAATCGTGAATTCAGTGGAAGTAAGGGCAATGTCCAGTTATAGCTGAGGTTAAGCACTGGTGAACCAGCACAAAGCACGTAGGAAACCATTATTTTTAAAACAAACAAACACGTGGACTTAACTTACAGGAATGGGACTTTAAGGACAGGATAGGATAGGCCTACAGCTTGAGGGTGTGGTGGATCATGCTGAAAAGCCTTGGAATTGTTTTTTTCCGCTCCAGTTTCTGCCGCATTCTGCGAAGAATCAGATGAAAGTATGAGTATGGTGTCCCAGTTTGAGATGTTTAAGATTCCTAGAACCTAAGGGACAATTAAACCCTATAAAACCCTTAAATCATGGGTTAGATAATCTAAGTATGTCTAACATTAAATGGTCCCTCAAAAAACCATCAAGTCAGATCGTTTTTTGAGGTCTGGTGGCTGGCAAGATGGCTGCCTCCGTGGTCAGAGTTTGGCCAATGAAACGACCAACATGTCCCTGGTGCTGAATTTTGACAGGCGGAACGCTACGGATGGTGAGTCTGGGCATGGGTTTCTGCACCTGCTGCATGGTCGATTGTACATGAGGTGAGTCTACAAATATGTGTTTTTTTTGGGAACAACACCGAATTGATATTGATACAGTAGATGATGTCACTTGAAATAAAGATCAGTCTCCGCTCAGCAACCATGTTTGTCCAATGCATTGAGACCCAACTTGCTGGTTAAGATCTATAGGATCTCCCAAATGATTCACCAAACGTTATCTGCAACATTCTGCAACTATGCTTATCTACCGATATCCCAAGTTTACCAAACATGTCGAAGGTTGCCTACAGCTACTTCCAACATCTTCTAACCAAAACCATCGAATCCTTCCAGACTTCGATGTGGTTTCCCCATGAGCCCTGGGAAGGTCGCCAGCTCCTGTGATTATCAGCTTGAACTGGACAAATATCGCGCCGTTGGTTCCTGGGGTCGCCGATTTCGGGGCAAAATTGAGGGCCGTAGAAAGCATGGTGCATTGAAGGTAGCAAACCGTGCTGCGTTTTTTTTCCTTAAGACTTGTCGGAACATAGACTAACCATATTTCTTAATGGAAAAATGGGGAAACTGTGCTATAAAACTCAATAACATGGGTTAATTGCTGACTCTCTGGTAAATTTTCACAGTTCGACCCTGAAAATAACATAAAGTCTTGTTTTTTAGTGCAAACTAATCTTCCAAGCCCAATGTGCCAGGGTCGAACTGATTGGGTGAATGATGGGGGGATTTGGTGAAAAATCCACATGCTATAGGTGAAATGTGTCTAGGTCCAGTTATGATAAGTATAAAAAAAACATATGATATATGATGTATGTTGATATCTGAGATAATATATTAAATATAAATAATATATATATATTATATATATAGGGTTGGTTAAGTATCCATTCCCCTGATATTCCCATCATATCCCCATTATGGTTTTGTCCGAAGGTCCCTTTTGTCGGATGTCCATCCTATCTGCACCTCCGGTGGTTTTGCCACCTGAGCGGTGTGCAAAACAGCTGGTTGATTATCCTATGGTAAACATACAAAAAGCTATAGAAAATCACCATTTTGAATAGGTACATAAACTATAAATATCTATAAATAGGGTGTTTTCAATAGCTATGTCACCTATGTAACAAATTACCAGAGGGTAATAACAGGAAATTTTGATATGGAAATCCCTTTTTTCAACAGACCAAGCGATTTTTTTTTCGGAACGACGGGTTTGGAAGCGTGAGGGATTAGTAGATGTCCCAGTGACCTAGTGGGACACATGTTAACGGGTCAAACCTTGGAATCTTCACAATCCATTCCTACCCTCTTTGAAAATTCATATGGCACCCAACACACATGCCATGCAACCAGCTGGAAAATCATGTTCCAAAGCATCTCTGTGGGTTCCATCTTGATTTGCAATCGTGTACAGTATCTCAGATTCAAATGATCCATTTAAAAAAAGTGGATCCTTGTGAATTTTTGGGGCCAGTGGCCTGCTCCGCGCCGATCCACAGATCATAGATACTCTTAGATTACTCCAGTGTGATCATTGGCTGAAATCCCATTTCGATCCATAAAAAAGGAATGTTTTCACATGCAAGCTGCTCATTTAAGCGCCTTTTCACATGGCATCGCCAAGGCGCCACAGCCTTACCTTGTGGTCGATGAACAAGTTTTCAAAGTTCACGAAACCCTACTGGACGTGCTTCGCGAAGACTCGGTGCCAAGGGATGCCAAGGGGCGATGCTAAGTTAGCTGTGCTAAGTTAGTGAATCGCCCTTACTTCACTCCTTGGAATTTTAGGGGCTTGCTAACCTGAAATATTTATAACAGTTATAACAGTTTTGCAGGACCCCAAAAAGCGTAGATTCTATATATGAATCCAAGGTTTCGATGCTGAATTTGGAACCATCTCTGGGTGAATTTTACAACGACCTCACGTGGCAACGTCACTGGGAATCATCCTAAATGGCTGAACTTTTCCGGTTGGCGCTGGTTGAATCAGCCATGGCGCCCTTCATCATGTCACGTGAAAATTCCAGACAGCTTGACCATTGGCATTTGGGAAGCTCCCCTAAATTGCAAAACAGAGTGAGACTTTGGGAAAAAAATTGATGGGAATAAGACTCTTCAGATTGTGGTCAATCATTGCAATCCAACTAGATATACCTTTATCTCTACTCGATTGAGCTTCATTTGGTAAGCAGGTCATTGGATTGTTTGCTGCCATAAATGGTGAAAGGAACCAACAGGGTCTCTCAGATCAGCCATATTTGGGGGTTTCCTAAAATGAGGGATCCACATGTCACCACAGGGTTTAATACTAAAATGGTCTGATGGCTCGGATGGTTTGGGGGTAACCCCATTTTAGGAAACCTCCATATTTATATATATATATATGTATATAATATGTACATATGTATAAATTATAGATCTTTAGGTCAAGAAACATACTCGTAGCAATGACCTCCAGTCCCGTGTTTTCATGGTGAGCTTCCTGATCATCGGATTTTCTGGTAGTCCAAGCCATAAAAAGTACACATTTCCACAATTGGTTGGATGGAACATGTGCAGGCAACCCCCTCAACAAAATCCATCCACTGCCGAGTCATAGTTGCTCAGTGACTTGGCAAACTCTTAACGTCACTCAACGTCACTTAAATCTTCATGTTTCCAGGTGAACACATAATGCATATACCAGTAGTTACAACAATATATGACTATATACATACATTACATATATATATATATATATATGTATGACATACATACACACATATATATATATATATGCGGCATATCTATTATATATATATATATATATATGTGACATATAAATTACATATTATTTCGTATACATTCCATATTGTTACATATATATAATATGACATATATATATATATGTATTATATATATATATATATATGCGGCATATCTATTATACATATATGTGACATATAAATTACATATTTTTTCATATACATTCCATATTGTTACATGTTAGTACATATTAGTACATACTCTTACATATGTTATATTCTTCAATATTTAAGAAATATATATATATATATTTTTTGGAGCTTCAAACATCCCGTCATATCCCGTCACTAAAAACCACGTCCACCACCTCGCTTTTCGCCTTGACGTTTGACACCCGTGAGGTGGTGAACTTTGACTATGTGGGCGATGCAGAGGTCCTCGGGCGGCAGTCAAAAGGGTCAAGATGGTCAAGCGACAACGGCGGACGATATGGTGACATGTGGTGGATTAGCGATTAGTGGAGAATTTTCCCATTAAAAATGGTGATTTTCCCATTAAAAATTGTGATTTTCCCAGTAAAAATGGTGATTTTCCCATTAAAAATGGTGATTTCCCAAAATGGATGGTTTAATTAGGACAATTCTATTAAAATTGATGAACATTAACGGTGGATGGTTGCGAAATCCTGCACCAAAAGGATGGTTGAAACCCTATAGTGCGATAAACCATCTATCAATTGGTGCAGGATTTATTCAGTTTCTTCCATCCACAGTATGTTAGTCACAATGATTAGCCAGTTCACCCGGACATAAAACAGATGCGATAACTGGTTAGTCAGGATGACGGATGACTATAGATGACCAGAGTGCAAAGATGACTATACTTAAGAGTACGTTCATCTCACTTGCCACCGTAAAATGTATATACTAAGCAGCTATTTTTGAAATTTTGGCAGGTATCGAAGGTTCACCTTGTGGTAAACTGAGATCATGGATCCAGGGCAAATCTGAAGTTTCCAAAGTCTCTTGGTAAATTTCATTACGACCTCACTGGACGGTTAGGATTCGGGGAGCTATGCCCAAAACTGGCCCAGTGCGTGTGATGGCTCACGTTCACAAAGGTGATTCAGCAATAGTGCAACATACTCATGACGTGGTTGTGATGGCTTTTATCTCACGGGAGGTTTCGCCAATGTATCCCTCAGAATCATGATGTGCAATGGAATTGATAATTCGTCATTTGGGGAAGATCTGGCCGCCATGGCTACAGTGGATGAGATGTCTGAAGTGGCCTCAGGAACAAAACTCGCAAGAGGGGCTGACCATTATGAGGGATGACCATAGCAAAATCAAACGGTTTGTGAAACCGGCAAGCTTTGATGAAGCAAGAGATGATAACCTTGCAGTCTCGGAATGCGGAACGATGCTGCAGGAACTAGTAGACAACGTGCAGGCTTTGCTGCGGCACCTCTCTCTCAAGTCAATTGTGGCCTTATTTCGGGTTAATGAGCTAATTTAATTTACCAATGTGAAATCCAAAGTTTGGGCGTAAAATTGGGTCCACTATCTAGGACCTAGGATGCCTCACCTTGTAAGAACATGATCAGAAAAGAATGGCATCGTATCAAATTCATCCATTTGTATCCATTCTTTTAACATCAGGGACTTGAATGTTTTTTTTTTGTTTGTCCGGAAGTGGGGGTTAGAATGGGGATGCAATGGTCAAATTACTGAAATGGCTGGAACAGATTGCGTGTTTGAAAATTATACAACCTACAAACATCGCGTTATGGGGGTTCATATTGATACGGCTTAAACTTAAACATGGTTAACTTATCGAATCCTTCATGCGGTACAGATTTCCCAGGTCTGGAACCAACAAACGGCTTGGGATTTGAACTGCAAAAAGATCGTTGGATACTATCATATTATATATATATATATCATTATGTGTATGTATATATATATATATGTAGATAGATCCCCTCTAGTAGAATCTGTTTGTGGATGTTATATCCCCTTTTCAGTTCATGGGATGGATCAGCTCCCTATCCTGAACCACGCGGGGGGCATCCAGCCACGTGGCTGGATGCGATTGTTGACGATTGGCCCATTCTAAGAAGAATTTAATACAACAATATTTGTATGTATATATATATATACACATGGATAGATATATATATAGAGATATATATTTAGAGAGAATAACATATATCACCTACACATATACATATATAATCTATAATATATATATATATATGTATATATAACGAGATTCGACATCATATAACATATGCACTATATATATACATATATATATAAATACGAATGTAGACATCTCATGACCCTCTTTGAAGTCATAGAAAGACAAATTGTTTTTAATGTAGTCAAATGGTAAATACCCTTTTGTGTGTATATCTGGGATTATTTGTTAGTTTATTACACATTGCGAATTGGTATTAGTTCATCATATCACCATATTATATTGTTGTTTTTTGGTCAATGTGCATGTCCGTATCACCCTTCAGTTGTTCAATGCATAGTTATGTGTGCAATTATATAATGTTATAATTCTACGTATATTCATTACTTTAATGCATAATCATTACATCATACTATATTTGCGAAGTGGTGCACCCCAGTTCGTGCTACTCCCATTGAGTTGTTGGATACATCTGGCATAAATCCAACAGTGGAATTTAAGCCAAATAGCACTTGCCAGTTGCCAGTTGATGGAATTCCCATTCTTGTTGGGCTTTATCAATTTTTAGTGCGTCAGTTAAATCGGTTAAATCCCAATGAATAGATGATTAGATCCCCATTTGTTCAGCTTAAATCCCATGGTCTCTTGATTAAATCACCATTTGTTAGTAAAATCCCTGTGTTTGTTAAATCATACTCTCCAGTAAATCAACATGCACCCTGGCAGGTAGGGGTTGGACGATTCCTTTCCACTAAAACATTGCTATTTTCCGGGTCTATGTCAATTTACCAGAGGCCAAATTCCCTATTTTTCCTTTCTTAAATCCCATTTATAGATCATTTAAAGGAAAAGTGCTATTTTTTTAAAACAAAGAACATAGCTATGTTAAATGACCAAAGGGTAAGGTTTTCGCTGCTTCAATCGCCGGGGTCACCGGGGTCACCGGGGTCACTGGAGGTGACCTGGGAGATTTGCCTTCGCGAATCCTGCGCTGCTGTGCACTGTCCTCCCCCTCTGCTGCAGCGCAGCGGTGAGAGTTGCCTCGGGCTCCTTGGGTCCATGGGAAAATTGGCAGTTGGATGCATAGATCTATAGAATTCTATTCATATATCTAGTATAATATACTGTACGTATGTATAGTTAGTTATATATGTATACCGCAACATTGGAGATTTGGAGATGAAAAACACTAGATAATACCCCAAATTCCTATGATTTCAAATGATTTTTGGGAGATCTATTCCAGCAGATCATGGAAATATCATGGACATATATGACATATGTCTGGGTAAATTATAGTGACCTGGAAAGATGATTAGTGAGGGGAATCATACCCAGATCGTTATAGGGGATTCTACTACCTGGTCTCATGGGGATCATTAGAACCCAGAGCCCCATGGCAACTCGTGCGATGCGAAAAAAAGGGCTTTCCTAACATGGGGGTACCCCAAAATGGATGGAAAATCCCAACTTAGCTATGTTTTTTTGACTATTAGATATAGACATGATATATAGAACATAATCTATACAGGAGGTGCCAGAATTATAGAACGAAATTAAGACTACAAAATTAAAAGTACGGTAAAATATCGTACCTTCGTACTCCTCCGGATCCCGATTCCGCGCGGATTCGGATCCTGTTCTATAATTATTTTTTCTGTTCTATTATAATTATTTTTTCTGTTCTATAATTTCTGGCACTGGCATGATATCTATTGCATATTTGTATACAGTACATAATTATAGAACGGTTTAAGCAAAATTAATTATAGAACGGAAAAAACAAATATAGAACGAAACTGGTAAATGTGGGAAAAATGGTGGAAAACACAATTATAGAACAACCTAGAATTATAGAACAATGAAAAAACTAGGAGTAAGTTAAAATACGTTTTTTTTCATACCTTCCGAGGACCGAGGAAAACAGAATTATGGAACAACAGGGTGCGGCAAATAACCGTACCTTCGTACTCCTCAACTTCCGTTCTATAATTTTGGCACCTACCATAGACGTTATCTATATATTATGGATATTAACTATCTATCAAGTTATGTTTGTTGCTTTAATTGTTACCCCCATGTTCAGTAGGTCCACAGGTCCAGGTCATGTGGGCGACTTACTGGATCTACATGGGATTCATGGCATTGGGTTCACCACATGAGAAACTAGACGTTGTTATAGATATTACCCTCTGGTAAATTAACATAGACCCCGGCAGATAGGGGTTGGAAGACTAGTTTCCATTAACAATTGGCTATTTTCAGGGTCTATGTTTATTTACCAGGGGGTATCTAATTGGGATATTCAACATGAGATTTCAAATACAACAACATGGGATATTTTTTGTTGGGATTTCACCATAAAGTCTAGTGAACATCTAACATTGATATCGATCAACATGGGATTTCAACCTACCATGCCTTGCTTTTGACATCTTTTGACTACACAGTTGGCTTTACACCATCCACATGTGTGTTTCACCTCCAAATGAAGCACATAAGACAAGTCTACCTGGTAGCAAACAAAGACTATTTTGGGGTCAGTAAATGAGCATATTTCCAAGGTTAGTTGTGACCTCGTTCAGTGATCAGCCGAGGAGAAATTGCACTGACCCCACCGACACGGCCATTTGCTGTTCCTTGGAGCCCGTGGATCTCAACGGCATCATGTGGAAGGGCGGATCTTTGAATTCTTCAGTCTTCGATTTGGTGGCTCCCGATCCTTTGGAGCAAGCTGGGGGATGGAGAGGGGTGTTTTTCCCCCCAAGATAGCTAAGTTGGTGAACATCACATTTTATGACTACAAAAAACTAGGCTTTATGGTGGATATAGCATGATGTAAGTGGGGTAGGGATTGTATCTGAAGCAACTCTGAGTGGCAAACCAACAGTCCTATGCAGTCACAGGAAGAACACTTTCTCAAGTGGACCAGCTGTCCAAGCCAGTTTGATTTGTCATGATGCTTGATACGCACTTCATATCTAATAAGACTATCTATCTATATATATATATTATATATATATTATATATATATTATGAGTTCATCATACTTCATGACCTGTTTAAACATATTTCACGAAATAATGACGCCCTTCGAAGCATATAGATGTTCATCCACGCCGCAAAAAACACAAAACATCACAGCTGGAGAAAAAACACAACTGAAAACACATCAACCGATGGTACTTTTCTGCATTTCTCCAGGGTTTTCATCGCTTTCCTCCGGTTTTTCGCGGTCCGCATCCCCTAGGTCAGCGGCTGGGCCCTCGACGTCATCCAACAGCTGCAGAAAAGCATCGGGGGTCGCCTGCTCTGTGTGGCACAGCAGCTGTCGAACGATGGCAACGTGGCTAACTCAACGGTGCGGTGGCTGGCGGAGTATGGCCCGTGCAAACATGGAGGGGTGGCCACAACATGCCACAACAGACATGGGGTTTATATCATATGTATATGTATTTGTATGTGTATGTATATGTATATGTATATGTTTTTGCATATGTATATGTATATGTATATGTTCATGTATATGTATATGTACATGTATTTGCATATGGATATGTATATGTATTTGTATTTGTAAATGTGTATTTTTTTTGTGTATTTGTACATGTCAATGTATATGTGTGCTTGTAAATGTCAATGTATATGTACGTATATGTATGTATATATATATATGTTTATATATATATGCATGTGTATGTATATATATATATATATATGCAAATGTATATATGTATATATATGTATTTGTAAATGTATGTATGTATAAATGTATATGTATTTGTATATATATGGATATGTATTTGTATTTGTATATGTATTTTTATGTGTAATTGTAAATACATATGCATATGTGTATGCATATGGATATGTATATGTGTATGTATATTTTTTGTAAATGTATGTGTATATGTATATGTATATGCATATGTATATATGTATGTATGTAATGTAATGTAATGTAATGTAATGTAATGTAATGTAATGTAATGTAATGTAATGTAATGTAATGTAATGTAATGTATGTATGTATGTATATACATTTATATATATATATATTTATATGCAAATGTATATGTATTTGTATTTGTAAATGTATGTATGTATAAATGTATTTGTATATGGATATGTATATGTATTTGTATGTGTATTTGTATATGTATTTGTATTTGTATGTTTATGTATACTTGTAAATACAGATGCATATGTATTTGCATATGGATATGTATATGTATATGTATATTTATTTGTAAATGTATGTGTATATGTATTTGTATATGCATATGAATATGTATATGCATATCTATTTGTAAATGTATGTGTATATGTATTTGTATATGTACACGTACTTGTAAATGCACATGTATTTGTAGCGTTTTTTTTTTGTAAATGTATATATGTATATGATTTGTAATTGTATATGTATATATATATATATGTGTTTCTGTATGTATATGTATTTGTATTTGTATTTGCATTTGAATTTTTATGCGTATATGTATATGGTAGATGTGTTTGTTTTTGTTTGTGTATATCTATACAGTATTTAGATGTATATGTATATGTATGTAAATATATACATATTGTGTATTTGTTCATATATATGTATATTAGTTTATTGAATTGTTTTTTTCTTTATTTCAAGCATCAATATGATCATCATCATCATAATCAACATATATAATGTGTATATATATATGTAACAGGTTAGGCACCCGGCAATTGGGTTAAACCAAATTAGTTCGGTGGTATTTGCTATTCAATATCCTTTTGGGAAAAATCAATGGTTTGCGGTTTGGAAATGATACAGTACTAGGACGTCAGCAATCATGATGGTCGGTATGTGTGATCATGAATGGTTTCAGTCTTCCCTGCAGGGCCTTGCTTAGTTTGAATATTTTGGACAATCACCTGATCATTAACTGATATTTCAGGCAACCTTTGCTTATGATGGTTATAATATGTTATAATGTGATTTTTCTTGGCCATAAGGTGCTTTGACTTCTACGGATATATGTAGACTACATGAATCGGGGATTGGATTGTGCCCAAGTGCTTAGGCCACGTTCGAAAATGGTAAGAGGAGCATGTTCTCTACCTGATGTGGTTTATAACTTTAGTTATAACATGTATTTAAGATGTTAGAACTGTTTTCTAAAGCCCACTTATCTAATTATCAACTACTATCAACTTAGCTATCAAATTTGGGGGCCCACCTTGTATTAGTGTTGGATGTCGCAGCACAACTATGCTGGTTGCTCCTATGGACGGCAAATTTGGTGATTTCCCCAGTGAAAATCACATGGGGTTCTCTTAAAATAAAGGATCCCCAAGTCACCACGGTGGTTTCAATACTAAGTCATAGTCTACTAACTTGGATGATCTGGGGTGTATCCCCAATTTTATGAAACCTCCACATGTTGGTTGTGTTTGATTTGGGTTTCTCCCATTGACACCCAAAATGGCTCGATGTTCCAGCGCTCGTTGGCCGCCACCACGCCCAAGGACTCTTTTTTTCAAATCTCTGCCGGCACTACACCCGGATGATTGGCCAGACCAAGGCAGACGTGATGCTGGTGCCGTGTCACGAATGGGGGAGTAGCCGAGTTGGTAAGTTCACCTGGTTTGCTGGAAAATCCACATGAACATATGGGATGATCATATGCTTGGCTATGTTCCAGCAAGGTTCAACTACTGGAGGCGGATTTGGCAAAGATGGTTGTTTTTGAAGAGACATAACTATACAAGTAGGGTTGGTTTATAAACCGCAACAACATCTGGCTAGAATTACATTAAGTTGTTTGTCAGGATTAACTGGTTGACTGGAGTGATGTGACCCTGTTCATTGGAATTGGATCTGGTCCAACTGTTGGGTCCCTCGAGAATCTCGGGCGAGCTCTATGTAGAATCATCCTAAAGAAGATAGTATGTCCAAAATTTCAATCATATCCCAGTTTGTTTGCGCAGTTTTGGACATATACATATTCTATCTACTCCAGGATGATTATATAATACATATACATTTACATATACATGTACATATATAATATATATATATACATATGTATTGATAAACGTATACACTTATTGATATATGCATACACGTTCATATTTACATAATATACATATATACATATATACATCAATTCATTCATATATACATATATACATGGATACATATATACATATATACATTATATACGTATATACATATACACATATACAAATATACACATAGTGAGAGTGGTTGGTGGTTTCAACTCACTTCATGTTTCGATCCTACCTTGGGCTGGGTTCACATCACAATCCACACACATCGGTTCCACATTCTGATGGCTCCATCCCACAATTTCTATCCCACTTTTGTGGATTCCACCGTGTTCCCACAATTCTCTTGCTAAGCTGCTATGGTTTACTTGTGATGTTTGAACATTGAATGTAAAATGGATAGGAATTTGCCAATTGTGTGTCATTGGTGCCGCATTTTGGGTCATGTACATATCCTCATGCGTAGGCTCAAAATTGGGTCCCAGCCGATACAATGTGACCCCCCCTGGAGTTGTTGAATAACTCCAACTAGGACTTACGGTGCTGGTAGTTGTATCCAGTGCAAAGATTTGCCTTTGACTTACCGCGGGTGACCTCCTGGGAGGAGATCCCCAAAGGGGCTTGTCATGTGAGATATGCAGTTGTTCATACATACAATTCTATTGTATATACCATAGATCAAGTCCATAGGACCATACGTTGCGTCCAAGTTTAATCCCAACATGTTGTGTCCAAAACAAGTAGGACCTGGTGAACTCGAAGTGAACAAAACAACGAAAACACGCAGGTTCTTTCATACAATCATGAAGTTTGTAAGCCATCATGCACCCATGACATATCGGATTACATATATTCTATGTACATATATATATATATACATACATATGTATATATATATATACATAGCAGCGGTCTGAAACTTAGAATGACCAAAAGCGCTTGTTGGAAAAACAAATCCCAGCCGCGATTTTGAATTTTGAACAAAACACAGCGCATTTGCAGCAAAACCCCACTTAGAATGCCCTATTTGGGTTAAACTTAGAATGCCCGAGCATACCCATGTAATATGGTTAAACAAATGTTAAAAAACTTTCTATTTGCTGCTATTTGCGAGGAATTATCATGGACGGACGCCCTAAAACATAGAATGCCCCACATTTTTTGTCATTTGACCCCACAAAAGTGTAGCCGCGTTTTTTTTACAACACGTCTCAGCAAAAATGCAAACAAAGGAAAGGACAACAAAACAAATCTTCAAAAACTCGCGAAAAAATCCATTGTATTTGGGTTCAGAGGCATTCTAAGTTTAGTATTCTGGATCATTTTCCTTCGGTTTTCCCTGCATTTTAAAGTAGTACACACATGATATTTTGGTATATCGGTACTGAGCCATTCCAAGTTTGAGGGGGGGCATTCTAACTGGTGGGCATTCTAAGTTCTCCCCAATCAATTGTTTACACTTTTTGACCCATTCCAAGTTTCAGACCGCGGCAATATACATATGTACATATAGTATATATAGTATATATATATATACACGTGCATACATTTATATAGAGGGTTCCTAAAATAGCGTTACCCCTAAATCATATCTTAATAGGATTTTCCATTATAAACCATCCATTTTTGGGGATCCCCTATTTATCGAACCCCCCATACATACATGTTTATATCACCAGCACTGGCCATGCACCGCTGACTTTGGCTAGGTGTTTGCGTTTCATTTGGCATCACATTTAGCACGTCTGGAACAAGATCAGTTGCGAAGCTCACTCCTTCCATACGTCCGGAACACCGCGGAACGTTCCATGCAGCCATATGTTGATTTTTGCGTTTCTTAGTGTATAAACATGAAGGGCACTACTAAAACACACTTAAACAACTATATCACAACTATAGAAACGTGAAGCTTCAAATAACACAACTATATAAACATGAAGGGAGTGTTGCATATGTATATATAGACTGTGTTGACTATCTTTAAACAACATACTAATACAATTCTAATATATAACTATATATATATATACACATTAATAAATATCATCATAACCACCATAACAATGACACTATAAGAAACATCAATAATAATGGTTGATTATCATTATATATCATAACCTCTATATATATAATTACTATCATCATCATGACATGGTCACAACATCGACTGTTGTGTTCAACGCCCGTGCCAAGGCAGGCGGAGCACTTGGAGCCGTGTCGTCACTGGTGCGACTGAAACCGGGGCCCAGCATGGTGCTGGTCTGCAGTGACCTGGGATTCTACAAGGGTCTCTCAGACTGGATTTGAAGATGGGATTTTGATGTGAATTGAATGGTTTTTTTCGAATTGAATGCGATTTTTCGATTTTGATGGCATGTGATTGGCATGTTGTGGGATTTTTTTCATGGGATTCGATGGGATTGTATGGGAAATTAGTGGGAATTTAACGGGATTTGTCATGTGATGTTGAACGGAGTTTCATGGGAATTGAATGCGATGTCTTAATGTGATTTTAATGGCATGCAATTGGCATGTTGAGGTTTCCTTCGCGCTTCGATGATGCTCACGCCTGACCATGGCACGGTGTGGCGTCCAAACGGGGCGAAGATTTGGTTGTTTCACCGGCAAGATATAGGGAATTCCATAAATGGGGGTACCCCAAAATGGATGGTTTACAAGGGAAAATCCATTTATAGATGGAAACCCTCATATGGGGAAATCAACATGACATGAAAAACGGTGGTAAATCAAGTAGCGATGATTAATGAAGAGATCACAACGATTAAATATCATGCTCATATCATCGGCGCCGCTGGATACTGATCTTAATCATTATATAATGGATCATTGATTAAGATATATTAAGATCATAATGATTAAATATCTCTGGATTATCACTGCAGGTGTGGGTTGTCTATCGGTTTTGGACGCAGAACCTCTGGATAGCGGTTAGATCCCATGATCTGCTGGAATCTCCATGACGAAAAAGCGGGATGTTTGAGGGCACATACGTCAGATGTCGACTGAAAATGGTGTACCCCAAATGATTTTTTTATTAGATGTTTGGTAGTCATTTGGCCGTGCAAAATTGCTATTTGGGAGGTATAGCCTATCAAAAAGCCCATTCTCAGACACGCCCTAGTATGTCAAGCAAGCAGTTTTTTTGTCCTGTCGTTCAGGTTATGTCATGTCTTCCGTTTGGTTCGCTGCTGGAGAACGTGCGAGGCAGCTGGGACATGCTGGGACGGTTTTTGGCTTCGGGGATTTTCATGGATTTTCACAGTGGTTATCATGAAAATGGCCATCACTTTAAAGCCCAGTCTTTCTTTTTCACGTTTTGAAATTGGATTCGTTGAATATCAAAGAATGACCGGTTTCTCCAGTTCATGAGTCGTGTCGTCCTTTATTGAGGCTCTTGTACGTATATTATACATCCGTATGTGTAGAAAATTGTAGAAACGGGTATGTGTCTTAGAACACACATATACCTAATGACCGAATTATATTATATATATTATATATATAAATGTAGAAATATGTATTATCATTCATATATCATGCATGTAAATGTAGACATAGATGACATACAAAAAGAACAAATGAAAATTGCAAGGAAATTCCAATGTATCCAAACGTGTATATTGTTTCGAACATGATATTGCTCTCTATCATGTATCTACATATATCTAATGTGTCTTTACTGTATAATATATTTAAATATATTCATACATATCACATACGCAATATATACAGTATATATATACATATACTGTACAATATATGTATATACACATGAAAAATAGATAAAAAACGTATCTCATATATACAACAGACACCAGTACACTCAAAGATAGCGAGCGGGTCCAGACACCCAAATCATCCAACCCTTTGCAGGGTATACAAACCGAATTGATGGGGCTATGACCATCCTTTATATGGGGAACCGCCAGCAATTTATATCAGATATTAGTACAGTCATTATATATGGTGGATATATTAATTATAAGACATATATTTGTTCCACTTATATACAGACAATTTATTAGCAGGTGCTTAAACATAAATACATTTCTGGGTTCAAGCACCATTCATGATGAGTATATTCCCTAGAATTCGCAGGGTATCATACAGCTTCGCCATGATATACAGTTGTTTCTCTTATGGCAAAAAGATAAGCATGTGTTGTTTGTTTTTGTTTAACCTCAAATACACGTGTATATACATTTCTATATATATACACATCTAAATACATTTAGATGTATATACATACTATTTGATCCAAATTGCTAGAAACAACTACCTACACTCCAGCAAACAAACACAGCTACGGAGTATCCACGATAAAGATAAATCATGTTCTCATCGTTGCCATTTCGTTTATTATAGCTATATGGTATTATTACTATCATTTATATCCATGGCCATTCCTAACCAGAAACGCGTTAATTACCTATTGTGAATTATATTCCATTATATCAACGTATATATCCATTACTAACCATGTCATTATCATTCATTTTTTATTTGATAACTGTCCAATAATCAAGGTGCTTAAGTATCCTATTACATTCCATCAAATAAACCATATCCCAAGTCTTTTATATTGATATGTAACAAGTTCATCAGTTCCATGGCAATATGGACAAATAGAAGAACGCCTCGGGAGTTTTTTTAACCTTCTGCTAATCAAACATGGTAATGCAAAACCACCCATTGTGATGCATCATTTTAGCACTAAAATTGTCCATGCATAATTATTTTGACTTTCCCAGAAATAACTTCCATTTATAGATGATATTTCTATAAAACCTCCATTAATCGAATATCATCTATAAATGGAATTTCCATCTATAGATAGAACCTCCATCTAGCTCAGGGATTTTCCATTCTATTAACCATTAATCATTCGTTAATAGCCATGAATCTCTATGATTCACCTGTGCCGCCCTCGCTGAACGACTCGATACGACTCGCGACGTGGCAAGGCTTTGAGCTGAATTTCCGTAGCCTCGAGCCACAGCCCTGGCCCTCCTATCGGCAACTGAGCAGCTTCAAGATCCAGCAGCCCCTGGCGGAGCCGTGGTAGAGATGGGAGAAGGAAAAGCTAGGAAATATCTGGGGACTGGGGAGATATGATATTTGATAATATATTTGATGTATATATACCTAGAGACTCGAGCGGCATCAAAATTTTGATGCTGGTCTAGCAAAACAGTGTTTCATCTGATTGCCGCTGAAATTTCTGGCATGCGCCGTTCTTTGGGAAACAAATATGGTTTTAGATTTTGGTGTTGGAATGCGCCGTTTTTGCCAATGATTGCACCGTTTTTGCCCGTGATTGCGCCGTCCTTGCCCGTGCAGAATTTCCATTGCGCCGTTTTTGTGGAATTGCGCCATGTTTTCTACATTGCGCCATTCTTGTGGACTTGCGCCTGATTTTTTTGTAGGTTGGGAATGCGCCCGAAATTTTGGATACATGAGTCTCTAGGTATATATAGATATATTTATAATCATATATATATATATGATATTTAGATATGTTTACATAGATATATTTACATAGAATATATTTATATATAGTATGTGTAGATATAGTATGTGTAGATATATTGATTATATATATATACATACACATGATATTCATATCATTGCGTAATTGTTTACACATATAGAAACACCGAAGATCGAGAAAAGGGTTAATTAAAAACTATTTTAAAGATTATCAAAATTGTTCATTTTCCATAGCAGAGGGTATTTATACAGGTATTTATAAACATATATGTATATACAAATATTTACCTATGTATATATTAGATATATAGATAAACATGTATAGTAGCCCCCAACAAGGTAGACACGTAAATTCCTACTGAAATAGTGGTAGAATACTGTTCTATCTTTTTGGGTGGTGCTGTATTAATGTAAATGCCTAGACATATTATATATATATATATATATTAGCAAAAATGATGGAACTGTTTGGAAATATTGTATGTAATAATATATGATGTTTGGGTGTCCCTGAAATCGCTGTGTAGGGCCCTCGCATTTGCGGCTGTTTTCACAGGGGAAAATGGCGGCATTTGTTGGTTTCTCTATGGACAAACGCAGTTGATCGCACATGGGTGTATAAACAACATATTATGGATATGTACATGTACATACATGTGTATATATATATATATGCATGGGAAAATGATGCAAATGTTGTGGATATGATTCATGGATCTAGTTCATTCAATATATACATATGTGTATATATATATGTTTATGTGTGAATATAATGTATACAAATATATTATTATTATCATTATTATTACTATTATTATTTTTCATAAGACCAACAACATAATATTTCGGTGTGTTTGAAGATGGGGTATATCATGATTATGGCAATAGTTAACACTGAAGACAGTGATGATCAACCGTCAATTTTTGTGGGTATCCTATTTTCAGACAAACCCGTGGGGCAACCTTTTTTGGTGGTAAATATGGTTTCGTTGGACCAACAAATTAATCTGTTTTTCAGTATTCTTTTGGTGATTAGCGGGAAAAATTCAATGAAATGTGGTTGATCATTTGCTGTAAATGGGCTGACGAGTAGCAATTGCGATTGTGGAATATGTTAAGCATGTGGCGATATTTGCCAACATGAATCGGGGGTGAAATGGCTAAGACTCTGAACAGAGCTGCTAAGATTCCAGAGGGAGTTAACAAACGGGAGAGACTGATCAGTTCTGATATTGTTTTTGCTCAAAAGGTTTGGGAGAGAAACCCTTGGAACTCTTGATGCAGAACTTGAGGCAAGCAGTTAATTGAGATTTCACGAGAAGACTTGAGCTGGCCAATTGCTGAAGCCAATTGCTGAAATTACTTGCGCTCAGTGTTTGGGAGTTCTGTCCAAGGTCAGAAAATGGAAAGGAGCCCGTAAGCTTGCTGGATGTGTTGCCAGCGGCTGTAGGGCCGTGAAAGTTGCTCCGAAAACTGTCTCAAGAAACCTGCGAATCAAAGCCGGCCGTCTGGCGTCTGCGCAAAGAAACGATATCCTCTTGGTCCTGCAGCTGATCCCCTCAGCTGATCCCCAAGTTACCAGGTGATAAGCCATCCATTCTATCAATGGTCTAGGACCCCAAAAAGGTCCGATTTCGATAGCTGGAAGTTGCTGATGGAAACTGTTCGGTTGCTGGGGTGTTTCAGACTCCAAAATATTAAACACATGAAGACGTCGGGTAAATTCGTCGCACGTGTTGCTGGTAAAACAAAATATGGCGGTGTTGTGTCAACATGTGTCAACACATTTTTTCTACTTTTTTTTCTCCTCCGGCATGATATATTAACGGACAGTCCCTTTAAAGCAAACTAAAGAGATAAAACTGACACCTTGTTTTTCCCGCTTCGCCAATGTTTCCGATGCTGTAGTGCTCCAAATTTTTGGTGAAGGTATTTGGAGCAGAGTTTCCCATGTCCAAACTCACACCTTTTGAGAAGGATTTCTCTGAGAACAGGGTAGCCTTGAATCCATTGGTTCATCAGTTAGTTTTCCCCATTGAATTTGAACATATCGAGAGCGGTTCCATTTCCAAACACTCTGAGGACTTGGCATCTTTAAGGCTCAGCTTCAATGAGGCAGGGGGCCAAGAATCTGGTCAGCCCAGTTGGGTGATGCGAAGTTTGACCCAAAAATGTGGCTTTCGCCCAGTATTTTAGGGATTCCGACCCACAATCAATGGTGATCAAAGGAAATGTGAAACATGGTCATTTGACAGCAACAGGACGACATCAATGTTATCGGGGTACCCCTAAGTCATCTATGTTATTTTTCGATTTTCCATGAAATAAACTAAATAAACCATCCATTTTGGGGTACCAACGTTTATGGACACCCGACACAAAGGACCATGAAAAAAGGAATTCCACCAAATCTCCAGCGCAGCCGGCACAATGCGACTTGGTAAAGACCCAGAAGTAGATCCCAGATGTTCAGATCTGTTGTGGGTTAATGCGGGTTAATATATATATATATATATACATGTATACATGTATACATACATGCATGCATGCATGCATGCATGCATACATACATACATACATACATACATATAATATATATACATACATACATACATACATACATACATACATACATAAATACATACATACATACATACATACATACATATAATATATATATATATACATACATACATACATACATACATATAATATATATATATACATACATACATACATAAATACATACATACATACATACATACATACAATATATATATACATACATACATAAATACATACATACATACATACATACTTACATACATACATACATACATATAATATATATATATACATACTATATATATATATATTGATATCTATATATATATTGATGTATGATAGTTTCAGCAGAAGTATGACGATAGAACTTGTGGAATGCTTGTGGGTCACTTCCGCAGCAAGTGATCCTGTTGGTATCCCAGCAGGACTTGGTCTTCTGTGAATCAGAACGACTTCACTGCGAAGTCACTAGAAATGATGGTTTGAAAGGGTAACTTCCGGAATGACCGAAGTCTATAATAATCCAGATTGAAACTCAAATCCGCATGCCTAAGATTCCCCCTGTGACTTTCTGGAGGTACAACACCTTACCATTGGGCCATGGGCTTTAAAATACGAATGTTATGTTCATCTATCTTCAGCATACTGTGGATGGTTGAGAAATCCTTCACCACGGTGGACGGTTGGAACCCTATATATATATTATTAAGAATGGGATAAACCACATCCCTCAACTGGTGCAGGATTTCTTCTATCCAGCCTGCAGAGAACGGCAGGTCTACCAACAGCACCTGCAGAACGGCTCCTTCCCCACGGAACTCTTGTTCTTGTGCCTTGACCCTTCTAATAGAGATCTTTTGGATCTTTTTGGGAGATCTATTGGGGATATCATGGGAGAATGGGGAAATAGATCCATCATAGAATACAGACTAACAGTATATTGGGGATCGAATGGAAATAGGATTCTTAGAATATGTTGCGAGTCTAGAGGAGATCTATTGGGAATATTTCATGGACATAAATTGGGGATATAGACTAAGAAGGCTTTATGTTTGGGTCTCTTAAATCAGCCCCAAGCAACTGCATGGGTAGAAACGAATCCTTTACTTTTTTGCTCTGGAAAGAACCAACCAGCAAAAGATGACATGTGTTTGTTGACTACCAAAGGTTGACCATGGAATGATGATTTCATCATGATTGTGAATTTTACAGCCCCTTTCTAAATGAAGGTTAACATGAAACCCCAGAAATGGCTATATTTCCAATAGAAACACAGTTCGACAAACCCTCTCTTCGCGGGTCGATGTTATATCTAGGGGTGCATCAAAACATAAACCATGGGGATGCTTGAACAGGAAAATAGCACATGACATGCTTTACCCTCCGGTAAACATACAAAAAACTATTGAAAATGCCAATGTTTAATGGGAAAATTATATAACTATAAATGGCCATTTTCAATAGCTACAAGAGGGTAACCTATTGCCAACAGACAGAGCTATCTCGCTATCTCATTGCATGGTTAAATTTACCAACAGGAAGGTAATTCGACCAGCAACAAGATTCCTGAATGTAGGATCCACCACTACAAATCAACCGTAATTGAATCGTAAGACATTGTCAATTATCTTAGATGATCATAACATATCATTCATTATAAATCAATGCAGTTGTTCAAGATTCAAGTGAAGATTCATGGGATTTTTCACTATTGGAAAAACCTCCCAATCAACTATCATGACTATTGAAGCCGTGGCCCAACCATAGTTTGATGAGAAATGCCTATTAGTTTAATGGAAAACAATCCAATTCTAGATGATTTACTTATCAAAAATGTTGATGTTCCAGTTCACAAACTGGCAACAATAATTTCAAACAAGTAAAATCAAGATACTGGTTAATGATTAATTATAATTATAACATATCTTTTCATTTAACTGTTTCCTCTACAATTCAATAGGTAGGTGGCTCATCCCAGTAGTGGGTTGACCCCGACCACCCCGAGGCGACCTCGGCGCAACTCGCCAGGTACAGCGCCTGGCAAGTCATTGAGAAAACCGCCATGACGCTGGCGGGGTCCATTCTGCAGTTTCTTGGTGAAAGTTTGGTGGGGATGACTTGGTAGAGGGGATGATGGGGATGACGCACCCTGGGTTTGCTTGGTATCCAATTTGCTGGTTAAAGCCACAACATATATTGGGATATATATATATATATAATGTGGGTAAAACAAGTATAAACCATTCCCCAAATCACCATAAATAGCTAGTATAAACCGTTCCCAAATGGGTGATTTATTATTGTTTTACCCACTACATATTGATATAAAGAACCTTCATCTGGGGTGCTTGCAGAGCTTCACCTACAATATGGGGGAAAGTTCTCGGTTTCCGCCGTTCACCCTGGTGTGCGGTAGGTGGCGTTAGCATTGTTCATGGCTTTTTCATTACTCGGTAAACCTTGGTTGAGGACATGTTTTTTGCAGATAGAGATTGGTCATGAAACGGTGAATCATGCTCTGTGCTATCTACTGCTATTTGTATTTATATACAGTGAAGACAAACGAAAAAGACGTCTGGGAAATTCTTGGAAGGCTGTACTCTGGTAGGAAAACAAGGGTTTTTCAAGACCCATGCAGCAGTGATGGGGAGATCCCTGCAGCAGTTGAGAATCCAACAGCTTGATGTCTCGGTGTTGCGAATAATGACGGTTATATAAAGATGTATATATATAATGTATAATATAATATATATATATATAAGTTTCAAAACCCATTGACTGAGGTCAATTTTTTTAGTCAATGAAAATCATGGACTGTTGGTACTTCGAGGCTCACAAGCGGTTGCATCGGGGTAACGGTGCCATCGAGTTCCTGCCATCGGACATCTGGAAACGCAGAACGGTGTTCTAAAAAAAGGCAGCGGCCTGGTAAATATGTACCCTTTGGTTATGACTAACAGAGCCATGGAAAAATTGAAAATCATCACTTTTAATAGCTACATCATCTATAAATGGGTCATTTTCCATAGCTATGTTATAATAACCAGAGGGTAAATTAATATGTGTAAATATGAAATTTGCGGAAATGCTCGAAAGAACCTGTTATGGAACACCTGCTGTTTATTGCATGACTGTCACCAAATTGTTCAACCTTTGAAATGTTGATGAGTTATCTCCTGGCGATGCGGCTCATCCCACTTACTAAGTGGCTCATATCCCTGGTTTTGTTAGTGGGATAAGTACGCTTAATCTACTTATAACTAGGGTGAACTAATCTACCAAGTGGGATGAACCACCCAGTATCCTTCATTTCATCTAAGATCAACCCTGCTCTTCTTTGGCCGTTTGAGGTACAGTTTCTTGAAGCAACGAGGACGACGTGATTCGTTGCAAGAGACCCTTGGATGCCTTTCGGAAGATGGATATGGCTATCCGACTTGGAGTATGATTATTTATGATAATGATAATTATTATATGTATCCACAGATATTATCAAATTATTAGTTACCATCATGGTTGTATAATATATATATAATTCATAGTTATCACCCCACTTATTTATAATCAATTTTTACAATATTTTTTTATGGTATCTACTTGTAATCATACTTATAATCCAGTTGTAACTGAAATGACCCATGACGACCCATGACAACAAACGAGGAACGACTTATAGTAAAAAAAACAATCAAACAATGATAACTACATGTGTGTTTTTTGTTTTTTTATTATTGCTTTCAGATTGATGAAATGCACATGAATGCACTCTTTTTTGGCGACGATCCAAGTGCTCAAAAGTGGCGCCTCTGGCGTGCCTTTCTTAAAAATCACAGAATGTTTATTTTTTGGAGCAGTCGGCAAGGCGTCTGGCTGAAAAAATAGAACGGAAAAAATACATCAAACAACTCAGTAAAATGAGAAAAATAAAGCTAAATCTGGGCCGTGCCCCGAAATCAGTTGCGCAACGCAATTTTGCATAGTTCATGCAACGTATTTCCAGGGGCAGACCTGAAATACAACGCCCGGCCCTCACGAAAGTAACATAGTGACTTGGGAATCCCCAAATGGAGAGTAGAAAGCATTACTTACTTGGAAAACATGTAACTTTTTGGCATATCGGAGCTTAGCCTTGGAAATCCCATCCTCAACCAGTGGCCTATTTCTGGATGATGTTTTTCCCACTTAAAGCTCCATCCTATTAAGGATGTTTTCCCTTGCCACGTCAAGGGGGGAACCTGGGAAAGCTTCAGGTTGGCGAGCACCCTGTTTTCAACGTATTTGGGCGGCGTGTCCTTTGAACGAGGGCAACGGAAGCTGCAGAGGACGCTTAAATGGAGGTTGCTGGGAATGGTGGATGTAACATGATGTAACCAGAAATTTCAAATGATCAAAAGATGAGGGTAACACTGTAACACTTCTATCATTCCACTGGTGAACCATGATTTTCCTTGTCCAACATTATGGTATTGCTATTTTCAGACGCAGACAATGGCTCATATTTCATATGGGGAAGATGGTGCCTATAGGGCTGCAACTGCTTTAGCAAGTGGTTTATCATGGTTTATCTTGATTTCCCATTCAATACTTAATCATCCTCTCATCCCATCGCAGGATTCATTTTACTCCCACGGTTCTCATGGGTAGTACATGATTGTTTTGTTGATATAAGAAAGGACACCTTCCAATTTGGTTCCAATTCAATCATGGTGGTAGAGGAGGGAACGGTTACATGCTGTTCCCATTCATACGTTTATTGATGGCATGAGATCGAATCCATCCACCATTTTTGGGAGGATCCATTTTGGCAATGGACTCCAGGATGAATTGGCTTTTACTGGTTCAAATCCTGGTGTTGTTGATTAACTGCCCTTTTTTTGCTTGGATATCATCAATCAACATACCAAGACATCCGTGATTCAGTTATCTACCCTATTCTCGGTATCCCGATTATGAGTCGTCATACTGATTTGTTCCTTTCTGTGCGGGGATCCACAGTGAAATTGAAATCCCATTATTTTCCAAAGATCCACCAATTTTGTTTTTTCTTGTCCTGATGCTTGTTGGATATATAATATGTCCACTGTAGACTGTTCCATGAGTGATGTGCAAGATTGAGCTTCCGACTTGAGCCTGCTGGTGTGGTCATACACATTTGGAGGAATTCTCCTTTAAAAGAAATGCCTCAGTTTACGTTGAAAGTGATCAAAAAATTGATGCTTTACTTTCAAAAAAAAGAGTCGACATCATCCCGTGCATGATGTGCGAGAAGCTTTCGCAAGTGTAATGTCATGTTTGGTGCGTCATCTTTCTAGAGGGCATCATAAAAGGACATGTATGCAGCCACATGGCAAAACATAAGATGGTGGCAAAAAAAGCATACAAAAAACATTAAAGACCCTGGATGCAAAACTCAACCATGGAAAGCAGGATCAAGCAATTGGTAGTTTTTGGTCGGACCTCAATCCATTACTTGCCGCTTCAATCCCTTCAAATTTGTCCGGAATTTGGGAGGCTTTTGCTGGAAAAAAAACATCAGGAGATACAGTGGATGTTTGCGAAATCCTGCACCAGTTGATAGATAGTTTTTCCCGTTATAGTCCTATTATTTACAGTTTTTCATGGTTACCAATAGTTACCAACTGGTGCAGGATTTCCTCCATCCATAGTCCATCAATAGCTTCAAAAACAAGGTTCAATCCTGTCGTTGCCCCTCGGAGGATTATGTTACACCCCCCACCTCCAAGTAGTTTGCATATCATATTTGACCATGGTACGATGTTATTTAATGATATTTAATATTATTTACAGCATGTGCGCAGTTAAGCCTTGCTGATTATCCAGATACTGGGGTGATCCTCCAAAAACCTTCCTGTCTGTTGGTTATCTATAATATATATATATATATGATATGTGTATGATTTATACAGTTATATATATACAATATATAACTATATACACATAGTTATATATATATACATATATATACTTATATGCATAGTTAGATTTAATTATATATTAGCTCTATATATAGTTATATATATATAGAGTTGTATATACATATATAGTCATATACATATATACAGTAATATATATATATAGTCATATAATAATTATATATATATACATAGTGGGCATGCAATAACGTTCATGTGAACTTGCGGAGGAAGGACATGCTTCTCTGTGGCTACTGTAAGACTGTAAGTTCTCTGGAACTTTCCACTCATGCGTCATGCCACGCTATGTAAGTTCTCTGGAACTTTCCACTCATACGTCATGCTACGTTACTGTAAGTTCTCTGGAACTTTCCAGTCATGCGTCATGCCACGCTATTGTAAGTTCTCTGGAACTTTCCACTCATGCGTCATGCCACGCAATGTAAGTTCTCTGGAATTTTCCACTCATACGTCATGCTATGTTACTGTAAGTTCTCGGGAACTTTCCATTCATGCGTCATGCCACGCTATTGTAAGTTCTCTGGAACTTTCCACTCATACGTCATGCTACGTTACTGTAAGTTCTCTGGAACTTTCCATTCATGCGTCATGCCACGCTATTGTAAGTTCTCTGGATCTTCCATGCATACGTCATGCTACGTTACTGTAAGTTCTCTGGAACTTTCCACTCATACGTCATGCTGTTTTACTGTAAGTTCTCGGGAACTTTCCATTCATGCGTCATGCCACGCTATTGTAAGTTCTCTGGAACTTTCCACTCATACGGCATGCTACGTTACTGTAAGTTCTCTGGAACTTTCCACTCATGCGTCATGCCACGGTATTGTAAGTTCTCTGGATCTTCCATGCATACGTCATGCTACGTTACTGTAAGTTCTCTGGAACTTTCCACTCATGCGTCATGCCACGCTATTGTAAGTTCTCTGGAACCTTCCATGCATACGTCATATGTCATGCTAGCTGCTACGTTACTGTAAGTTCTCTTGATCTTTCCACTCATACGTCATGCTACGTTACTGTAAGTTCTCTGGAACTTTCCATGCATACGTTATGCTACGTTACTGTAAGTTCTCTTGAATTTTCCACTTATACGTCATACTACGTTATTGTAAGTTCTCTGGAACTTTCCACTCATGCATCATGCCACGCTATTGTAAGTTCTCTTGGAAGAACTCGAAGTGTTGCTGTGACCAACACAGGAGTCAAAACATGTCAGGTTGAATATTTTGAGAATTCTCACAAACCCCAAAGATGGTAGTTTCGTCTAGGCGAAATGCTTGTTTTTGAAAATATGCATCAGAATAAGGGCTTAAGGGCTTAACGGCCTCGCAACGCGGTGTGCCAGTCCATGGCAATTGTACATTCCCTGCCTGAATCACAACGCTTGCATGCAAGCATCCCTCACCTAAGATAGGGAACACATGGGAATACTATATGCATTAAGCACAGCACATGCCGAGAACAACGCGGGAGAGCAACTCATACTGAACACAAATTCCAAACGAAATTCTGAAACCATGTTGTGGCAGCATGTGGCAGCCATCTTTACGGCAACGTGTGCGTTGCGGGAAAATTCTCGGGCAGCAAGGGGCAAGGGGGTCACACCACTGTAGTCACTGCAATCCAATGCATTTGCGAAATGTCAAAATTTGTGATCGTATCTTGCTGGGCATACCGCCCTTCAACAGCTCGGATTTAGCGCCCAGCTTTCCCAGTGTCAAAACAAAGCTCGTTGAGCAGTGGCCTCCACAAAGTGGTTTGTTGTGTTTTTTGTGCTTTTGTCATTGTATGCCATTGTCATTGTCTGATTTGACTGCGGGGGATGCTGTGTCTGTTTTTCGTAGTTTTGTTTTTTTGTTGTCTGCTCCGTGATGTTCTAGGGTGTGTGCTGCGAATGGGCACGAGAAAAGGATAGGTAGGATTATTGATGCCTGACCGCATGAGACATGCAAATGCATCGTGCTAAAGCCGGCAGTGCTCCACTGCCACACCTGCCACACCTCCTGAGGCTATCCTCTGCAGGGGCGGCCTTGGTCGCCACACTGGTTCTCATTCCACGGCACTGGGCCAGAGGACACTTGGCACACCAGGAATTGAGTTCCACAGACTTTGCAACGTGCGAGACTTTGTGGACACTGCGGTCAGGTTATAGGATTCCTGGCGGGACCTTTCAGGTGCGGACCCTGTTCGCATCGCTCCGGTTCTTCGATGGGGGGCCACTCATCCAGGCAAGAAGCTTGAATACACGAGGACATGCAGACGACATGCATACCCTCTAGATGCACTTGCGGACAGACATACATACGTACTCACGCACATGATTGAAATCATGGGTCGTGACATTTGCTAGTCCGACCTTGACATGTCACAGCAAGCGTCGATCATGGTGCAGGTCGAGTAAGTTAAATGCAGAACCGAAAACCTGCACATCTTCGTGTAGAATCCCTGAAGGGCCGGGATCGCAGGCTCAGTCTGTTCGCACATGTTTGCCTTCACCGCAGGCCGGTCAACTTTGGAAGGAGCTGAGGAAGCACGGCGTCGAGCTCCACATCGCCACACTACTCAATCATCGGTTGGTCTACCCCCATCACCCGTACATATAGCCCTCAGGTGTCCCATCACTAGGTGCCGATCTGGATCTGTACCCCTTCCACCAGTTATTTGTTCAATCTGGTCTTCCAAGGGTAAGGCAGTCCCTTTCCCCCCCCTCGCTTGAAGTCTCGATGGGCCGCTCTCAACTTGTCCTTCATCTGATTATTGCTTCACTTCCTCGCACCTTGACGGGCCCATATTTTCAATACCCCATTTAGGCCTGAGAAGACATGACAGCCAACCTTCTGCCGACACACCGGCTGAGGCCAACGACATCACCCTGGCACAGGATATCGTCGCCGAGGTCTTTGACGCGATCGCCGAGTCTGACTCTGGGCTTCACCTGTGGTGACTACCTGCCTCTGGTGCTAGGGGCGCCAGGGTCTTCAATTTCTTGGATCCAAGGATGGATTCGTTGTTTTCGGCACCTCGGGTTATGCCGAAAGGACGGACTGCCCTGCCAGCACTGAGCACGAGCTCGATGCTTGTGAACCTTGGCTGGAGATGGAGATGGGCATGCGATGGCATGAGATGGGCATGCGATAGCACGCACGCACGCAATTGCACACACACAGACGCACACACTTTTGATTTGCCGATTTTGCCGTTAGAATCTTGAAGATTCCTGGGAACAACCGAGATGAAGATGCTGTCGAAGATGAGCAAGAAGCAAAAGAAGCGCCGCCAGCCAATGCTCATCAACATGCTGAAGACAGACGAAAGGTTCCAGCACAAAGCTGCGAAGGAGCCTTCCCGCTGCTTGTGTTCCCGTTTTTGGGCTTCGGCATCTCTTTGTGATTGTGCCGTGCCCGCTTGCAGGAACTATTTCACAGCAGCATCTACCAGGTGCACTGGAAGGAGGACAGCGACCGTGACAAGGCACTCTTATCATGCGAAGCTGTGTCAACAGGCAACTGTGCCCTGTCACCCTGGAGGTGGTGAGTTCGGTCCTGACGGCGGTGCATAAGATGGGCCACCCAGATCGCTGCCCTGCAAGGCTGTGGCGCAAGAGCATCTTGGATCAAACGTGGCCCAGGTATGTTCATCATTATGTTTTGAGATTATATTGCCCAACCAGCTTGCGATATCTTGCGATGCTGCTTGATGTCTTCTGCATGGTTTTCCGGAACTTGGTGCTGCGTTTCCAATAGCCGCTGCAGTTTGCAGAGTGCCTTCGTTGTCGGTTTGTGTTCACTCACGCTCGGGATTCCTGAGGAGGATGCGCCTGCGGACTCTCAAAAATTGGCCACCACCTCAAGCTTTTGCACCTCCAAGAAGGCAATGCCCTTCGGAAAAGGAGCGCTGCACAGGCCAAGGCAAAAGCCAAGGCAAAAGCCAAGGCAAAAGCCAACCCTGGCCCTTCAGATGACCAGCAGCCAAAGGCTAAAGCAGCTGCCAAGCGGGCAGCCAGGAACAGCACATGATTACTTTTGTCATTTTCACTGGGCTCACCTAGAAATCAAATTTGGATAAGTTCTACGTATTCATGCTTTCCATATCTGAAATTAGAATACCGTATGCCAATATTGTTTTAAAACACTTGGTTACTTACATTGTTGAAATCCTACAGTGCTAGACTTACACATCCCAATGATTGGCATTCCAGGGAAGGTAGCTATTCCAACCATAAATTCAGTGTATTCCCAACCAGCACTGGGTCAAATAACTATATAGCCCCAAACCAAATAATGATCATTGTTGGGTATGAACAAAACAAAGGTCCCTGCAAAAAGGGTTGGTTTTCCATTCTGTGCTTCGGACTATATGGGAGCCCTGGTGAGGAATGCAAGATTTCATGGGAGAATTCCATGGTTTTGAGCGTGCCAACTCCACAACGCACTGGCTTGTCGCAAGTGCCACCGTGGATGATCTATCGTGCCACATGAATCGGGAAAAATGAGTTAGCAAATGGTGTACTGCACAGTACTCGTCGTTTCAGCTGGCCAAACAAACAGCTGATATGTGGGTCAAACAGTTTTGGATTCCAGGTTTAACACAGCACATAAAGTCAACACAGCACTGTTTTTGTTGTGACATTATTTTGGTGATGGATTGATCGATATCCAAATTTGATCCATGATACACCGTTGATCACAAAAAAACACGGCCTTCTAAAGGCCGAGCTCCAACTATATACACATAGTTATATATATATATTTACACATATATACTTATATGCATAGTTTAATTTAATTATATATTAGCTATATATATATTTAAATAGAGTTGTATATACATATAGTATTTGCATATATAGTCATATATATACAGTAATATATTTATATAGTTATATAATAGTTATATATATATAGTTATGTATATATATACAGTATATAACTATATACACATAGTTATATATACATATATATATATATTTATATACTTATACGCATAGTTAAATTTAATTATATATTAGCTCTATATATGTAGTTATATATATAGAGTTGTATATATATACAGTAATATATATATATATAGTTATATCTTTGTTTTATATATATATATATATTAATTTATATATATATACATAGTTAAATATATATAGTTATTTTGATTTATATATATATAGATATATATTTATTTATTTATTTGTTCATTTATTTATTTATTTATTTTTACATAGTTATATAATTATATATATATAGTTTTGTATGTATATATATATAGTTATATATATATATATATATATATATTTATACGTATACAGGTTTTGCTTGATGAAACCATGTCATTTGGGCAAAAAACATGTGTCCATAGGTTCCGCAAACAAAATTCAGGATGAAATAAGACGAACAAATTGTTCTTCTGATATTAAACACCCCGATATGGTCCTCCAATACTAAACTCGTGGTTTCTAGGATGGGATTAGATAAGATTAATATATGAATTGGGGATGGTTCAAAACCCATTACTGCTACATTTGGGGGAATAAGCATCCACCAGCAATTTTAGGATACCTAGGCTACCAGGGTTTGGACCCATAACCGCAGGACGGATGTGGCTACGAGGCAGGCGGTTCCACTCACCGTCACCTCTTCGGGATCGATGAGCAATGCTCTGGCAGGCGGATCATGGGGTACCCTCTGGCAATTTAACATAGCTATTGAAAATTGCCATTTATAGTTGATTTACCTATTAAAAATGGGGACTGTCCATAGTTTTTTGTCTGTTTACCAGAGGGTACCTATCAAAAATGGGGATGTGCAATAGTTATGTTAATTTACCCCAGGGTATCTGAATGCTCACCCTCTGGTAAACTAACGTAACTATGGTAAACTAACGTAACTATGGAAAATCACCATTTTTGAAATGTAAATCAAAGAATTTTCTATGGCCATGGCTTCAATAGCAAACTGTTAGTTTACCAGGGGCTAACCCCCGGGTCATCAATAGGGTGGCACAAAGTCTCATAGTAATTTATCACTAGTTGGAGGCAGTTGCATCTTCATGACTCCATGATACTGATACAACTACAGTGCGCCATAATTTGCGAAGTTCCGGAAATGTGTCTAATGACTGTGTTTAAATAGTGTATATATATATATATCCAAGTATATTGCAGATATCATAGTATTAAATAGTAGATATCCAACTGCTTTATGTACTATTATAACAAAAAAAACAGCAACAACAACAACAACAACAGTCATAACTGGGGGCACCACCTTGAGACCATGGCACACCCAGCAGTTTGGCTCGTTTAATGAACCAGCGGTTCTACCGGTGATGCTTGCCCAGGTCGGAGGAACATGGAAAATCAGCAGCAAAAGACGACTTTGTTGACTTTGTTGACCATCAGATTAGCATGATACATAATGGTAATAATGATGATAATTATGATGATACGGCCCATAGTTTTGACATGCACCGAAGATGATCTATTGACCAAAGTCTGACATTTGTTCAACTTATGGTTCCATCAAAACACACTGTAATCATGGTGTTTCATGACACAGTTCTGCTTCTTCATGAATGCCAAGGTCTCTCAAGTTTTGAAGATTCAACAAATAGGTTAACATGCCAACAGGATCCATCAAGGTTGGTTCTTCTACTTAAAAGCATTGTAAAATAGATTTAAATTCATGCATTGCGACCGAAAGATTGACTTAATGCCCAAACATATGTCAGTTCAGCAGCCACTTTCATGATGTCTTCCCTCTTGTTCTACTTGAATATACCCAGTTGAGCAGTGGCTGCTAAACTTGTGTTGGTTGATGATTTGTTCAGGCGTTTTACCATTGGGGAGTTCATAATCCATGTGACTCAGGTCCTTTATCAGTATTTCACGGGATGGCATTCGCCTTACTGTATATCTCATGAAAAATGCCTATATAGTATTCTCTCAAAATTCCCGTCTTCTATCTACTAGCAAATTCCTATACATATACAATGATATACATATATCATATCCCCATTCTAATCTCCGATTTCTAGTAATTCCTATATAGTTTTTAGCATATCCCCATGAAAACATGGAAAACTCCACAAGGCCTTGCTCCCAACGTGTCTTGGACGTTGAAGATGGTGAAATTCCTGCGAAGCTGGGAGACCTAGTTTCGATTCGTTGTTGTCATGGTGTTTTTTTCTTAAAGGGATATGCATTGGAATATTGGGGACAGATAGATATATATATATAGATTGATTGACAGATTGATAGATTGGTTGATTGATGGATTGATGGATATATAATATTATATATATACTGGTTTATAAGTTGGTTTATAAGTTGGTTTATAACCCCATTAGCTATAGATAATATAGGGTTTCTAAAAATGGTTAATCCCAAAGTCACCGTAATTGTTTCAATACTAAGTCATGGTCTCATGACTTGGATAATTTGGGGGTACTCCCATTTAGGATACCTCCATATACAGGATTGTTCATAGGAGGATATTACTTGGATGTGTATTTCAGGTGCACCCCCCAACTGCACCACCAAAATGTAACATGGAAACTGAAAAAGATGGTACCAAAGACGATGGATGCTTCTCATCACTACAGTAAACTGGGTAGGATACCACAGGAACTCCAAAATGAAGCCTGATGAATGGATTTGGAGGGACAGGCTGAATCCTGCTCCCGTGCTCACACGCATGGTTCCTCCACTGTTGGCGACGTATTGGCTGGGCAACAACCGAGCCATCAACTTAACCAATGAAGAAGCTTCTCAGGCATTGGCCAGCCTGGGCCAGATTGTAATCAACCTGGCAGTGAGCCCAGCTTTTGTGCGTGTAGAGCCCTGGCTAGAAAACCTGGGCAGTCCACCCTTACCACACGCAGCCCAGGGATTGGTACCGGACAGCACTTGGATCGACAAATTTGCATTGTCCCTGGCGGCGATTGATCGTGACGCAGCACAATCTCTGGTCAATGCAATTCGAGCCACAGGAATGGAAAAACATATGGTTTTTGCTGGCAGCATCCATAGATTGGTTTTAGCAGTTGCCACATTTTGTGGGATTGGGGATGATCAAGTTTACCAATGGTTTAATATAGTTTTTTGAAAAAGACCATTATTCATATTGTTTTTTCTCCAGTTCCTATCAAATAAGATCCCTAAAAGCCTTGGCGAAATAACATTGCGGGGGTTACACCCATAGGTATATTGTTTCATAGATAAAACCAATTTTATTCCATAGGTATACCATTTTCTATTTTTATTTACCTACTGGTACGTCATATGGGGTTACACCAGTTTTTTTTGGTCGTGGCTTCGAAACTCTCAACCCATGCTCGGAAAAAGGTCAACCCGCCATGTTAAAAGGGACATGTTTTAAAGAACTGAGATGGGATAATGTCAACATATTATATATAAATGATATAAATGTATACAACTAGAGCTAGCTATTGAAATTATTGTTACCCACTATTACTTTTTCTCTTTTCACCCACCTTTTTGTCAGAACGGGCAAATTATAAGGATGGTGGATATTGTTAGGACCAATCGCTTGTGGCTCCCTATCCTCCAAAGCTGTGTTTGTGTCAACCTCGAGGGGGTTGTAGTTATGAAGTGTCGAAGTAGCCTCAAGATGCCCTTTTTTCTATCAACGTAAATTCATGTAAATTCGATCAAAGTTCATGGAACTGTTCACGTATGTAAATATGTCACGTGCATGCGACGGCTAAATCAAAGCACGACTCTACTGCCCTTCTATAAATTCATTCTGTTGGAATGAAACCGAATCGGAGTTGAATCATTCTTCTACCAACCAATGTACCTCATTTTTGTGGCAATCATGGTGATTGACGTGTCCCAGCGTCCCAGAATAGTGATGATCACATTGAAGTGTTGGAGGTCGAGGTGTACACCGGTGTCCTATTTGCCAGCTATGATCCCGTTTCCCCCAAGATAGCAGTGACCTGGACCGAAGTATGTTTGCAGACCTGGTTCTTGCTATGATCCATTCAACATTGAATGGACAGATATCATGTTTAATCATGTGTTTTATGTTTATCCCTTTTGCCTCTTAAGATTGCCACTTGAATTGGGCAACCCAGTCATGACGACCTTCAAGGTAAGGTCCATGATTTACAGTGAATGTTGAATCACCACCATTGAATCCTCAATCGATCATCAACAATGATATCACCTTGAAACCTCAATAGTTAATAGCCCAGGTAGCCATATGATAGCTAGAAAAATCCCCCATGATATCACCATTCCTGTTGAATCCCTTGCCCCAGTGCAGGTTCCGTGCGTCACTTGGAGTAGGACGGGGACTGCGGGTGTGGAGCGTTGACCGAAAACGCGCATGCGTTGACCAAGAGAAATATTGGCATGGGTCAAAATCGATGGAATTACCATATGGGGGTTTCCTAAAATAGGGGCACCACAAAAAATGGATGGTGTATAATGGAAAGTCCTCTCAAATATATGGATGATTGGGAGGTACCTCTATTTTTGGAAACCTCCATATGACTGGGGGATACTGGGGGTAATAAACGTCCAGCTATACCAGCTATGTTGTGGTACCTACTGGTCGGGTGCCATGCTTTTGACTCAAGTCACCACATGGAAATCTTGGGTTTCCTAATATAGGGCTACCCCCAAGTCACCACAATTTGTTCCTAATTTCCCCAATTCCTTCAAACAAAATATGTTTCAGTCACATTTTTTCCACTTCCTCTTAGATCTTAGATTGTATCCATCCCAGACTTGGTTTACAGGAAAATTCATATATATATATATATAACCTGGTTGGTGGTTTGGAACATTTTTTTTCACAAAATATGGGATAATCCTTCCCATTGACTAATATTTTTCAGAGGGGTAGGTCAACCACCAACCAGTGACTAATGATATTTCACTTTGCAAAACATGGAAATCCATTGGTGACCTAAAAACATGTCTGGCTGCCATGGATTTCCTGTGGAATTTCAGATCCAGTGGCCCAGGTATTGCGGATGTCTTCGAGCCGATCCTGGCGGTTTCGAACCAGCTGAACATCAACGCATGGTACCCCTGCCCTGAAGGCTGTGTGGTGCCTTGCATAAGCGGCACCGGCACGGTACCTTTTTCGGAAGGCTCGTGGTGCTTTACTCTGGAAATTGAAATGAGAAAACCAGCTTCTGAGTGGCTTACAAATCCGGTCATACAAATATTCCCTAGTTACTGTATTGGTAGCTCTATATTAGCTCTATACGCATTATATATAATTATATAAAGCTTTTACTCGAACTAGGGCAGTAACATTTTGGATTCTGATGATGAGATGAAATTACATGTTAATGAGATACCACAGTGAGTATTCAAGGAACATGTTTAGGGCACAATTCAACAACTTGCGGCATGCCATCAACCATGATGGTAGATGACCTCTTCAAAATGGGGATACAAACTACAGTAATTCATACCACTAATGAGCCACTGATAATATTAGTTATTTTATCATCATACCTATCATGGCTTCTGCGTTGTGCCAGGTCTTGTCTCAGTGTTTGGTAAGATTGCCCGTGATTAGTAAAGGTAATGTGGGTAAAACAATGTCATAATCCACCTATTTGGGCATGGTAAAACTACCACCTATTTATGGCAATTTAGGGAATTGTTTATTATTGTTTTACCCACATTGTTTTTTTAATAACAACAAATCAGAAGCAAGTCTAAAACCATTCCAAAGCTGCTCCTTGATTTTTTGCAGTGCATGATTTGCAGACAATGACTGAGAAGAGTCTAAGGTTTGAAGATGTTTGAAGCCATATTCTGGCTCAATCTTTGGTGCTGGGTGGATCGATCTCGTTTCTTTATTCCTATGGCATACCAGACCAAGAAGCTAAAGCACAGTCGTATTCATATATCTGGGTATCGTCGGGATAAGCCGCATAGCCACGAGTTTTCTGCCTTGACACGAGAATTTGTTGATCGGATGCCCTTGAAATCTGAAGGTTATGGGATTACCGGTCTTGCAGTCCATCTATTTCGGTGAAGTAGAATGAGCTCACTGTGACGTTAACAAAATCATGGTGAATATGGGTATAAAACGATTCCCAAAATGATCATGTTTTAGGTTGGTGAAGTGACAATTCAAACACATATCATTATATATATATATATGTATGTGTGTGTGTTCGCATCTACACATAATATTCAAGTCCTAGATCATGGACCCTGAGTTTTGTATATAGATCATATTGTATATACCTATATATATAATACATTATAATACATATAATCATATATAATCATGTATATATATATATATACATTTGTATATATATATATAATATACATAGAATCATACATATACATATATATGTATAGATCATCCCATTCCAGCAGCATGTGAGGTGCACAAGACGGGCTGTCGCGCGTGTCCTCCGGGGACCTATCGCTCTCCGAACCAACGAGAATGTCAACCGCAGCTCGCCCTGGTGAATGGGGAAGTTCGGCATTAAGCGGCCCCCAAGATAGCTAAGTTGGTTGAGAAAATTCCAATAACTATGGTTTATGATATTATGCATATCATGATATAATATATATATATAATGCGTTTAGATATATATATATATGATATAACTACAGTTAATGGGGTTTATGTTCACCAACTTAGCTATTTTGGGGGGCCCATGTTGTAGGTAATGTATGGCAATGTCAAGGTAATGCCTAAGTAATGGGCCTAGGTGATGGGATTAGCACGGAATCATAACTTTGCTTGGGAGACATGTTTGTCTCGGAAAATCATTTGCGAAAGATTGAATGATCGACCCTGCATATCAATCTTGAATCTTGTATCATCCTGTGAATTGTGGATGTCAAAAGGGGAAAAACAACACGAATTGCAAAGTTGAACACTTCCCATCTGGTTTTTTGTTGACAATCTTGTGCTGGGAATGCAGCCATTCCGTGTGGTTCCCAGCTTTGGCTCCGAACATTTTTTCGGGATTGGGGGGGGTACTAAAGACCATATCCAAAATGGATGTTTGTTCTTACATTTGCTACACTAATACATACTGTACCTAACTGTACCTCTTGCATAGATTTGCATAGATTTGCACATGACAAGTTAATGTGATCTAATTTATTCTGGGTCCTGGGTAAACCTTGGATGGATAATTGTTTTTTTTGGCGATTAGGGGCTATATATGATATACTAATCAGATGAGCAGTGACTTATTTTTCTGGTTGATTGGCTAAAGACGGTGCTTTTTTCTGCCCACTTGGACTTTTCCACATCACTCCCGCCGCCCTTTTGGGGATGCCACCAGGTGCTTGAGTGGTAGCTATCAAGACAACTATGCGGCCTCCAAGTGCTTGGGCGCTGAATCGAGGTGTAGCTGATTGGTTTGTGACTGACTTGACGATGACGGTTAGCATCGGACTCGCAAGTAGTTTTTTTGTGGCTTGTAATGCATAAAGCATCCACAGATTTCCCAGATATACCCTACAACCCACAATACAACCGGTGTTCACTAAGATATGGTTGCATTACGCACAAAAACGATTCCTGGCCTCGCACCCCAAAGTAGGGCCAAAGATGCCCCCAGTTTTACGACGAGGGGCTTGTGCTTTCCGCATGTCAAATCTGTATGTGTCGTTTTCAACGGTTGGAGTACAGCTAAATTGATACGTATAAAAAAGTGGAGAGTCAATCCAGTATCAATAGTTGTCATTATCATTCATTACCACAATTTAATAATTATGACTACTTGGGTATATTGACTATTAATAATCCATATTAACTCACTATCCATATTCGGGTATATTGACTAGTTATTGATATTTACAATATATATATATATACTATGATACACTATTTTTTCACTATTAATCCACTATTCATTAATCCAATATACCCACATTGCAGGATCAATCCACATCCAGGAGTTGTGCCATGTCAATTCCACTATGGGATTCTGGTAACATGGCCTTGGAAAATCACCATTTTCAATGGGCAAATCCACTATACATGGTCCATTTTCATCCATTTTCCATAGCTATGTACATTATAAGACAGTACCAGAGGGTAGGTAAAAACCGGACGCCATGTTTGTGCTGGGGGTTTACCGGACCCATTGTTGACTCATTTTTGACGTGGGATTCTGAGTGCGGCAACATCTGCAGCATAGCCCATGCATAATCATGCATATATATATATTTACATATACAATTATATATATATATTTATTTAATATATCATCGGACCGTTTACCGTCATACAAATGTGCGAATGTCTCATAGATAGTTGGGGTGGGGTGGGGTGGGGGGGGTGCGCAATAATAACGTTCAAGTATACATTAAACAGATACGAATGCGTTGAGGAATTTGTTTTGACATAGAAAGATGGTACATGTTACATGATGGGATTTTGTGTTGTTGACATAGAAAGATGTTACATGTTACGTCGTGGGATTTGTGGTGATCTACACACATGTGACATGTTATGTTGTGGAATTTGGGTTGGCATAGAAAGATGTTACATGTTACGTCATGGGATTTGTGGTGATCTACACACATGTGACATGTTATGTTATGGAATTTGGGTTGGCATAGAAAGATGTTATATGTTATGCTATGGAAGTTGTGTTGACACAGAAACATGTTACATGTTACGTCATGGGGTTTGTGTTGATATAGAAAGATGTGACATGTTACATTGTGGGTTTTCTGTTGACATAGAAAGACGTTACATGTTACGTCGTGGGATTTTTGTTGAACTAGGTACACGGCTCACAGGCGGCCGTGTGGAATTCAGCACACCAGCAATGCTTTGCTTTTGTTTTTCTGCTGATTTACAGTGGTCAGAGCATCTCAGTCCATTTTGGACCTTTCACGCAGCCGTGCCATTGGTTAAAGCGGCTTCATCTCGCAATTAGATGGGGAAAAACATGTTTTTTAGTCATTTTGCAATGCACCCAAACTATTTGTTTCAGTGGATGAAGCCGTTATTGAAAGTCATGATGTTTCTTCAGCAGATCGACAAGGCGTGACATCAATTCTTTGGGAGAATTGACGCCACATCCATTGCTGGATCATTTTGCAAGAGAAGAGTGCATAGCGTAGCAGCAAGTCCAGGAGAAGATCTTGTAAGGCGGGCAGCCAAGAACGTTATTAGCCCCCCCCCAAAACCCCCCCCAAGAAACAAGAATGCAAAAATCAAGAGTGTCTTGCAAGTTACAAGAAGAAGTTGATAGCGTGTGCCAGGGTACGGTGCAAGAGAAGAGTGGATAGCGTAGCAGCAAGTCCAAGAGAATATCTTGTAAGGCGGGCAGCCAAGAACGTTATCAGCCCCCCCCAAAACCCCCCCCAAGAAACAACAATGCAAAAATCAAGAGTGTCTTGCAAGTTACAAGAAGAAGTTGATAGCGTGTGGCAGGGTACGGTGCAAGAGAAGAGTGGATAGCGTAGCAGCAAGTCCAAGAGAAGATCTTGTAAGGCGGGCAGCCAAGAACGTTATCAGCCCCCCTCCACGGCCGTCTATAAGCCGTGGTCCAACTACACACATGTGACATGTTACTTTATGGAATTTGTGTTGACATAGGAAAGATGTTACATGTTACAGACTTGTTTCAAAGCAACTGGCAAAAGGCTGTATGCTGACGCATTCGGATGAAAAGGCCTCCAGCAAAAAAATGGAGCAACAGAAGACAAGGCAAACGAAGAAGCATAAAAACATTGTAAAAACGACAATTTTTGAAAGGGCGCATCATAAATCAATGGATTTTTGAAGAGGCGTGTTCGACGTCATTTTGCATGTCCTTGCCAGCACGAAATGCAATTTCACCCTTGAATTAAGGTTCAATAATCCCCCCGGACGGATGTTTGTGAACTACGATTCCTGGGATGCTGAGATTCAATGCAACCGTTGTACCTCTTTAAAGGACCCCCAAAGGTTGGATGAATCATTCATTACAAGTGGCTAGCCTCGGAAAAAGTGATCTTGAGTTACTATGACCATAATCCCTTTCTTCTTATATTTGATACCACCCTAAACATCAAGGTGATACGATCAAGGTGATACGATCAAGGCATTGGGAAACCATAGCTTTTGATTGGACAAAAAAAATCGGTAGAATTTCCAAGGTTAGACAAGATTCGAGGATTTTGCGGAGTTATATCAAACATTTATGTTTCATGCATAATATATTAATATTAATATATATATATATTAAATGCATAATATATATATAATATATATAATATAGTATATATAATAAATTATATATACATGCAACCCCCCAAGACCTACCTTTTGTGTAGCAGATCTGATTCTTGCAAGTCTGCTTTTTCAATATCTTCTACAACATTTGGTATTTTTTACATAACCTTTAGGATTTGCAGCAACATGATTAGGGGAATAGATGGATTGAAACTTTGTTATTCGTTTTTTACAATAGAGTATAGCATATCGTTTTTTTTCTTTGATGAATATAACTTTGTGTAAGGTAGTTGTTTATAATGACTACTGGTGGAATTCATGTTTACTAAATTTTCTGTAGCAATTTGAAACCTTTTAGCTTCTACCAAAGCTGAGTTTTGTGCAAGATTAGGTGATATAGTTAGTGCATCTTGAGATTTTACATTGTATAATTGAATTACTTTTTTAATCCTCCTACAATTTCATAACATTACATTTGCATAGTAAATTGACAATAATCAAACATATTCTCATTTGATGTTAGTTTTTTGTTATTGTTAACCTACGTTATATCCATTAGTTTTTTTCTTCAGCATCTACCATCTTTTTTGTAGAAAAATATTTTGTTGTGCTGTAATGATTATGTTTTTAAATCTGTATAATGCAGATGATCGTGTAATGTCATTGCTTTAAATCCAGGAGTGCTTGAGTTAGATATGTTGTTTTTTTTAAACATAAATGATTTTGTTGATGATAAATTAATAAGTAAACATACCTAGATCATTTTTTTTTAATATATGTGTCGTGTTATAATGTTCTTACTTTTTTATTGTTCTTATTTTTAAAAAATATTTTTATAGGTAGAATAAGAGTTTCTAGCATTGGGTGAATATGCATTTTTACTTTGAAAGATCCTATATTTTTTATTGGTTCTTTTAGCTCTATATTCTGAGGATCTAGTTTTAAGTTAATCAACTTTTTTTAAATCTTGGATATGTTTTTTCAGATTGAAATGTTTGTATATTTTAATGATCATATTCTACCATTTGTGATGTGAACTTTCATAGCATTTCAGGTTTTTTGTATAGCCTATTACTTTTTTTCTAAACATAAATTGCGACCATGTTTTGTTTAAAGAAAGTTTTCTTTGCCGATCTATCTGCAACCCTTTCTAATAAATTTTGTTGGGAAGGTTTTGATTGATCTGTAGATAAAGAGGTATTGCTGTCGGATGAGTTCATGTATTTTAGTCATTATTGTTTATTTGTTTCTTCTTAATTGTTCAAGAAATTACTGTTTAAGATTGCAGTTCTTTTACAATTTATTTTGCTTTTATTATCATGAATCTAATTACCTTTATTGCATTCTTTATGTCTTTCGTTATTTTTGCCAACGTTGATTGATTTGCTTAGAAAGCAAAGACAAAATAATGTGCTTTAGAATTTTCTTTTACAGGGTAAGCAAGTTTATTTGAGGAATGTCCTTAGCAGACAGGCCGATCATTTGCAAGAAATTGCAACTTCTGGTGACCAATATTATTCTAAGTATTTGGATTTTCAAGATTCAAGGCTCAGAAAAAACTTCTTCAAATCTTCAATCCAACCTCTTTGGGTTCAAGATTCAAGATTCAAGGCTCAGAAAAAACTTCTTCAATCCAACCCCTTGGCTCAGAAAAAAACTTCTTCAATCCAACCTCTTTGGATTCAAGATTCAAGGCTCAGAAAAAACTTCTTGAATCCAAGGAGATAGGATTCAAGATTCAAGATTCCAAAAATGAATTCTTGATTCCAAGGGGGTAGGATTCAGGATTCAAGATTCAAGGCTCAAAGAAAAAACTTCTTGAGTCCAAGGAGGTAGGATTCAAGATTCAAGATTCCAAAAGGGAATTCTTGAATCCACGGGGATAGGATTCAAGATTCAAGGCTCAGAAAAAACTTCTTGAATCCACGGATTCAAGATTCAAGATTCCAAAAAAGAATTCTTGAATCCTAGGAGGTAGGATTCAAGATTCAAGGTCCAAGATTCCAAAAGAGAATTCTTGAATCCAAGGGGGTGGGATTCAAGATTCAAGATTCAAGGCTCAGAAAAAACTTCTTGAATCCAATTAGATAGGATTCAAGATTCAAGATTCCAAAAGAGAATTCTTGAATCCAAGGGGTAGGGTTCAAGATTCAAGATTCAAGGCTCAGAAAAATGTTCTTCAACCCCACCCCCTTGGATTCAGAATTCTTTTTAGAATCTTGAATCTTGAATCCTTGGGTTCAAGAAGTTTTTGTTCTGATTGAATCTTGAATCTTGAATCCTACCCCCTTGGGTTCAAGAATTCTCTTTTTGGGGTCTTGAATCTTGAATCTTGAATCCTATCTCCTTGGGGTTGAACAAGTTTTTTCTGAGCTTTGAATCTTGAATCTTGATCCTACGTCCTTGGAATCAAGAATTCTCTTCTGGAATCTTAATCTTGAATCTTGAATCCCATCTCCTTGGACTCAAGAAGTTTTATCTGAGCCTTGAATTATGAATCTTGAACCCTTCCCCCTTGGATTCAAGAATTCTCTTTTGGAATCTTGGATCTTGAATCCTACCTCCTTGGATTCAAGAAGTTTTTTCTGAGCCTTGAATCTTGAATCTTGAATCCTACCCCCCTTGGATTCGAGATTTTTTTGTGTTGAATCTTGAAGCCTTGGATTCAAGAAGTTTTTTCTGAGCCTTGAATCTTGAATCTTGAATCCTACCTCCTTGGATTCAATATAGAATGGGCTAGCGCCCTGGTGCCGCTGACCCCCCCTATTTGGGGGGTCCTGTAGAGAGATAGAGAGATAGAATGAGATAGATAGATAGATGGATGGATGGATGGATAGTGGCAGGTTCTTGAAATCTTGCTGTACCTCCCAATAAAATCTTCATCCCGCATGGGGGGGCAGGTGAGGCCACCATGTTTTCAGAATGCGGATTGGCCGCACCCTCCGGATAGGAATTTCCACAACATCTCCATTGAGGGGTACCTGACATCCACTGGTCTTTTCTAGTAACAAGTGAATTGCCCGGCAGCCATTCTGGGCTGATGCATACTTAAACTGTCTGCCCACTTATGCTCAGGAAAGACAAATAATGTGTTGCTATCAAGATTCTTTTTTTTGCGAAGCTTAGAGACCATTGCAGCAATCTTCCCACATCGATCAGCGCATTCAACCTTTGGGAGGGTTTTAAGCCTTTTAAGGGTTTAAGGGCTGGCAAACGGCAGGCTTGGACGCCCATAAGAAGCCATTGATGTGGCCTTGGGGTGCCTGTTGGCTGCGGGATGAGGCATGCCAAGAAAATGTTTCAGCGTTTGAAGGGTTTGAAGCGGCCTTGGGGTAGCTTTTGCCTGCGCGGTTGGGCGTTCCGAGAAGTTTTTGCAAAGTTTTCAGAGTTTTTAGGTTTTAAGCCTTTTAAGCGTTTAAGGCCTGGCAAACGGCAGGCTGGACCGCCCAGAAGAAGCGATGGATGTGGCCTTGGGGTAGCTTTTGCCTGCGCGGTTGGGCGTTCCGAGAAGCTTTTGCAAAGTTTTCAGGGTTTTAAGTTTTAAGCCTTTTAAGGGTTTTGAGGGTTAAAGGGCTGGCAAACGGCAGGCTTGGACGCCCATAAGAAGCCATTGATGTGGCCTTGGGGTGCCTGTTGGCTGCGGGATGAGGCATGCCAAGAAAATGTTTCAGCGTTTGAAGGGTTTGAAGCGGCCTTGGGGTAGCTTTTGCCTGAGGGCTGGCAAACGGCAGGCTTGGACGCCCATAAGAAGCCATTGATGTGGCCTTGGGGTGCCTGTTGGCTGCGGGATGAGGCATGCCAAGAGAATGTTTAAGCGTTTGAAGGCGAACGGCAGGCTGGACCGCCAAGAAGAAGCGATGGATGTGGCCTTGGGCCTTGGGGTAAAGAGAATGTTTAAGCGTTTGAAGGCGAACGGCAGGCTGGACCGCCCAGAAGAAGCGATGGATGTGGCCTTGGGCCTTGGGGTAGCTTTTGCCTGCGCGGTTGGGCGTTCCGAGAAGCTTTTGCAAAGTTTCAAGGGTTTTAAGCCTTTTAAGGGTTTTGAGGGTTAAAGGGCTGGCAAACGGCAGGCTTGGACGCCCATAAGAAGCCATTGATGTGGCCTTGGGGTGCCTGTTGGCTGCGGGATGAGGCATGCCAAGAAAATGTTTCAGCGTTTGAAGGGTTTGAAGCGTGTAACGCCTGGCGAACGGCAGGCTGGACCGCCCAGAAGAAGCGATGGATGTGGCCATAGTTTTTGCCTGCGCGGTTGGTCGTTCCGAGAAGTTTTTGCAAAGTTTTCAGGGTTTTAAGCCTTTTAAGCGTTTAAGGGCTGGCAAACGGCAGGCTTGGACGCCCATAAGATGCCATTGATGTGGCCTTGGGGTGCCTGTTGGCTGAGGATTAGGCATGCCAAGAGAATGTTTAAGCGTTTGAAGGGTTTGAAGCGGCCTTGGGGTAGCTTTTGCCTGCGCGGTTGGGCGTTCCGAGAAGCTTTTGCAAAGTTTTAAGGGTTTTTTAAAGCATTTTAAGCGTTTAAGGGCTAAGAAACGGCAGGCTTGGACGCCCATAAGAAGTCATTGATGTGGCCTTAGGGTGCCTGTTGGCTGAGGATTAGGCATGCCAAGAGAATGTTTAAGCGTTTGAAGGGTTTGAAGCGTGTAACGCCTGGCGAACGGCAGGCTGGACCACCCCATTGATGTGGCCTTGGGGTAGCTTGCTTGACCGCCAAGAAGCCATTGATGTGGCCGTAGGGTTTTTGCGCGCGGGGTTGGGCGTGCAACGCCGTAACAAGAGAGGGCTGTGGAGGCAAACGGCAGGCTGATCGAAGCTGCCGCGAAGCATTGAAGCATTTGAAGCTAAGAAAGACAAGTTCCACACCTGCGGTGGTCCCAGGCGCCGCCCCTGCCTTGGCGCAGGCCGGGGTGGGCGGATTTTTTTGGGGAATCTTGAATCTTGAATTTTGAATCCTACCTCCTTGGAATCAAGAAGTTTTTTCTGAGCCTTGAACCTTGAATCTTGAATCCTACCCCCTTGGATTCAAGATTTTTTTCTGAGCCTTGAATCTTGAATCATGAATCCTACCCCCTTGGAATCAAGAATTCTCTTTTGGAATCTTGAATCTTGAATCCTTGGATTCAAGATTTTTTTCTGAGCCTTGAACCTTGGATCTTGAATTTTGAATCCTACCCCCTTGGATTCAAGTTTTTTTTTGGAATCTTGAATCTTGAATCCTGCGCCCTTAGATTTGGAGAAGAATGCATTCTGATTGCATTTTTTGCAAAATGATCCAAGATCCAAGATTCCCACACGACTTGCAAAAAAATGCACTGCTTGATCACCAGAAAATGCCTTAAATTGTACAGTCCAACGTGAACAGAAAAACACTGTAAATACCACTAGATTTGCTGGAAATGTAGGTCTTGGGGGCGGTACCATATACATATATATATATATTTAAAAATATTATATATATATATATATTTATATTTAAATATATATATATATGATACATATAAATATATATATATACTTCCAAGGAAATTGAAGATACCTTGGGAGCATACCTTCCCCCTCCAACACTGACAAGAACAATGCCATGGTCATCATCCCGACTCAGCAACATTTATGGATAGCATAGACATGCAGAAACCATCCTCCGTTCGTTCTTTATAGTGGGTGAATCCCACATTATTTTGACAGCGTACTCAGGTGCTTCATGTGCCCCAAAGGTGTCAGCTGCAACGTGACTGGTGCACTTTTAGCAAAACCAGGTGCGAAGTAACCGAACTTGCAAGGTGATGCACAGTTACGTTGGTTGATTGAATATCTAGGTACCAAGTACGGAATTACATATAATGCGGCAAGCCAAATCATAAATCTACCATTTGGGGACGGTTTATACCACCCATTTGTGGTGATTTTGGGGATCGTTTATGGCCTCGGGTTTACCAACATCAGAATGTTGCTGTAACGAACAGTTCTCTGGTGATACCACCTATGGATCCAGAATCCAGCCTGAGGAAGTATGGCTGGGTGGTTTAAGGGGGTTTGTCATCACCTTGTGATCCACAGAAAATGAAGGGTTTTTCACCAGAGATGGTGAGTCAACTGACCCAAGATGGTGATTAAAACATAAACATATTAAAGCAACACAAATGGTGAGGTACTTGGTGGAAATGATGATCTGACCGACCAAATTTGGGATTTTATCCAAGCAAAGTTTCGGGGGAAACACCAAGACTGGTGGATACTTATTTGGACACATTTATTTACGCAACACCCATATATGGTTGTTAGGATTTCGCCACAGAATTGGCCTATGATTCAGGTTTTGGAATTATAGTCCGTCCGCTACCTGCCGCCGTTCCACGATTTACCAGTCGCACATTTTGGCAAAGTCTAGATCATGGGACCGACATGTTGGTTACCCGTTTGATTCCCACCGTGATTTTTCTGGCCCATTTCATTCCCTTTACCGGTGATAATTTAACAAAGTTATTGAAAATTGTTGTTTATATACCTATTAAAAATGATGATGTTTGATACCTATGTTACCTATGTTAGTTTACTGGAGGGTAATCATAGGTGGTAAGTCTCAAGTATAGTTGGTTTATTGTTGCCACTGCTGGCCTAGAAAAAAGAAGCGACGGCGCTATTCTGGTGCAATCCCCATTGATGAAGTTTGTCATGGCCACGAAGAAAATAACCTATTTGATTGGGTACTGTAAGAGTTTTACTACCTGGTTTTGTGGATTATGAACTACTGTAAACCACATTCGGGAAACCTATCAAACAACTGGTTTAAATGAGAGAATTTCAGGTTTGTGATCTTTGAGACGAGGTATTTTGGTTGATGGCGACTTCTCCATGTTTGTTGCTCTTTTTTTAACCTCCTACATCAAAATGCTGGTTGGAAAAATCAATTACCTCCGGTAATGTATCAATTTCGGAAAATCCTAGAAAATCACCATGTTTGATAGGTTGAATCAATGAAATTATACAGAAATGGGGCCATTTCCTCAGGCGAACTCTCACTTTCAGCTGGTTTTTTTCAACATGTTCGCCAGCCACGTTCCGCACCCGTGCAGGCTACTTTGCGGTGAAGGCGCAGGAATCGAAGCTTGGTGGAGCATGCTATCCAGCAGTTGAGGGATGTGGTTTGTCCCATTGATTTTCTGATCGGGGTTATCCATCATTAAACCATATGGATAAACAAGGATAGTTCATAGTTGGCTTTTCTTAAATAGGGTTTATCCATCAACATGTTGAAAACCATCATCAACTAGACATTTTATATCATTTTGTCATGTTTATCCCATCATTTTTGTTGGGGGTTCAAGCATCTTCCCATTGTCTAGAAACATGAACATTTTGATGATGGATATCATATGGATGGATGTAATTTGTAACCTCCCTAACATGAACATTGCCTTACTTCAGCTGGCTGGTGACCCTTCAGTGAACTAATATAGCTATGGAAAGTTGCCCATTTGTAGATGATTTACCCATTAGCATTAGCAGTGGTGATTTTTCCATAGCTATGTTAGTTGGAGGGTTCTATTCAGCCAGGTATATGAAAATACACATCGATCAGAATCAATGGATTGGTGGATGCCAAAGAAATGCGGAAATCAGGATATCAATGGATTGAAATTAACACTGTAAGACACAAGCGCAGAACGGGCTGGCACAACAAGGACATTGTATTCAGCATGACTTAAACAAGTGAGCAATGGTGCTGACTCTGGATTACGAAGCCTTGGCTGATGATGAATTAAGGCAGTCGTGGCAAAAAGTGGTTGTCGGCTACCAAAACGTAATCTCCAATTGAAGAGCCTTCTTCGAGGGGTATTATTACAGTAATTCGGAGGCGACATTAAATGCACCGGCGAACAGTAGGTCAAATTCTGCTCAGCAGGATTTCAGAGCATCAAGTTGACGGTTTGTCATTGGGCTGAAAGTGGATTGGGTGATGTTGTTGATGTTGTCATAGATAGAACGTGTCAGAAAGGTGTGCTTGTCTCATTATAATATAAACCTGGGTGCAACGCCAATAAGTGATGAATTGAATGCGCATAGCGGTAATGTAACCGTTTGCTATGGTGTAGATTATAGATGGTCCATGTTTAGATCATATACAGATTGAGAAATGGTGATGTTCCATATAGGTATATTAAATTACCACATGTTATGAACTCATGTTGGGAACCCCGTTTGAGTACTGAAGGTCTTACCCTCTGGTTATTTGTGTGAAAAAATCACGATATTTGTTTAAGGAAATCATCTAACTGGGCCGTTGTCCATAGTAATTACCAGAGGATACATATTACCCTCTGGTAAACTAACAGCTTGCTATTGAAAATGACCATCGAAATAGAAACAGTTACCCATTAAATTTTAAAAATGGTGATTTTCCATAGTTTTTGTATGTTTACCAGAGGGTAGTTGCATATTCATTACATTTTGACGATGGCCGCAGAAAAAGGCAGCACCTTGGTGAACAGTATCACCATGGCGTGTTGCCTTGACCAAAGATGAGGTCCCAATATCCAAATCAGCCTTCAATTGAAGAAACCCTGGGTAAGTTTATGATTTATTGATTTATGGTATCTTGTTTTTTTGAGCCGTGAATGGTGGAAAATTGTCCTGAAAATGGTCTTGTTCTCCATGTGGGTATTCTTTTTTTCATGTTAAATCCGTTCGAATCGCATCTACGTTACACGGCAGCACGGAAACACCAGTGCAAGCACTGTGCAATGACCTCTTCGGCATAGTTGACCCAGTGACCAGCAAAAAAGGGCACCACTTCCCTGTTGATGGAAAGCCAGTTTTGTTGGTTTTGCCTGCATTTGCGTTGCTTCAACCACTACTTGTTTCCCTTTGGATATCAAAGATGGATTGCTGGAGAACTCATCCCCCCCATTTAGGTTCGATGATTTTCCAGCGGCCTGCCATGTTCAAATCGGACGCCGGAATATTTGATGGTTGAATCCCTATGATTGTTAGATGAGTTTGATTCCAAGTGTTGTTGGTTAAATCAACATGAGTTTTTCAATATTAAATCCACCATTTTGCTGGGTTAAACCACGATCTTTTCCGGCGAAATCCTCCGCATCTAAGGATCTATGCGGCTTGGAACGGACCAGAGGCTTGTTCCATCGAACCTGGTGGCGGTCTTGCAACGTTGCACCCCAACGACTCTTGGTGACCGGCCGTAGGGTTACCGTGGGGTGACAGGTTGGGATTCAGAAAATGGAACTAATTACATATAGTATATGTGTATATATATATATATACACATGCACAATCATGCATATATATATATTGCATACAAATATGTTTTCTTCGGGATTTTATGGAATTATATTGTGGGATAATAATCTATAAACATGTATAATATGGAATGGGATGTGTATATATATATATATATATATTCATGGGTGTGTCTGAAAATGAAGAGATAGCCCAATGATGGCAAGTCTAATGGGATCTGATGGTAAGCCATGGAAAAATTGGTATCATATTTTCAGACAGAGCCATGTATACACATATATGTTATATATCACTATATATCCGTCATTTTATGGAATCAATTATTGTGAGAGTAGTGATAACAAAAAAAATATAATTGGGATATTGGGATCTCATTTTTAATGGGGTTAATCGGAATTAGTCTGTGGGATTAACGATTATTTATATGTTCATATCAATCACAACAAAATACATCCTAGCTTAGGTCAAAAATCATATAAAATACGGATATAACCCATGTCTTTTCTGTCTACGCTATAATCTGTAACCCTGGAACCAGGAAAATTGAGAAGTATGTTGGGAACACTTGAGTTATGCATAGAAACATATAGAAAGAAAAACATGTTGAATCCTAGCTTTGGGTTGTCTATGGACCCAGTGAAGTTACGTTGACCCCTTGGCTGCACTTTCCGGTTTGGCCATGATTTGGGTGAACTTTGGACAGGTCCACCATGGTTCAAAAAGTAAATCGTAAAAAAAAACGACTGTTTGAGAGATTGACCAGGTGCCAATTCTGATCTACATATTTGAAGATTCCAGGACATTCCTGCTTTCTTGGATGAATATTAATACTATCAAGACCCATGTCAGACCTTTGTCTCCGGGTACTTGTAGGGACCACTCAATATTGCGCATTGTGTTTTTCCTTGCCAGTAATTTTGGACCAATAACTATATATTATACACACACACACTCCCCTATGGGGTGTGAAACCACAAAACAAACACCACCGGGTTTGTGGGGGTTCAGCTGCCAACACATTTCTTTTTTGCGAAATGCTTCGCCGAGGACATTGGCAGCCGGAAACTCAGATCCAGCTGACAGGAGGAAAACCACTAGTCACAGTATGCAGCTATGCGTAGCTACATGATGTTAATTGATGTCACGTGTTTTTCTTCGATGTTGTAAATGTTAGATTGCATTTGTACATGTAATTAATTACGTGTACATGCACGTAGATCTACACGGAATGTTTACTCTGAGAGACTTACAGTAAAACCCAGTAGGTCTTAGAACAAAAATGCAATGATATACATAAGTCTAGCGAAACTACCACACACAAATATTTGCGTATCGGAATATTGTCAGCGGGACTGGACATATAAACTACATGGTCAACTACATCACTACATGAAGATCCAGTGAATGATCTGCGCTTGCTACCGTTTCTTTTTATTTCGAGCTTCTGGCCATGAACTTTCATGGGCCCAGCTCCAAGACTGCTGGAGGCTCTACAAGTCCAAGGCTTTTAAGTCTAATTAACATTGCATTACGCATTATATTTTGCAATGTCCTTGCCAACAAATGTGAGGCATCCTTAAATAGGAGCGTGGATTTTGATCAACCACTGGCAATTGGTATCATTGGTGCACAAGCGACGCATGGGGCTGGAGGTACGCATCATGACCTCAAAACCAACAGAATTTTCCACTGAAGTCCACAAACATCCACAGTTCACCATTTAACGATATATTTTGATGATGCAGAGAACCTGGCTTAGCGTTGGATCGCTTATTGTGGGGTCCTTTATTGGCCGTGTATATTATATATATACACACATTTGACATTATACATATGTTATATCATTTATTCAAGTATATTCTTGTATGTATAGTAATTTATGTAATGTCACGTAATGTAATGTATACAATGTAATGTAATGTCATGTCATGTCATGTCATGTATGTGTATAGATATGTCCTTTTAGGCTGATGGGATCATCGATGAACTAAGCGTTGTCGCCATGGGCCCATGGACGAGGCTGGAGTCACAGCAAGAACGAAGCCCTGTGGACAGTGCATCAATGCGAACCCAAATCTGTGTGCCCCTCGTCCTGCACAAATGTAGAAAAGGTGATGATTTTTTGTTGATTATTTGAATAATTTGTCGCTTTTCTATCTTTTTTGTCGGTTTTCTTGAAGTGATCCAAGCAAGCCCCCCAAAAGAACATGCTTTTGGGCGAGGCTTGGATTCAAAACCATGTTTTTGTTTGGAATTTGTTGTTTTTCATCCCTGAAATTTGACACCAAACCCAAACATGATTTTAATAGCAATCCTAAGCACACCATACAACATATAGATAGATAGATAGATAGATAGATAGGTAGGTAGTAAACTAGATTGGAAAGATCGACTAGCAATCGACTAGATCGATCGCATAGATAGATAGATAGAAAGATAGATAGATAGATGGATAGATAGATAGATAGGACAGATAGATAGATGGATGGATGGATGGATAGATAGATAGATAGATATATAGATAGATAGATAGATAGTGTCCAATATTCTTTAGTAGTGCTTCGGGGTCCCACATTGTTCTTTTAGTGGCCTACGGTCTGCTGTTTCAGGCCCGTATGGATTCCAAGTTCTTTTTGCTGGCAACTCGCAACTGTCGCTACCGCTAGTTGTTTGACCAAAAATGACTTTGCAAAGAAAACATTCAACAACCAAAACGAAATGCATAACAAGTAAAATCCCATCAGTATACTGGGCGCAATATACATGGATAGTATCCATTTCTATATGAGCAACCGTAAAAACCCCGGCAATACTAAATATGTATTCGACGGAAATTGGCTTATGGAAATTGATGGAAATTGTTAAAAACACGAGGTAAGCGATGGGACCTTCCCAAATTAGCGATACCCCTTTTCAAGGTTATGTCATCATATTTCTCTAATATCCACATTAGCGATACCCAAATATCACATATTATTCATAGTTCATCTATATATATATATATAAATGCAGCAGTTTCCTGCAAGCGATACCCCCCAAGTTTACCATATATCATTATTGTACAAACGTGTGGTAAGCGATGGGACCTTCCCAAATTTGTGGATATTATCTGTTTGGTTGCGTTTCTGTACACCTACGGCTTGACAAGTCTTCCAATCTGAACAGGCCTTCGCATGAAGCATCGAATTTTATCCAATCGTGTAGTAATCCAATAGATGACTTTAATAGACTGGGTTAATAACCATTGGGTTTCCCATATTCGTGTAATCACCAACAATTCCGTGTAGTAACACCTACCATTTCATTGGAGATGTTCTTTTAACACCCATAGAAATGGTGATTCTGGGGATGATGCAAGTGACCCCAGGGGATTACTAATCATTGCCAGCAACAAACCGTCCCCGGGATTAATTACTATTCTTGGGGGATGATGCAAGTGACCTTGGGATGCGAGATATTATTGGCTTTACCCTCTGGTAAACTAACGTAACTATGGAAAATCACCATGTTTATTTCTATGGCAATTTTCAATAGCAAACTGTTAGTTTACCAGAGGGTATCACATTATTTGGGCCTATTCACTCACACGCAATTTGCAATCCTGAATTTAGCTATCAAGCTTTGGGGGGATTGTTAATCCCACCCCACATCTTGTACTCTTTAGCCCCAAGTTAAAATCTTGAATACCCTCTGGTAATTTGACATAGCTATGGAACATCACAATCTTTAATTGGTAAATTAACTATTTCTATGGCAATTTTCAATAGCAAACTGTTAGTTTACCAGAGGGTATGTTGGGGATCCTTTAAAGGGTGAGCCCTTTTTGGATGTATTTCATATCTTCTACCATCCCAATCAACGGCTGAGGCTTGGGCGAGAACGTCTGCAGCGCCTCCCAAGTGGGCGGCCTGGCAGAGTTATCCCATCTTGGGGGAATTGTGTTAGGTGGTGCAGTTCCTAATTATTGTCGGTGATATTTCACCATACTTTGGGAATTATATTTAACACATCTCCGCTTAGGTTTTTTTTGGCGTTATATTTCACCACAATTGTAGGGGCCCCATCTCCCAACTTGCTTGTTGCCATAGTTATATTCGTGAATAACCCCACTTGCACCCCCAAGTTGCTGATGGTAAAAACAGTTGGTTATTGTTGGTTGTACCTGGTTATAAATCCAAAGATGTAAACATAACAATCCCATCTCGCTTGGCTATAATTAAAGGAGCGGATAACCCCACAAGTCAACTTCTTCCAATAATGAGCAAGAAATGTTGTAGCGGGGACGGGGAAGGAAGGAAAGACAAAAGAGGAGGTGGAGGAAAGATGGTGTGTGACAAAGTTGTGTGTGTGTGAAAGGTGGTGTGGTGAAAGATGGTGTGTGACAAAGATGGTGTGGTGAAAGATGGTGTGTGACAAAGTTGTGTGGGAAACATGGTGTGTCAAAGATGGTGTGTGACAAAGTGGTGTGTGACAAAGTGGTGTGTGAAAGATGGCCTGTGACAGTGTGTCAAAGATGGTGTGTGACAAAGATGTGGTGTCAAAGATGGTGTGTGAAAGATGGTGTTTGACAAAGTGGTGTGTGAAAGATGGTGTGTGGCAAAGTTGTGTGTGTGAAAAATGGTGTGTAAAAGATGGTGTGTCAAAGATGGTGTGTGAAAGATGGTGTGTGACAAAGTGGTGTGACAAAGAAGGTGTGTGAAAGATGCTGTGTGAAAGATGGTGCGTGACAAAGTGCTGTGTCAAAGATGGTGTGTGACAAAGTTGTGTGTGAAAGATAGTGTGTCAAAGTTGTGTGTGAAAGAGAGGGTGTGACAAAGTTGTGTGTGTGAAAGATTGTGTGTGAGAAAGCGGGTGTGAAAGATGATGTGTGAAAGATGGCGTGTGACAAAGTTGTGTGTGTGAAAGATGGTGTGTGACAAAGTGGTGTGTGACAAAGCTGTGAGTCAAAGATGGTGTGAGAACCAGCCCAGAGCTCCTCCAGGAGGCTCTGTGTACTGCACCTTTCCCAGGAAAGCTCGTCTGCCACACGAACGCCAGCCGCGGGCCAGGCGGCGACCACGAGCGCAGCAGTTCCTCCAGCAGGCCCTGTGCACTGCGCCTGCCACACGAAAGCGCGCCGCGGGTCAGCCGGCGACCACGCGCGCAGCAGCTCCTCCAGGCTCTGTGTAATGCGCCTGCCACACTCTGTGTACTGCGCCTGCCACACGACAGCGTGGTGTGATTGACAAGTGGTGTGATGAGTAGTACTGTGATGTGACTGCGTGGTGTGATTGACAAGTGGTGTGATGAGTAGTGCTGTGATGAGTGAGGTGTGATGAGTAGTGCTGTGATGAATGAGGTGAGTGAGAGACGCGGCGGCGGGCGGACGCGGAAGCGGAAGCGGAAGCGGAAGCGGAAGCGGCGCGGCGGGTGCCAAGCGAAAAACAAGAACCCCACACAGTGATGTGGGGAATTTAGGTCCTCATAGTATGAGGGTTCGACTAGCCAAAATAGAATGGGTTTTGAACACCAAAAAAACTGAAAGTCCCTTATTGTAAGTAGTTTTGAACTTTAACCTGCCATAGGATTTATAACATGTTCTAACCATTTCTAATCCTTTTTCGATATAACAGACATAAGTGGACAAGTCTCCCCCTAGTTTGATCCCGCTTTTATCGGACCCCAAATCGTGAGGATTTCGTTGCCATGACTGCCAGACGGGCTATTCCCGAATCTTGCTCCTTGGCGACGGGGTCGAATTCGCCTCCGGTAAGCGATGGAAGCTATATGAAGCTATGGTAGACATGGATCATCTATTAAGAATGGTGATTTTCCATAGCTCTGTTCAATTCCCAGAGGATAAACAAATAGGAGATTAGTGCTTTGTTTGTGAAAACCAGAGAACCAACACATCGTCGCGTGGTTCCTGTTAGACACGAGCTGGTGAATAGTCGATTATGTTGATTATTTGAGATCCTTGACAGGACCAGGTATGATGATTCAATGATGATATTTATTTTCAGATAATTTCTGGGCGGTAAATAAACATCCTGTAAACTAACTCAGATGTGGTTGTCACCGACCATTCGTGGATCATTATCCTAGGGAAACCCCAGGATTTCCATATCTATTTTAGTTTCCCCCAGGGTCTCACTCACCTACGTATGAATGTTTGATGTGTACATACATGATCATATGACTAGATACGCACTTAGTATCATCACAATTGTCGTCATAGCGATTTGTCTGAAAATAAGGTACCCCAAAATCCAGTGGATCATCATGATTATCATCAATAACCGATTATCACTACTTTTCCCATCTAAATGGGATGATTTTCCCATTTTCTTTATTGAACTTTGTAAAAGTACCATTAATGGAACTTTCGTTCGATCCCTACTGATCCCAATTCATGTCCATGTCCCCATTAATTAATGTCCCCACACAATGATTATAATCCTAGATCCATCCAAGATTCTAAGTAGAAATTTTTCAAATCCTTTGAAATTTGGATGGTTCAAAATCACGTTTTTTTTCTCCATCTAAGTAATTAGCCATTGTCGTTGAGAATTGAAGTACTTACTTTCAGGTGAATTGGCGTTTCACCATTCATTGGCGTTAATTCACTACTTTTTCACCTATTGTAACCACCTTTGTTGTACTTGAGTGGTTGAACCCACAATTTCTTCAGCATCCCGTTGCCGAAAACCAGCAGGAGTCACGGGGACACCTGCGTGGCGTGTCTGGATTTCACTCCGTTGCTCTGGCGCTGTGTCGCCTTCGTGCCTCGGTACAGAATTTTTGAACACGACGTCACCTCGGATCATCCCACTTAGTAAGTGGTTTACAACATGTTATAACTCTGTTTAGATCTATTTCGTAAGTCCCCGATTCGTGGATCCCATTCATTAACGGGTCACAACTGCAGTTACAAACCACTGGGTGGGATGATCCTCCAAGTAGTTTGTGTTAGATTATAAGGGAACATAGTGGGAATATAATGGATAATATATATATAGAGAGAGAGAGAAAGACTGGGGATTGTAGAAGTTTACTAGGTATATGACGGGATATACTTGGAAATTTAGCACCCAAAGCGGTAGAACCATTAACAACAATGTGAGTATATCGGATATATATATATAACTTATATAATTCAATAAATACATAATTAATTTATCAAGTAACGATGGTATATACAATACAAGTAATAAATTAAGAATGTGTTCAGCAATAATAGGTTATCATTCCTCCATAATTTCAGATTGCTGAATTATAGTTATTAATATTCATTAATTCATATGTTTGTGGCAACCTCAGGTTAATTGTCATTATTCATCCAAATAATAACTGATAATAATTGTAGTAACGCGATGTGGGATACAGTGGTGCTGACAATGGGATAACGGGGAGATTCCCATTACTCAAAATGATCCAACATGAACTGATTCACTCTCCGGAATCAAAGGTGGCAATAGAGAATTCCCTTTTAATGGAGGTTTTAATCGGATAATTCCTTACTGTATTATAAATAAAGGATTGTCCATTGCAATGTTGGCCAAGGGTACAAAGGTTATATATGATTAAAACATGTTAGAACACTAGTGAATTTGTAATTTCATGTAATTTCTATAAATGATGACAGTAAGCCAGCGGTACTGGAATATCGTGATAAGGCGCCACCATGTGGAACTTTATGGGATGGAGCTAGGATATGACCAGTCACTGGTTACTGTTCTTGAATGGGATACTGGTATAAGACTCCCCAGACCCGGGATTTATGGGGATATGGGAATATGTAGAATACAGTAATGCTATATATTTATGTAGAATAATATACTATATATATACATATGCATCACATATTAGTTAAGTAAGCTGGGTTATAAACCATCCCCAAAAACTATAATCAAAACAGGTTCACCCGAACTATGCCTAGGATGATCATCCCGAATGTTTGTATTTTTAGCCAAGTTGGCGTGATTTTTCAAACACAATTTACATTACTTTACCACAAAATGCCGCAAAAATGATTTGGTGTATGAGTTTGTGTTGAAATCAGTGATGCTTCAGCCAATCGGTTGATTGGCCATATGGAGGAGACCACAAAAATGGATCTGGGTCGTCAATCCGGGATGGATTGGCCGTTGGTCCCAAAAGAGAAGATGGTCGGCATTTTCTGCCCTGTGAGGCCATGTTGCAAGTTTTTGTGGCCCTTCTGTAGCTGGTCAGCAGGATTGGGGAAAGATTGAGACTGGATGGAGGTGCTGATGATCATTGTTCGCCTCGGTTTGGAACATGTTTGCCTTCGAAATGACATTGTTTTGGGACTCCACATTGAATGTTCACACTGTACCACACCTGGTTCCTGTGTATTGCATGACTTTGCAGCATCTTAAAGCCTGTCAACCTATCACAACTAGAGCAGCGATGCATGCTTAAAGCCGTGAATGTTTTGCTGATGGGTTGTGGTTTTTAAAAAGATGGAAGAGCTTGTCGTACAAGTTTTTTACAGCTATAGTTTTTAACAACCTCAGATTCAGGTTACCTGTGGTAAATTATTCAAAATCATCCACATGTAGGCGTTGATATTCCAAATCAAACAAGATGCAATGTTCACCTGTGTTGCGATCGGATGCGGCTGTTCCATAGCCATGCAGGTTTTGTCTAGAGTCTAAACATAGGCCCTTGGGGTATACCCCAAAACGGCTATTCGATTCAAACACATGATGATAGACCACTAGATCTATAGGGGTGCCTTGTTTCTTTTTTCACACACTGATGTATCAATACACCCATTCGTCGCTCCACTGTGAATTTGACCTTCTGCCTTCTGTTCTAATTATATAGTTGGAAACATCAGTGGATAACAGCTACAACATCATAGGAAGCTGAGAACTTGAGCCATACCATTGGAAATGAGTTGCTGGCAAAAACTATGGACAAGCGCTGGATGAGGATTCTGACTCGTTCCTGTAACTAGAAGTTGGGGAAGTTCATGGAACTAATCCACTAGCTTTTAGTTTGATGATTTTCCCAACTAGAAACCTCCATTTATGCCACAGACATTTCACATCAGTTCACCTGTATTTGACCGGGAAAGGACCATTGAGGATCAGCAAAATTTCCCCTTCAAAAGCCTCCCCTGGAAAACCTAGGCTTGCTGCCACCAGTCAAAAAGATGTCGCGGAACTGGATTGTTTGTTAAGTCCAATACTGCTATCGCCTCCCGTCTCAAAATCATGTGCTGTGATTCGTGTGGCCCGGTAAGGCCAAAAAAGGCCAAAAAACATGTCATTCCATCGCAGTGTAGACAAGCGGCACACTACGCATTTTAATGTATGTTATATACTAATCCCATCCCCTAATATTAAGCACCCTCTAGACTCTAAATGGTTCCATATATGTATGTGTATTTCTCCTAACCAGCTTCATTGGGAGAGTGCTTGTATTAGGGGGATGGGTTCTATAAACATTATATATATACATTATTTATGCATTGAACATCTTTAATTACGGACATGAAGACATCTAAATAAAGTCTGTGTGTGTGCGCGTGTTCTACACATTTGGATCCGCAGATGGGGTGACCTAGTGAACAGCACCGGTATTTTATTTCCTATATCTGGGCAAATCAGCGACCTCACTGCGACCTCACTGGCAGAATGGTCAACAAGAGGAATCATCCCCAAATGACCTTAATTCAGGTTTGTGAAATGTTATATATAATTTACCCACATGTATATATATATATATACATACATATGAATAATAGTATATATCTACAATACAACCGCAATATAATCATAATACACATACATGTTTGCAGATGTATTTGCACGTGCGTCTGAAATGTATATGTAAATGCATATTACCAATGCACATAAATTCATGTGATTATTAGTAAGTCATGTTTCCCTAGAAGCTGGGTTATCACCTCCCAATCTAGCTGGACTCTTGTGCTCCATGTTTGTCGTGGGAAAAAACAAAAACACATTGTGGTTTGTTGTTGGCCGTTGTTATATATTCTGTTGAGGCGTCGCTTTTGCACATAGTCTGCGGAAATCTTTTATGTTGGCTGAACCTGCTGTTCTATCTCTATGCCGTTTGGAGAAACATCTCATGTTTGCTCAATATAAACATACACTAAACTTCAAATCGCAATCAGAACCGTCCCGGGTAGTACAGGCAATTACTGGGTCACTTCACCAAAGTTATAGCTGGACTAACCCTACTTACCCTGCCACTGGTGAGATGTTACCAACTTAATCCCATCCTCCAAGATATGACATGAAACACCCCGCAGAAACCATGTTAGAAATTTTGGGAATCTACACAGATTTGGGGCCTTTTTCCGGGGGATGTGTTTTTCCGTGTTGTTTTTGTTTTTTTTTCCAACTGTGTAAATCCCATACTCCCATGGTTTCCGGGTGTGAAACATCGGGGGGATGGGACGATTCACATCTCGATGTTTGTGACGTGGAAAACATGGCAGAGTAACCAAGTGTTTGTTAATTTTCATTATTAACAAAACAACAAGTATTGTTCTGCATATATGTACATATGATAATGTACCTAGTATATGTGTACATATAATATACTAATATACTTATATAATAATATATTTTTATTACATATATATATATTGTTTTCATATGTTGTTTTTTTTCAATATGTTTACTGTTTTTCGTTTTATATTACATTATGTGTTTTTCTATCATTTACTAGTTTTATTATATTATATCATATGTTACTATAATTTACTATATTTTGATCATGATATAAGATAGTTAATCTTACTTCGTGTTGTATTTTTAAATATATTTTACTATATTATTTTAAATGTTACTATAAGTTATTATATTTTGATCGTAAGAGAAGTTAGTATAATTCACTTTTATTGTTTTGTTTTTTATTTTACTATATTATATTATATATATGTTACTATATTTACTACATGTTAGCATGTTTTGTATAATATTTAACATTTTACTATCGTTTTTTGATTTAGCCATATGATACTTTACTATATGATATGATATTATGTTTTATTATGTTTTATTTTATGTGTTTACTATATTATAATATTTTTGAATATTTGAATACAATTTAGTATTTTTCATGTTTATTGTATTATATGTTATTATATTTACTTTATTTTATTATTGTTTGTTTTATTACATTATATATATTATATATGTTACCATGCTTACTAGATTTATCATGTTACAATATACAATATTTCTTACCATATCTTATCACATTTAGTTTTATAGTACTATACTTTACTATAATATTTTTCTTGTATTATATTTTATGTGTTTACTATATATTTTCGGTTTTTATCAAATATCAGAATATATTTTTCATGTCAATCGTACTATATTATTCTATAGTTTACCATATGTTGGTATGGCATACGTTATTTTAATATATATATATATATATATTTCTTCCATGCTATTTCTTATTATATTATAAGGTATTATATTACAATATATCATCTTATATTTTGATTTATTATATTATTTGTCTAAACATATTAAATGATATGTTATATTTTATACTGTTATAACTTGCGTTTTGATTTTATAATATGATATGTATATATATATATATTGTAGTATGAGATTTTCGCTAGGGGGCTGACGTTTGCCCGAAATCCACGGAATTCCATGCGGGACTGCAATCTGCTGTGTTGTTTCCGTGCGTGTTTTTTGCACACTGCGAGCATGCAAAATATTGAATTGCCTGCGTCTCATGGCAGTTTTGCGCTTACCTAAGACGGTGCCAAAATCACCTTTTGAAGCGTATCTTCAAGATATCCTCCGTAATTTGCAGTGTTTCGAGCCGTTAACTGAGACCTCAACGAACCGCAAGACTTTGAAAGAACACCGAAATAACCTAACCCTAAATAAACCCTAAACAAACCCTTAACCAACCCTAAATCAACACTAAATAACCCTACATAGACCCTAAAACAACCATCAGCAAACCCCAAAACAACCCTAAATAGCACGAAAATTAACTAAACAACCCCTAAATAAACCCCAAACAATCCTTTAAAAAAACTAAACCAACCCAAGCAAACCCTAAAACAATCTGAAATATATCCTCTACAAATCAAAAAGTAACTAAGCCCCCAATGAAACTTTGGGCGAAAGTCCGCCCCGGAGGGGATATTTAATATTATATATATATATATAATTCATTGAATGATATAATAGAGTGTAAAATAATATCATATGATTTATTGTAATATAGTATATGTTATCATCATATCATATTATAGTCTATGATATTCTAATATATTTTAATCTATTGTAATATACTATATCATTTTAAACCTTATTTTATTATCATGTTTTATTACATTGTATAAAATGTTGTTATATTATTTGCCACACACTATAAGCATTATATAATAGTTGTTTACAATAAATGTAACTACATGAAACAATATTGAACTGACACAAAATTGTTGATGCATGTTGTCATTGTGACACCAACAAGCAAAAAAACAATTGTTGTTTTATCAATCTAAATCACCCACACAATCCTGCCATTGAAGTGTTTCGAACATGCACGCTCTCCATCTTGTGTTCTTTTACGCAAACGCGGAGGCTGTTGGTGGCGCTTCAGTGCTTCTGGATGCTATTTCAAACTGTTGAAAGAGCTGGTATGTTCGATGAAAAAGAGGCGGAAACTTCCGAAGATGGACTGGAGATTTTTTTTGATCACCAGATGTGGATCTCTCGGGTTTTCAAACCGTTCGCTATGGTGAAAGTAGATTATTTAGTTAAAAAGAGGTAGTAGTCCATAGCGCAAATTACCAGAGGGTAATAGAATCACCTCGTTTTCCTATATTTTTCTTACAGACCTGTTGGCTTGGTACTTAGGCGTCACCTGGGTCACCTGGGTCACGTTGCCGGACTCGTGGATTCCAGCATCTCCGGGACAAATTGGGTTTCGTCATCCCGGTGGAACTCATCGGGTATAGCAACCCAATATGTTTTTTTGTTTTAACATAGTGTTCCCATGATTTGTTTCAAAAAATATACTGTAAGTGTGTGTGTGTGTGGGGGCAACCCCTGTTCCGAAGGGCTTTTATCACATGTCCAATTTTTAGTTACAGTTCCCAATTTACAAGCAGGGGCACACGGCATCCTTGACCCACCGTGTGCAACGAAGCTACGGTCTTGGATGGGATATCAGGGCTGATCACCCTGACGTACCTGCAGTTGGTCATGATGTTTTCTCATTATTCAAGCTTGTTGATGCATTTTCGGTTAGTCTTTTGTCATATGCATGAATAATTCGAGAAATCGGAGTCCGTTACGCATTTTGCAGTTTTTTCAGTTTTTACCAATTTCTGCGACTTTTGTCCAAAGTGGACAAAGACGGCCTTTCTGAACTCAGTTCAGATACCCTATCGGGAATCAAAAGACTCATAGACGAGATACGGTCTTTCAAGTGTGTTTTCGGCAGAGATTCCGTCATGGTCCTGTCGTGATCCGGTAACTGCCGGCGTGTGAACAGTATCCTTCTGATTTGGCTTCGGCCCTCAACTTTTTTCACCACCAAAAAAACGGGGGTATGTCTGGTCCTTGTCCAGAGAAAAACAACAAGGCAATACCACTGGGTCGTTTTGACCATGAATCGTAGCCATCGGTATTTCTTTGAACCGTATCCGATATGATTTGGGACTAATTTTCCTTTCCGTCCCCTCGAGATGAGTAATTCGTGTTACGGAGTTCCACTTTCCAACGGAAATCGAAGATTTCCATGGAAATTGTCGTGCATGTTTTCTCAGGCGTTGAAGAATCTCTGAAAAATCTCTGAAAATCTCTGATTGCACTTTGTGCCTCTGAATTACTCTGATTCACTCTGATTTACTCTGAACATTCAGGGTTATTCCTGAACAAAGGCTTTCGGGCCCTCCTCTGAAACAACTATGAGTCGCCAAACAAAAGGCCAAAAAAGAACAAAAAAGAACAAAAGGAACAAAACAGAAGAACCAGCAATAGAACATTTCGATTTACTCGTAGGACGGATCCGTGAGAGTTTCGATGCAGTGTTTTCACAGTACCTCAGCTTTCGTTTTCTGTACAGACATTCTGGCTCAACGGACATGTTTTTCATGTTTTTCATGTTCATTCAGGAAGCCAGACATTAAAAAACGTAACATACGTAGTTACTTGTACAGTTGACTTTTTAATGGTATGTGGGCATGGTTTTCCATTTTCCATTTTCCATTTTCGTCACGTAGAGTTGCAGCCATGTCATACAATGTGTATTTCATTGCAGGGGACTACAGCCGTCAGGCGGCAAAAGCACCACCGCCTCGAGCACCGGCTGCCGTGGTTTCGACGTCGAGACCCAAAAGTGAGGTCCGACCTGCGCTGCCAATTACAGATGGTACTGCACGCTTCGACCCCCCTAGAAGACCACCGGGACCAATGTCTGTAGTCCTTGCAGGTGTACAGAAAATCGGTAGACCACCAGCCGCACCGAGAAGTTTGACACCTTTACAGCCTCCACCACTGAGATCCAGATCTTCTCGATCCCGTAGACCTCGTCAAACGAGATCTAGATCCGATAGCCGTGCACGATCTCGGTCCCTAGGACCTAGTGTCAGTGAAGTTCGATCAGAGGCTCGCTCTTTACAGCAAGCCCATCATCCATACCCACCAGGGAATTGGGGAACTTCACTTGGAGTATTTGATATTTACGGTCAAAGCGGCCAATTTTAAGAAAGACCTCCGCCGCCGCCACCACCATTCCGTCCGGTGGTGCCACAGACCGTTCGTAGTGCTCCGAATACATCTTTGAGTACGCCTTTAGGCAGTGCTCCTTTTAATGCGTTTTCGATTCCGAGCACGCCGTCAGGCCATGTCCCGCTAAATGATCATGAGTATTCCTTGTTTGAAATCCTTTTGAATCAACAAGTCAAGGAGCATCCCACTTCTGAAGCCTTTTTGCAACATGTAGCCCAGCTACTGGCACAGGCTGAATTAGGTCGTATCTTGCACAATGGGACGAATCTCAGCAAGAACGAATGCGGTGACATATTTGTGGGCCTAGCCTGGGGCACAGGCAAAACTGTGCACAATGGAGGAGAGGGTGAGTGCATTGACCTCACCCGTGGCCCGAATTCGCAAGGATGCGTGCATCACAAACGTGGCCGCATGTGAGTGATAAACACCCACTGTCACTATTTGACAGGCATTGCTTGGCGATCGGATACCCAAGCTCCGGTCAGGTTTTTTGAATTTCATTCGCAGCTTGATTTTTCATTCGATATTGAATTAAACTTGTCATTGGACTGAATGCCATAATGGCTCAGATCCTCACTTCGATCTTGTCGACCGATTTTCTTGAGCAGGCTCAAAAGTCGTGCTCATTTAATTCAACACACGTACCCGTAGTCACCAACCCCAAAGTCTTTGCATGAATTAGCACCGCTGCATGTACAGACAAGAATTCATTCTTCAGACATTGACAGTGTATGGCCCTGCCATTTCTCCATTTTGAAAGCTAGTTACGCACTGATTTGAATTTCCGTCAGATTAGAAGTGCAGGACTCGGAAGTTAGACCTCTTTGACACTGTAATATTTGGCCGTGACCACAATGAACGATCGTGGAGCAGTACGTTTCGAAATTTTCATTCAACCTTGTTTCGAACATCTTCAGCTGCGTCGAAACGGCGACAATAGGTTTCTCATTGCACAGCAGAGACCACCTTCAGACCTCCGCTTCTCAAGTCTTTACAGACTTGGACCTTAGTGGCAGTCCAGTTGAACTGGAACTTGTTTTCCTATGTTTTCCTTGCATTCTCATGGTGCATCGGGCTCAAAAGTCGTGCTCAGTTAATTCAATACTCGTAGTCACAAACCCGAACTTTTTGCATGAATTAGCACCGCTGTATGTACAGACAGGATTTCCATCTTCAGACATTGACATGTCTCGCTATTGCGATTTCTCCATTGTGCAAGCTTGTATCGCACTGATTTGGAATTTGCGTTAGATTTCTCAAGAATTTCAATTCTTGACAGACTTGGAGTTTTATTTGTTACAATTCTTGAACAAACACTGATGTCCACACTGCCAGGCATCAGATTTGAGACACTGTATCCGCCGGAACCTTCCGTCTTGCTTTGAGCGGGCTCAAAAAGCCATGCTCATTTAATTCAATACTCGTAGTCACAAACCCGAACTTCTTTGCATGAGTTAGCGCAGCTGTGTGTACAGACAAGAATTCATTCTTCAGACATTGACAGTGTTTGGCCCTGCCATTTCCTCATTTTACAAGCTTGTTTCACATTCATGTGGCAAAGCCTGCAGAAATGTTTGACTTTTCCCTATTATACAAGCTTGTTTCACACTCATGTGGCAAAGCCTGCCGAAACGTTTGGCGTCAGATCCGAAGTGAAAGAATCGGAAGTCAGACATCTTTGACACTGTCAAATTTGGCAGTGGCCACATTGAACAATCGTGTAGCATTACCTTTCAAAACCAAAATGTTTCAACCTTGTTTTGATCTTCGAGTAGTGTAGTCTGATACTTTGATACGTCGACAATAAGTTTCTCATTGCACAGAAAAGACCACCTTCAGACCTCCGTTTGTCAAGTCTTTACAGACTTGGACTTTAGTGGCAGTCCAGTTGAACTGGAACTTGTTTTCCTTGCATTCTCATTGTGCATCGGGCTCAAAAGTCCTGCTCATTTAATTCAATACTCGTAGTCACAAACCCGAATTTCTTTGCATAAATTAGCACCGCTGTATGTACAGACAGTATTTCCATCTTCAGACATTGACAGTGCCTGGCCCTTGCCATTTCTCCATTTTGAAAGCTAGCTACGCACTGATTTGAATTTCCGTCAGATTAGAAGTGCAGGACTCGGAAGTTAGACCTCTTTGACACTGTAATATTTGGCCGTGACCACAATGAACGATCGTGGAGCAGTACGTTTGGAAATTTTCATTCAACCTTGTTTCGAACATCTTGTAGTCAGCTGCGTCGATACGCCGACAATAGGTTTCTCCTTGTACAGCAGAGACCACCTTCAGACCTCCGTTTCTCAAGTCTTTACAGACTTGGATTTTAGTGGCAGTCCAGCTGAACTGGAACTTGTTTTCCTATGTTTTCCTTGCATTCTCATGGTGCATCGGGCTCAAAAGTCGTGCTCAGTTAATTCAATACTCGTAGTCACAAACCCGAACTTTTTGCATGAATTAGCACCGCTGTATGTACAGACAGGATTTCCATCTTCAGACATTGACATGTCTCGCTATTGCGATTTCTCCATTATGCTAGCTTGTTCCGCATTGATTTGGATTTTGCGTCAGATTAGAAGTGTAGGAGTCGGAAGTCAGACATCTTTCACACTGTCGAATTTGGCCATGACCACAACCAACGGTCGTGGAGCAGTACGTTTCAAATTTTGACTCAACCTTGTTTCGATCATCTTGTAGTCAGATACGTTGATAATTCGACAATAGGTTTCCCATTGTACAGAAAAGACCACCTTCAGACCTCCGTTTCTCAAGTCTTTACAGGCTTGGACTTTAGTGGCAGTCCAGTTGAACTGGAACTTGTTTTTCATTGCGTTCTCATCCTGCCTCTCACACATTGAGTGTCTGGCCCTGCCTTTTTCCTCGTTGTGCAAGCTTGTTTCGCATTTTTTCATAGTCCAAGTCTCCACCGGATTTTTAATCACAGCCTTTTCGCATTAGCATATGTACAGAAAAGTTTTAATCGATCCGACGTTTTATCCACTTACCGTATTTTTCAACCAGATGAAACAGCACGTTACGATGATGATGGTTTGCGACAAAACGGCTTTCAAGTGGGGGGTCACCCGGTATCCGAGGTGTTTTGACCACCTGTGAACCTGTCGCTTTTTGCCTGCACTTGTGATTCTGACCTGGAGTCAGTACCGGATGTGCACCAAATTCGAGATTGTGTATCCGCGGGATCTGCCCGTCTCAGAATGAGTGGACTCAAAAACCCGGGCTCATCTAATTCGAATAATCCGTTGAAAGACGCACTGTTGAATATCTTCAACCTGACATATGTCAGATTAGAGATTGCGTCTCTGCGGGATCACTCCGACTCAGAATGAGGGGATTGAAAAGCCCGGCTCATTTAATTCAAAAATACACGTATCCGACCAGTTTGATTTCCAGTAGCTTGACGCAGCTGGGCGTCTTCTATGTACAGAAAAGGTTTTTCCAAACCTGACGTCGATCAAGCACTTAACCAGCGCAAGTAAATATTGCTGCTGTCCGTTTTGCCCCCGATATCTTCATGGACTTGCAATTTTGTCATTACATTTCTTGCCTCTATGTTGGCTCATTTTTGCAATGCTTTCCTGATTCGTTTCTCAGACTTTCGCCATGAAATCACTTTGGAGTTTGCGGGACCAGTTTTTTCAAGATCACCGTTGCTGAAAGCAACGGATGCTATGTTTTGGCGACATACGGCCTTTGTGTGTGGGGGCAACCCCTGTTCCGAAGGGCTTTCTTCACATGTCCAATTTTTAGTTTCAGTTCCCAATTTACAGGCAGGGGTCACTCCGACTCAGAATGAGTGGATTGAAAAGCCGGGCTCATTTAATTCGAAAATACACGTATCCACCAGTTTAATTTCCAGTAGCTTGACGCAGCTGGGTGCCTTATATGTACAGAAAGGTTTTTTCCCAACCTGACGTCGATCAAGCACTCAACCAGCGCAAGTAAGTATTGTTGCTGTCCGTTTTCTTCATGGACGTGCATTTTTGTCATTGCATTTTTCTCATTACATTTCTTGCCTCTATGTGGGCTCATTTTTGTAATGCCTTCCTGATTCGTTTCTCAGACTTTCGCCATGGAATCATTTTGAAGTTCGCGGGAACAGTTTTTTCAAGATCACAGTTGCTGAAAGCAACGGGTGATATATTTTCGCGACATACGGCCTTTGTGTGTGGGGGCAACCCCTGTTCCGAAGGGCTTTTATCACATGTCCAATTTTTAGTTACAGTTCCCAATTTACAAGCAGGGGCACACGGCATCCTTGACCCACCGTGTGCAACGAAGCTACGGTCTTGGATGGGATATCAGGGCTGATCACCCTGACGTACCTGCAGTTGGTCATGATGTTTTCTCATTATTCAAGCTTGTTGATGCATTTTCGGTTAGTCTTTTGTCATATGCATGAATAATTCGAGAAATCGGAGTCCGTTACGCATTTTTCAGTTTTTTCAGTTTTTACCAATTTCTGCGACTTTTGTCCAAAGTGGACAAAGACGGCCTTTCTGAACTCAGTTCAGATACCCTATCGGGAATCAAAAGACTCATAGACGAGATACGGTCTTTCAAGTGTGTTTTTGTTTTATGTACACATATTGACAAATCGAACATATGTCGATTTAAATCATCTACAATTGACTTGTAGTATGAAACAAGTGTTGGTTCTTTCTCAGTGAAATCATCCCTGGGTTTTCGAGGCGGTCTATGGCGGTCTGCGCAATGTCATCGATGCCTTCATGGTGCCATTTCTGCTGCCTCTCTTGGAATGTGCCCCCGAAGGCTCTCTGACGCGATCAGCACCACAGCTATGTCCGCCGGGGCGGGGGGGTGGCTTGGGTCAATGGGATGGTTTATGTGCTTTATCAATGGGTTTATCATTTTTTTATGTTTATACATGGGATTCATAATAATAATAATAATAATAAATATCATTATATAAATGCATATTACATTTAATTACATATATATATATATACATACATGCATATTCTATTTTATTTTATATATAATCTGTATAATATATATATAGCCATATATATATGTATATTATTATATTATATATATATATTAAAATGTATTAAATTATTTGTGTTATATGTATAATCAAATATAATTGTATTTGCATTTAAATAATTATATATGTCTACATGTATATATAAATTATGTGTATATTATGTATGTATAAATATATATATATATACGTATATTATATATGTACACGTATATATTTTTTATGGGGATATGACCGACAAGATTTTATTGGCATACCCAAGGCTGGTCATTCGACCCAATAGGTCCCTTTGCTTTTTACTCCAGAGGAACAGATGTTTGCTGGTTATATCATCCATTATCCTCTGGTAATTTAACAGTTTGCTATTGAAAATGGCCCATTTAAAATTGATTTACCCATCAAAATGGTGCTTTTCCATAGTTATGTTGGTTTACCAGAGGATATGGGGAATTCCCATTTGTTTGTACTATTCAACTTCCAATGCTTGCTGGTTGTGATTTATAGCCTCGATTCACAAAGATATCATCTTGATCAAGTCTCTGTTTCTTGGGGACCAGCGTGACCTGTTTGCTGCATCCATTCGCTGGTTCATCCCCATTGGAGATGCTGGAAAATCCCCAAGAGAAGCCCAATCAAACATGGCTGGCATGGCTGGGAGATCCCCCGGAAATATCGGTTAGTTCAACGTTAGTTCCTCTTAGCATCCCAGTTTGTGTGTTGGAGAATTGCCAACTCTGCTTGTAAAATGCAGCACAAATATGAGTTCCAACTCTTGTGGCTTGCCGGGTGCGAGTCGCAACCTCATTTTGTCGCTTTCTATAAAACTTCCTGGGGAAGTTCGAACTTCTGGAATTGAGCAAGGTTTGAAACCACTGTTGATTGATGATTGTAGGGGACTAGAGGGGTCTATACTTGGTTGATAAGCCTGGTGGTTCGGGGGCCAAAAGTGGCTTAATCCATCTATGGGTTATAGCTAAGGTTATCAACCACTTTCTAGGTGGGATGATCCTCGAAGTACTACTCAACATATTGGGAATGATCAAAATCACCACCCCAAATGAAATTCCAAGATTTTCTAGCAGGTTTATAGGGAATTTGGGTGACAACTATGGTAAAAACAGAAGATAATGATGGTAAATCTCGGTAAAGAAATGAAATGCATGGAAATTCAATGCCTCTCCAGTCATGTTTGGGGACTTGTTGCCAATATTTTTGGTGGTTTGCGGCAATTTGCCCCCCTAGTGGCCAGTCCATGCTCAGGCAGAGAATCAGGCGTGGGCGGTTTTTGCATCTGCCATTTGTATCTATTTTCTGATCATCATTTTATGGCTGCTGTTGTATCTGGGCTTCGATCTGTGTAAATCCCACGACAGGTGGTCTACTCCCGTTAGTGGTGTATAAATGTTTATATATTCCCAGTTATAAGTGGAGGAACCCCACGTATCCTACTTAATTATAAGATCTTATAAGTGGGATAAAAACCTAGTTACGAACTGGGGGCGAACCACCAAGCAAATCTGTGATGCTTTGTGAGCTGGTCAGTGTTTGTATCAAACACTAAGAGAGTTCGCCAAGAGCAAATCTTGCAGTTGTATTCTCTGGGTAAAGGTAAATGTTGGTAGGTCTACTTGGAAGTGCAGTTCCAGTTATAAGTGGATATATAACCCTAGTTTATAGGGGGTCAATTGGGGGTTTATAACCATGGTTATATCCTCAACTGCACCCCCTATGAAGGGATTATGATCCCATTGGGAATATTCAGGCGATTTGTTTCGAGCAACGGTAATGACATCGTTGGGTATGACTCACCCAAGTTGGAATGGACCGGGGATGATCTCTGTATCTGAAAATGGGGGATTGACCATTGTATTTTTTTGGGCATATTACTGTAATTATCTTATTTTAATTTTATAAACCGTATCATCAGAGAATCCCATGTTTTGGTCAATAGTTCAATATCATCATCCGTAAAACCGGATCACTGTATCGTGGTGATCATTGTGCCAATAATCAGTCTCAATGGTTCATGTCAACTGTCACTACTACCGGATCTTCATCTATACATGCCATCGCTTGATGGCATGGGAACCATTTTCGGGAGCCATGTCTTCATCAGGGCACGCCATAGTTGGGCATAGTATCTCTTGGATGCTTATTGTTTGGTTTAGATGCATTATCATTTTGTTTGTGACTGAGATTTATTATGCATCATTGTCCGGTACCAACCATTTCATTGTTATCCATTGCCAACCATTTAGCAACCGCTGACCTTAAGATTCAGGGATATCCGAGCAGGCAAGCTTCCTCTGCTTGTACGAAAGCCGTGATTCCTTCGGCTTAACATTTGGGTATTCCTGGATCTATTCATTTTGTGGCCCGTATGGGTGCTATATTTTTTGAGGGGGCTGGAATTAGCATTGAACGCATCTTAAAATCAGACTGCTGATTGTGACTTTGACACTGTCCACCTGGAAATCAATGAGATGTGGACATTTGAAACCGGCAAAATCTATGATATATATATATATGGGTACTGGGTAAAATCCGGGCCCCATGGGAAAGCATTTATTCATTGTACTTGTATGTTTGGGGGTTGAATTTATTTACCCAGTACCCGTGCATACCAAATACATTCTTAATCATAAATGTTTTCATCAATGGCAACCATCACATCTGAAGCAACAACCAACCAATGCCCAAACAATGTCAACACATTTCTGAACACATATCTGCTTTCTTCCAACACACTGAGAGGGTCCCTATTTCCCTTATTGCCCCTAAGGATGAGGCGCCAAAACCATGAGAGGGTCCCTATTTCCCCTATTTCCCTTATTGGTGCTAACCATGGTCAGCCAAGATGTTGCCAACAAGCAGGAAACTGTGAGAGAATCCCTATTTCCCCTATTGGCCCTAAGGGTGATGTGCCAAAACCATGAGAGGGTCCCTATTTCCTCTATTTCCCCTATTTTGAGGGTCCATGCTTTGACAAGATCAAGCGATGGATCCAAACAGATAGGGGAAATAGGGGAAATAGGGACCCTCTCATGGTTTTGGCACATCACCCTTAGGGCCAATAGGGGAAATAGGGATTCTCTCATAGTTTCCTGCTTGTTGGCAACATCTTGGCTGACCATGGTTACCACCAATAAGGGAAATAGGGGAAATAGGGACCCTCTCATGGTTTCAGCCACATAGGCGTTGGGGAAATAGGGGGAATAGGGACCTTCATGATTGCCTAACATTGTGGCCGCATATGTTTGTCAAAGATATGCAGAGACCATTGCTTATAAGCAAGTTGGGGTTCTTATAAGCATGTCCTGCTGACGCATCTCATCAACAAGTCTTTCTGCTTATATATATATATGTACTGATACTGCACATATGCGACAATGCGCTTGCATACTGGTTGAAACTATTCACCCACTAAAGCACAAATAATCCCTGAAACTTTTCATACAGTTTACAGATCAAAGAAGTAAGAACAAGAGTGAGTATTGATCAAAGGGATGGAGAAGGGATCCCTTTCTATATGAATGCATTCTGGGAACTGCTACTTCCGAGTCCCATGTGTTATGTCATAGCTGTTTTCTGTCCCATTTTTTAAACAGTCTTACCTCTTTTTGGGTGTTACTCGTCCTGTCACAAAAGATCATAAAAGCACAGCCAAGCAATTATGGTAACAGGGTACCTGGATTAGATATGCAGTGGCATGGCAAATTACTCTGAAATATATAGGAAAAATATTTTTGGAGAAAGTGTCAGTTGGAGCTGTCCTTGCCATGAGCCAACTCTTATGAGCAAAGTCAGTTGTAACCAAAGAGTCTTTATTGCAATCAATCCTGGAAGAATTCCATTTCATATGCACAGTACATGTGGAAAATATGTGTACGTACCATCCATATCATAGATGCATACAGTAGTACTACCAAAAAACATGCAAGTCCATCAATGTATATAGGAGGGCTATATATAGGGAGAGGGGTACCAAATATAGGCCTCATTTTTTCGTGTGTTTTAGTGGTTTTTCCCAATAAATGTTATCTTGTATAGATGAACCATGACAAGAGAAGAAGCACTGCCGAGCAGGTGTTGTACTTCTCCAAGAAGTATTTACTGTTTTTGGTTTGTTAATCCTTAGCTCTATTCTTGGTTGCTTGCTTTTTGTAGCTCTATTTTTTTTGATAGGTGGTCTTAGTGCATGAATGGCAAAGTTCTTTGCCTAACTACATCTTGAAACATAGAGATTCATTGTGTCAGTTGGTACTTCATGTATATATTAATGTATAGGTACCACCTAGGTATACAGCGATTGCAAAGACAGTATATATATATATATACATATACATAGCACTTTGTATTTGCATTGGTGGTTTTTGATATTGGACTGCCAGGTAGCCTTTTGGTTGACATCATAGTTCCAGTGGAACTCTTTTAGCAAATGAAAGTGCAAATTCCAATCTACTCTCCCTCCTCAAGTAGTTTTTTTTTGGCATACTTCATGGTAACTTGCTGCATCAATGCACAAGCAAGGCAGCTTTTCTATAGATACAGTTGTTTGTAGCTCTATTGTTTTTTGATAGGTGGTTTTAGTGCATGAATGGCAAAGTTCTTTGCCCAACTACATCTTGAAACATAGAGATTCATTGTGTCAGTTGGTACTTCATGTATATATTAATGTATAGGTACCACCTAGGAATACAGCTATTGCAAAGACAGTATATATATATACATATACATAGCACTTTGTATTTGCATTGGTGGTTTTTGGTATTGGACTGCCAGGTAGCCTTTTGGTTGACATCATAGTTCCAGTGGAACTCTTTTAGCAAATGAAAGTGCAAATTCCAATCTACTCTCCCTCCTCAAGTAGTTTTTTTTGGCATACTTCATGGTAACTTGCTGCATCAATGCACAAGCAAGGCAGCTTTTCTATAGATACAGTTGTTTGTTAAGGTTGCTTAAGTGTTTCCTTTACTTGGTCTTGTGCCCTTCTGGTTACCATGATGAACTTATACTGACATAGTTTAAGTTTTGCTCCACAGCCATGAGTACATTTATGGTAATAAAATGTCCCCAAGGGGCCCAGATTTTACCCCGATCCCATATATATATATGTATTTAATAAATACAATATATAATATATACAACTGCTTGCGGCATCTTACTGAATAAGTGCTAAAATCATACCGTAGATCATCTCAGCGAACAAGAGTTCTTACACCAGAAATCCAGTCTTGACAACTTGGGAACAGCGTCACTGGCAGCCTGGTATCACGTTAGTGTCATGCAGCAGTTCGGCCAGTAGAATTACAGACATGCGTGGTTCAGCTAGAAAAAAATGCGGCAAAAATTGTTATTTTTCATTCATCATTAGTGGCTTTGCTTGAAGAGTTCGGAAAGTTCTTTCAGAAACTGTCTCTGAGTTGCTTTTTGCAAACTTTGTCTCCACCATTAGTAACAACGATTCACCAAACGTGGATTGACCTTGGAAGTTTGGTTGTCTTTGTGCTTTCCTTTCGTTTGACTTGGAGGAACAAACATCCGGCTCTTCTAGTCAGCATCCAAACACTGAGTGGCTGCTTTGCTTGGCAATAACTTGGGGTATCCGTCGCTTTGAAACAGGTTCCCATGTAGTGAGCAAAGAAACGATAGGTTGCCACAAACAGCCCGAACTTTTCCGTTTCTTCGCCATAGCCCAAAGGGGCAGCCTGCTCCACCAAAATGCACAGTAGCACATACTCGTACCCTGTGACTGCAAGTCAACATGAAGTATACTGCAGCGTAGCACATACAGTAGCGGGTGCATGAAATATGTGTGCGAGTGCAAGAGAGGAGCATGAACAATGTGTGTGCAAGTGCAAGACACGGTTTTACAACGGAGTACGAAACCCATCAAAACCGAAAGGTCACGTATGTCAGCACATCCACATGAACTTTTTTGGCCCACCCCAACCCACCTCATCATGACCGAAAGATTAAGTATGTGAGCACACATAAATCGACGTGATTGGGCAAGAAGCAGCAAAATCCCGGTTTGCACCAGGCCGCACGCAACACTGTTGGCAACTATTTACCAACACCAATCCATTCGATTTCAAGTTGCCAATTTCACTATTTGAAAGGATTCAATCTCACTATTTCATACATTTTCATACTCTTTCTAAAGATTCAAGTATCATCGCGCGTCGTCGCCGCCTTTGTTTGAGGTATTGCTTGAATGCAGCCCGACGCGGTTTGCAGCGTGGTGGGATCTCCCTGAAAGCATGTTTGGTGGCTGCCAATCACTTGGTCCTTCCAAGCTTGTCGCCCGGAGTTGGAGATTCTGGCGGAGAATTGAACCAACGGAAATGGAGGTGTTGATGCTATAAAATCATATCATACAATTTATAAGCTACAGGGGATATCAACCAAACATAGTTGTTGAACCAGCTCCTAGATATGGATTGCTGTTGACCTTTTTTTTAAAGTTGCAATAGTCGAGACCTCTTATTAAGGTCGTGTTTGTTCGCGAGGTCGAGATGGGGAGGCGGGGAACAAGCACAGGACATTTATGCGCATTTTTTTGTTCCAGGTTACATTCGACTCGTAATTTGAATTTTTGATCGGTTCCTAATATGTTGTTGAATCATCTCAGAAAGTCATCGTCGTCATCATCATCATCAACAATTGTTCATCATTCATCATTCACCATTCACCATTCACCATTCACCATACATCATTCATCATTCATCATTCATCATCATCATCACCACCATCACGCACCAAAATTGGTGTGTTCGAACCTGGGGTGCCGTATGTGCGAGAAATTTCGAGGATGAATTATCATGTTTCTCATTGAAATTGCAATTTGAGAGACCGCCATGCTCACAGGGACCTAAAACTATCGAACCATACATGTGGACTAGGTTTGATGGTAAACATTTGAGCAAGGGATCAAAATGCAACAAGAGTATCCAGCTGACCCCTATGCGGGTATTTATGCGATCCAAAAAGAGCGCGATGCAGTTTGTACTGGGAGTTCTGCAGTAGCGAGCTTGCGAATAATGATTGGTGTTTCTCACATGAATAAAATACAATAAAATAACCTTTACAGCGACTGGCGGCTGTTTTGATTTGAGAACCACCGCTAAGAGGTGTGAAAATGATACACGCCACAATCAACTTTTGGGGGGGGGTATAATGTTGGTAAAACATAAACCAACCATATGAATTGATGGTTTATACCCCCCCGTATAGTAAACATGGGGATGGTGGATCCTAGTGATTTGTTTGGAGTCACCCAGTTTCCCCAGTTCATCCCCAAGGAAAATCCCCCAAGGAAATCAAGAGGAACTCTACAAGGTTGTGACACTCAGTGAACTGTTTGGTGCTTTTTGTTGGTGTACGTTGTTTCTATTTTTTTGCGATATATCTACCATGAACATCCATAAACCCAGGTTATTGGAGGTACAAACTTAGCCAACTATGAGGCATCATGTGGTAGAATGGTAGAAATCTAAGCAAACATATAGAAGTGTTTGTCTTTTTTGTTTGACCTGTTTTACATCTAATCCGCGGTGGTCAATCACGTTTTGTAGGATGTTCCAATAGCTTCAACTGACACTGCTCACTAGTTATTAGTGGGATGCTGTAGCGACATTATATTTGCATGATTGTTTGTGAAACCCTCGGTTTAATGATCCCTTTATATCTCCTGATTTAGACACTGCTCATTTGATGGATCGTTTTCCGATTATCACTGTCCTTTTTCCCCTTAAAAAAAACGAAACGGGTTGCTCCAACCTATCATGGGTAAATGGTATTATTTACCTAATTTACCCCCCAGACGGACCTAGAACCTATACTGGTGTTTGGAGCTACCACCAAAAAAATGCCATACTTTGAAGGTAAGCATCATGTATTTTTGGATAAAACCCGCCATTCCAATTCAGTGGGTTTAGTCATTGGACCAGCAGCCGAGAAAATTGGCACAGGGGTTACCCAGACCTGGTAATTTGACAGTTTCCTTTGAACATTGCCATTTGAGGGTTTCTTAAAATGGAGGATCCCCAAGTCACCATAGGTTTCAATACTAAACTGATCTAATGACTTGGATGATTTGGGGTACCCCCGATTTTAGGACACCTCCATTTAGTTTGTTGATTTACCGTTCGTAAATGTGGTGATGTTCCAGGTTGCAAACTGTAAACGTTTACCAGAGGGTATCCTACCTGATTCATTGCTGATAAGTTGAACCAGTCTCCTTCTCAACCAGGGATAACGGGTTAGTTAGATAAACCCTGCCCTAGTTTTCATTTTGTGGTTATTTTTTCCCAGGATATCCTTTGTATATTTTATCCTCGTTACTGTTTTGGTTTTATCCCTAAATAACTCCTACTAAACCATCTTCAACCATTTTAAACCACATAAACGTATATTGAAGCACATTAAGCCATTTTTACCCATTATTTAATATAGAAATAGATAAATGATGTTGAAATATAATGGAATATCGATATACCTTTATACCGCATGTTAAAACACTGCTTTCAAGACAGCTCTGAGGTTATACTGGACCCTCACAACGGCCCTGCATTGCACACGGGAGGGCAGCGATGCCTGCGACGAAGCTGTGGAGCTCAGGGATCCACACGTTGCGGCCATGGTCTTTGTGAGCCTTCTCTTTTTCTTGGAAGGTGCCATGGGTGGTGGAACGGGTGGAACTGGAAAGGGATCGGATAGAGTGGAATTCTGTCGAAGCGGGCACATCCATATGAAAAACAGTAGTATGGTCTCTTCGACTACCATTCTTCCATGCAGGTGTGTCTGAGGTATACTCCCCAAAATGCAAATTTCATGTGGAAATGATGATTAATCAGTAGATTTTTCACGGCGTGTTCCCCTATTTCTTTCAGACCAGCTGACTAAACCGAGCTGTCGATTTAATCAGTGGCTCGCAGGCTTTGCTGTTTGGGTATATCGGCATGACTTCTTTCAAGTGTCCCATCGCAGAGACTTTGGTTTGTTGTGCACCGGAGTCCATCGTCCATATTTGCTGCTTGGATCCGCTCTGGGAAATAGATCTGGGAATATTTGGTGGGAAAAACGGGCCAAAAGTGTCCATTTGGGGAAGAGTGATGTTCTACAAAAAAAAAAGTGTCGAACATATTCGAAGCATGTGTTTCCCGACATCTTTGTGTGGGGTTCTTGTTTTTGGTTCTGTATCCCGCCGTCCGTCCGCCTCCCGTCGTCCGACTTGCTCACACACAACTTGTCATCACACCACTTGCTCTGACATCCACCTTCACTTTGCGTGGTAGGCGTGGCCCTTCGTGACATCCACCTTCACTTTAGGTGGTCGGCGTGGCAGGCGTGGCACTTCGTGACATCCACCTTCACTTTGTGTGGCAGGCGTGGCACTTGACGACATCGATTGTTACTTTGCGTGGCAGGCGTGGCACTTATGGCACTGGGTTGGCTCTGGCGGCGCGCTTGGTCATCAGGTGGCGCCGTGGCGCCGCGGCGTTTTGCGTGGCAGGCGTGGCACTTCGTGACATCCACCGTCACTTTGCGTGGCAGGTGTGGCACTTCGTGACATCCACCTTCACTTTGCCTGTCGGCGTGGCACTTCGTGACATCCACCTTCACTTTGCGTGGCAGGCGTGGCACTTCGTGACATCCACCTTCACTTTGTGTGGCAGGCGTGGCACTTGACGACATCAATTGTTACTTTGCGTGGCAGGTGTGGCACTTATGGCACTGGGTTGGCTCTGGCGGTGCGCTTGGTCATCAGGTGGCGCCGTGGCGCCGCGGCGTTTTGCGTGGCAGGCGTGGCACTTTGTGACATCCACCTTCACTTTGCCTGGTCGGCGTGGCACTTCGTGACATCCACCTTCACTTTGCGTGGCAGGCGTGGCACTTCGTGACATCCACCTTCACTTTGTGTGGCAGTCGTGGCACTTGACGACATCGATTGTTACTTTGCGTGGCAGGCGTGGCACTTATGGCACTGGATTGGCTCTGGCCGCGCGCTTGGTCATCAGATGGCGCCGTGGCGCCGCGGCGTGTTGCGTGGCAGGCGTGGCACTTCGTGACATCCACCTTCACGGCGTGGCACTTCGTGACATCCACCTTCACTTTGTGTGGCAGGCGGCAGGCGTGGCACTTTATGGCACTGGGTTGGCTCTGGCGGCGCGCTTGGACATCAGGTGGCGCCGTGGCGCCGCGGCGTTTTGTGTCGCAGGCGTGGCACTTCGTGACATCCACCTTCACTTTGCCTGTCGGCGTGGCACTTCGTGACATCCACCTTCACTTTGCGTGGCAGGCGTGGCACTTCGTGACATCCACCTTCACTTTGTGTGGCAGCGTGGCACTTCGTGACATCCACTTTCACTTTGTGTGGCAGGCGCGGCACTTGGTGACATCCACCTGCACTTTGTGTGGCCGGCGTGGCACTTGGTCACATCCACCTTCAGTTGGCGTGGCACCTTCACTTTGCGTGGCAGGCGTGGCACTTGGTGACATCCACCTTCACTTTGCGTGGCAGGCGTGGAACTTGCCTTCACTTTGCGTGGCAGGCGTGGTACGCTGTCGCTTCGGTGCCAGGTGAAGACAGCTGGCAACGACGTTCCATTTTGATTCTACTTGTTGTCGCTTCGCTGCCAGGTGACGACAAGTGCTTTCTTTGCATCCGCTTTCATGGATGACATTTTCTTTCTTTCGCGTCCCTACGTATCGGTGGCAGATACCTTTTCATTCTTCCTTGGGAGTTTGTGTTGTACTGGGCTCAGCAGGTGCGCTGTTTGCTGTGCACAAACATTTGCTGTGGCACTTGCACTTTGGCACACGCTTTCGACGAGATGGTGGTACATGCTGCACCTGTAGACATTGGACACCAGGCAGTCAGACAGCAATGACACCACGGCCACCACACACAACATCACACTTAGAAAGCATGCAGTCACACACACACACACAACACACAACATGACACGACCGCTTGGAGCCAGCAAACATCACATCACATCTGAAAGCTTTAATATCATGTTCTGTGGAAAAAACGCGCATGCGGCTGATACATAGATACCTGCATACATATATATACCACACAACAGCTTATACTTCTCGAACCTTTTCACCACCTCCTTTGTCTTTCCTTCCTTCCCCGTCACAACTTCTGCTCGCACACACACACATCACACACAACTTATCACCACACAACGTACTCACACTTACTCTTCCACACACAACTTGCTCCACACCAATCCTGCACCATCTCTTTTCTCTTTCCTGCTTTCCCCATGCCATCTTTACCTTTCTTTTGCTGCTTGTTGGAAGAAGTTGATATGTGGGGTTATCCGGTCCTTTAATTTTTTTTCCGGGTTGGATGCCTGTCATTTTCAGAGCCTGTAGAGGTTTGGATGCCTTAAAACCATTTAACACCAAGGTTATGGCCTCTTTGGGAATTCCTCTATTTGTTGATGATGGCATCTCTGCTTTCGGCGTCGAACGCTCTGGAACTTCCCGTGGTCGCTGTCTTCTGGTTCATCGTGCTAGCAAATGCATTGAGTGCCACGGCATGATCCATTGACGAAGTTTGGACTGCAGCTGTTAGCGATTGGGTTACAGCCCCATAAAGAAGTGCAGGAAGTTCATGATATTGCATGGGTTACCCTCTGGTAAACCAACATATAACTATTGAAAATCATCACTTTTGGTAAATCAACGAAGTAACTGGGCCAAGTTTTCCATAGCAGATAGCTATGATTAGCTACTGTATGATTGTATGTTAAATTACCAGGGGGTAGATCCAAGCATCGTTCCCTGAAAGGCTTGAGTCAAGGCCGGCCGTGTGGCAGCAAAAAAATGGCTGTGGGGTATATACAATGATAGCAATTTCCTTGGAAGAATGATAGGTAAATTATAGTTGGCCAAGAGATTTATAGTAAAGTATTTATATGTAAATTATAGTTCAATAGGATGATTTAGGAGTATGGTGTTTGTTTTGTTGAGCTTTCCGGTTGAAGGAACCAGCCTTCCTGGCGTTTTCCGTACAGCTGCCACTGAAATGCTCATCCATAGGAACTGATACATGATGGGTTTGTTTGAACATGTTGATACCCTAGAAATCGATGGTTAATATTGGTTCATCTTATTTCTTAAAATGAAACCACTATTTGTGGGTATACTAGGAACACCACATTTTCAGGCAAAACTTATGTTTTGTGTCCAACAGAAGTGCTTCGATGATGCTTAGGAACCCAATTCTCGAATGGGGTGAATCCTTTCACGGATTTCCTCTGAGATATATTTTCAGTTTCGGCTTTTACTTGCAGTCCTCCCATTTCTTCATATTTTATGGTAGCCGGCCCAGCCCAGCATTGACAACTGGTGGACGCAGGTACGTGTTGCTCAGTATCGCCAGTTTTGTGGGTCAATGCCCCCCAGTAAGATCCACGTCATATCGATCCCTGTCATATCATAATCTGGGTAGAAGAACAAGAGAATTGACAACCGACACACTTGTCACCATACAACTTTTTTCTCGCCAAATCCCTAATTCTCTTGCTCGAACAAATCAAGCAGACAAGATTGTGTCTTTGGAAGTGCCATCACTTTATGAAATGCTGGATGGGCCCCTTTTGTAGCCATGGCAGTGCAGAATATGAAGGATAGAATCATAAACTATGGGACATGGGGCTTCCATGCCCAACATGTATCAGGTATCAAACCATGTCCCCAAGAAACATGCAGAAACCGAATCTTATCTTTCCATGTCATTATCTCCAGATCTCCAGGTGTCTTGATGCTTGCCATTGTCCATCCGTACTTATCGATGGTGGTGTTGCGCTACAAACAAAGCATTGCCAGAAGTATCTGCGTGCACCTCAGCCTTAAGAGATGACTAAAAGTTGGGTTTGCGCTGGGTTTACCCTCTGGTCATTTAACATAGATATGGAATGCTATAGATAGCTATGAAACATCCACCATTTGTACAATTTGTATCATTTTGTACATGATTTAGTTATGAGAAATGGGTGCCCAGTTCCATGCCGATGTGTGTTTGCTGGAGGGTACTCGTATTAGATCAACATATTGTCACATATTGTCTATAGCATGCTGGAAAACCATTGACCGTTCCTATGAATTAACTACATCGTTAACTGACTGATGAAACTTAGACACGGACTGCCTGCGATTTGAGAAATGGAAAAAGACCGTTGATTAGCAATCATGATCCTGATTGAGAAAACTTGGAGTATGATAATGCATGTTCATATATAAATCTGATTATATACAAGAAATAATCAATAACATACGATTATTAGTAAAGATTACTTAATAGTCTTTAGCGACCTTTTTTAGGGTTTATGTTTAATATGCTGAATATTGTCTTCCTGTGAACATACAAAAAGATGCGTTTATCTCCCACTATTATTTGGAGATCATTTTCCCAGGGTTTCACCATGGTTTTTCCACATCTTTTTGCGGAAGAACGAGCGCAGATTGATAAAGTGCTTGGTGCTCCAGTCCTCGAGAGGCCGACTGCAGTGCGGTTTTGGCGCCGTCGTTAAATGGACCCCAGCATAAAATGGCGATTTTAGTTTCTAATATTGGAGGCAGCGCGAATGAGTGGGACCACACCGAGAACGAATTTGCAGGCAGCGCGCCTATGCACATCTTCTGCGGCCAAAGGCTGTGTGACGGATGCAGAACCCTTGTCTTTTAGCATTCCATTTTTGAAACAATAAGGTTCAGAGATATGAGGTTTGCCCTTCAAATCCATGTTTTTGCAAAATTGGGACTGTCGGCTTCACCCTTAAAACCCGTTAAACCTCTCTAAATCACCATAAAATCCAGTCAAAAATCACCGTAGAATCCGTATTTTTGGTTGGTTCAATCACCACAAAATTACCCCGGGGTAATATGCTTAAGCTGGGAATTGAGCCTGATCCTTTTCGCTTGGCTCCGGATGCTGGTCTGGTTAGATGCCGCATATCAACATGTCTGGCAATAATGCATGGTGAAGAAAGGTTAGCAATGGCCCTGGCTGACAATGATATACATATAGACATAGATATATACAATGGTTAATACTGCATGAATAATGGTTAATAATAGTTAACAATGGTGGATAATGGTTAAGAATGGTTTCATATTGGAGGGGTGGGATTAATTGGTCAAATCCACAAGTTTTGCCCTGTTGAAAAATGTTGAATTGATATTGCTTTTTGCTTAACATGCCCAAGTTGGGTTGGATAAATCCATGCTTCTGGCTGCCAAAACTCCCACTGAACCCTTCAGTTCTTTGCCGCAACATGTTTCAACTATGCTCCATTTTGATGCTACATGATTCCCCTGTTGAATGCTTGACTGCTTGGACATTTTGTTAGTTGATCACAATCTCTATTGTTTGCTGGTTTATCCCCCAGTAGACTCCGTCAACGCTTGTGCATTTCCATAGATATGATATGTGCCCCGAATTTAGACAATCGCAAATGCATGAATCCAAAAATCGGGTCAAACTGGCAAATAGCATGCGTTGCCATGCATTTTGCATTATTTTGGTGCCAATTTTCTCTTCAAATGCACCAGCCATCTCTAGCATGATCGTCACTTTGTTTTTCCACTCAATTGCTCGTGCTTGGATTATCTTGGATTAGGCCAGCTTGATGCAAGTCGAGACGCATGGTATACAACAAGATATTACAAGCATTTCCGGTATTTCCCTAGAGTTTTTTAGAACTCGGGTGTTCTGAACACCGTGGTAAGAATGAGAGTGCTGCATCTGCATTTATATGTTTATTCGACGTTCAGAACTGGCAACCACACAGAGTTTACAACTGAATTGTTGTGAAGTGGACATACCCGACGGAAAAAAATCTTTCTTAGGTTTTACAAAACTGGGTATGCCATGCTATACCCCTATTCTGTTCATGGGATGATGTGAAATGACCTCCTTGCTGGTTGCTGATGGTTTATGGCATTGGGTTTACCACGCTACAACAAACACCAGCCTGAACAACTTTTTGAAACGTCCCGTGCCTTTTGAGTTTTCATTTCATGACAGCTGGCCAAATAATAATACCAATTGTGGTTCCTCAATTTTTCTTGGCCCCCGGTGGCTCACCCCAGGGATCGTACAAGCAGGATCCGTCCAGTAAATTCACTGGGGTTATGACCAAGCGTCTAACACGGTCAACGTTATGAGTCAACATTTATATATTTGATTCATAGCTGAGCTATATCATGTGAATTCATGTTATATCCCCTCTCATGACTAATAAGTAGTTATAGTTATAAACCAGTTATACGTGTCTGAAAAAGATTATACCCCCAAATCCATTAATTAAGCATGTTTCCTACCAGATTTTATAGCTATACATATCCCATTTATGTTTATACCCTAGACAAACTCAATGAAATCATCCAGTGATTCCAGAATCTATTTCGCAGCTATTTAATAGCTGCCAATGGCTATTCCAGGAGAATCATCACAGGTTTGTCATAGGCGTTTTTTCCAGTGATTCGCGGCCTGAGGTTGTCGATTCTCCTGTCCTCTAATTCGGTCTTCGTGGACGTGGACTTCTTTGCAGATCAGGACTTGGAGTTTCTGCGATGGCCACTCAGCCGATGCCGATGCCGAAACCTTCGGGACGAAACAGATACAATTGCACAAATGGTCCCAAAAAGAATTTATATATATATAATTATACATACTTATGCTATGTACATGTGTATATATATATATATGGTCTTGTGTTCCGTGTTCCTACCGCCCCCAATGGTATGGGTCCCCAGGTAGCACCCCGTTCCCTTCTATTTGCAAGCTATTGGCAGCATTTCTGAGGTCCAGCCTCGTATTTGCTAGGTTTTGCAGCGATTCTGACTACCAGCCTCGCATTTACTAGGTACATTGCTGCCTTTAAGACGACCTACATAGCACACATACTCCCTCCAAGTACCTACGTGCTACCTATAGTTATATTTTCATGTGCTATGTATGAACTTTCTATATATATATATATATTTGTATCTATATGATAGACACATACATATATATCCATATATATATACGCATATACATACACACACATACATATATATATATATACATATTTATATTCATTTATGTATATATATATTCACATCTACAAATATTCATGTACATATATTTTTAACACATACATACATTACATTACATACATACATATATACATCCATCCATCCAGCCATCCATGCATGCATGCATACATGCATACATACATACATACATACAAAACATACATAACATACCTAACATACCTAACATACATAACATACATAACATACATAACATACATACCATACATAACATACATACCATACATAACATACATAACAAACATAACATACCCAACATACCTAACATACATAACATACATAACATACATAACAAACATAACATACATAACATAGGCAACATACATAACATACATAACACACATAACGTACATAGCATACATAACACACATTACATACATAGCATACATACCATACATAACATACAAAACAAACATAACATACCCAACATACCTAACATACATAACATACATAACATACATAACATACATAACATACATAACATACATAGCAGACATAACATACATAACACACTTAACATACATAACAAACATAACATACATAACATAGGCAACATACATAACATATATAACACACATAACGTACATAGCATACATATCATACATAACATACATAACATACCTAACATACATAACATACCTAACATGCATAACATACATAACATACATAACATACATAACATACATAACATACATTCATACATTCATACATACATACAGACAGACATACATACATATTTACATACATACATACATACATACATATTTGCATATATATATATACATATATATATATATGTATTTGCATTTATATTTACATATATCTATATACATACATACATTTTGCACATATATTTATATTTAAACACATATTTACATACATATGTATATACATATATATATATACATACATATTTACATATATACAATGGTATATATAGATTCATATTTACATACATACATACATATTTGCATATATATATATAAATAAATATTTTGTATATACATACATATATAAATAAATATTTTGTATATACATACATTTTTACATACATAAATATACATATATAAATATATACATAAATATATATATGTACATTTATATATATTTACATATATATATACATTTTTTTTATATATATATACATATATATATACATCCCCACCACACCACAGGGAGGGAGGGGGACAGTACCACACCCTCACCACACCACATGGGGGGGATGGGGTTTGGAACGCTGGACCATGTTGCAGCGTAGAGGTTTCCCATTCCCAAGCAAATGTTGATGCAATTTCACAAACTTCCACTGGGAAAAACAACACAGGTACTAGTTAATATTAAACTCCCACCCCCGTTAAACCCTTAAATTCCTTTGGAAAAAAACAACAAAGGTACTAGGGAATATTAAGCTCCCACCCACGTTAAACTTTACATTCAATTGGGAAGATCAACAAAGGTACTAGGGAATATTATACTCCCACCACCGTTAAACTTTACATTCATTTGGGAAGATTAACAAAGGTACTAGGTAATATTAAACTCCCACCCCCGTTAAACTTCTACATTCATTGAATGATCTTCAATAAGGGTTTAATTCTCCCACCCCAATTAAACTTCTACATTCATCGAAGATCTTCAATAAGGGTTTAATTCCCCCACCCCCGTGAAACTTCTACATTCATCGAAGATCTTCAATAAGGGTTTAATTCTCCCACCCCCGCTAGAACTTCTACATTCATGGAAGATCTTCAATAAGGGTTTAATTCTCCCACCCCTGTTAAACTTTTACATTCACTGAAGATCTTCAGTAAGGGTTAAATTCTCCCACCCCTGTTAAACTTCTACATTCATTGAAGATCTTCAACAAGGGTTTAATTCTCCCACCACCGTTAAACTTCTACATTCATTGAAGATTTTCAATAAGGGTTTAATTCTCCCACCCCTGTTAAACTTCTACATGCATTGAAGATCTTCAATAGGGGTTTAATTCTTCGCATGATGATGATGATGATGATGCGTCGCCTGTCGTCATTGCGGGTCCGGGCAAAGCCCAGGCATTTGCCGTATATATAGTTTGATTACGTATGTATATACATACATATATATATAATGAACCACTTATGATAGCACTAGGATGCACAAGTATAGTTGATCCAGCCAATGGTTTGTACCTGGTGGTTCACGACCATTACCAGCTCCATCTCAAGGCTAGCGGGTCGATTTAAGTTCGGGTGTGTTGGGTATGATATATCATACACAGTATGTATTGTTACTGGTGATTTTTAAAACCAACAAACATCACTCTGACCCTGAAAATTGTTCAATTGGTCTTCCGCATAAAGTGGCTTGAGCTTTGGCTCCCGCTGCCTTTTAATGCCTCTGGCGCACATCGGGGTGCCACTTGTTAGGAAAGTACAACACGCAGCTGAGGATTGAACAACTTTTAATTGAGATTTTGTTGCTCTACCTCGTGGCAAAGGGTTTGTGGATTCTCTTCATGAACCGAGTCTTGGCTGGCGAATCTGCAACGGGGCGCCGGTTATCCAGCCCACGGTCATCCAAATATAACACGTCTTGACGTGTCCATCAATATCCCAGCTGCGTGCAAAATAGAGAACTAAATTCGGAATAAACCTGTATAGTTATATGATATACATTGATATACCGGTAATATATATATATATATAGGTATTTGTGTAAATATATATATATATATATACGTGCACATGCACATAGTTGCTTGGTACGGACCACATTTGGCTATTCAAGTCATGTGCCAGACGGCTAACCGAAATGTTGTTTTATCTGTTTCACTTCTTCGGACGGGGGTTCCCGATCTTGACACATTTGGTAAACTCAACTTGGAACCAACCGTAATATCACCGTTTTTATTGGTGGTTTCCGACCGTCCCCATTTATACTAGTTATTTATGGCAGCCAGGGTGAATCCTGCATTTTTCATCATTTTCCACTTGTCCATTCTTCATCCATTAGTGTTAGTTTTGCTCCTTTATTCACCATTAAACACCTATACCATTGACATTCTCTGACCATTATTCGGGGCATGGGATTACCAAATTATTCGGTAATTCCCATTATACCCCATTATGTTCTCGTTCTTGTTGGTTAAAAACCCTGAATAGCTTTGAATTTCCACTATGTTGTTGGCTAAGATTGAGTTTCACGTTTGCATTGCAATTCCGCTATATTGCTTGTTAAACGTCATTACAGTTCATTTTTATTGATGATTCAAGAAGGAAAACCTGTTTTTTTGTGTTGTGGTCAAACCATCTTAAATGTCGCCGAGGTGTAGTGATCCCGGTGACCATCATGCAGGACACCTTCTACCCATGGAAATCACTTCGATTGCTGGTGTCTTTTTTACGAAGACCGATTGGCCTCCACCGTCTCTTGGTGAGTTCTTGGTCGACTGGTGTGGTGAGTTCAAGCTGCTGGATGGCTCAGTTGCAACATGTTGTAATTTAGCCCAGTTATAGAAACATTGTAACGCTATGTAACGCTTAAGTAACGAGAAACTAACTAAGTAACCTTAAGTAGGGTTAGTTTTAGTGCCTAAGTGACTTAACCCTACTTGTAAACGGTTGTTTGGAACCTGACTAAGTAGGGTGAAGCACCAAGTATGACATGAACCGTTTCCCCCAGACCTCGTCCAAAACTTTAACCGGACATGTCCCCATTTCATCCAAGTCATTAGACCATCTTAGTATTGAAACCCATGCTGACTTGGGTATCCACCATTTTAATCCACCCCAAAATCTGTGGAAACATATACATTTATAGATTGTAAATTTCGTTCGGGTCCGTCCAAACTAAGGTGGAACACCCAAAAATCTCTGTAATAGGAACATACATGAATGTGATTTTCCTCTCCAAAAGTCGTGTGTTTGGCGTCACTCTGTTTATGTGAGCCTGTGTGACACTATCCTCACAACATGAGCTTTGGTCCAGAATTAAGAACGTAAAAGGCACAGATGTTTTTCTTGAATTTAATACCCCAGTTCGGCTAGATTGTTTGCCAAATTGTTGTACGTAGGTCGAAACATTTTTGGGGCCTGGGCCTGGGCCCCCTAGTTTTTGATAGCTTTGGGTGCAAGTTTCTACGTATTCCTGCATGTTTTGCGGGCTATACATGTAATAAATACCATCCCATTTTTGGTCGCAGTATTACGTGTGTATGTTGCGTATTGTTGCGTCATGTGTATGGTGTGTATGTATAATGCGACATGTAATATATAACATCAGTTATTTGCCGATGACCATGTTTGGTGGTGAAACTTTTGTTCTTGTCAAATATATTTCATGCATGTTAGTCCGTGTTCTTCCACCTATAATATATATATATATATATTTATATTTATATTTGCATCAAAATGATCCCAAGGATGGACAAACATATGTTTAAGACGTGTGGTTCAACCTCCCAACAGAGGTGTTCATACCGACCCACCAAGAGTGGATGGGGAACCATGCTAGTGGGGTCTTTCTCCAAATGTCGAGAAGAACCCATCCTCCAAATGTGATGCTCTTGGTAGGTTTTTAGAGGGTTAGCCAGGACAACCCATATAAAGACCACGTAAAAATGCCCACTTCTGATGGTTGAAGTTCATGACAAATATGCAATATGCATATGTAAATATGTATATATAATTGTACTTTTTTCCACGTGTTGATTGAATGCTACACAGGTCCCATGTATCTATCAACCAAGCACTTTTGATTATATGCATCGACTTGCCCCAAACCGTGCCCCGAAGGTGCTAGCGTACTAAAGCGCCACGGCTACATCGAATTCCATACGCAAACATGGTCCAAATCCGAAAAGACGCCGGGTTTAAAAAGGACTCTGGGAGAGGTTCATCAGCGAGAAATTAGGACATCTCACTATCAAGAATATTACTTTGACAATTTGAAGCAAGGACCATGTTTTTTTTGACAACATCCGTGGGTTTAGTATCAAAACTCAGGATTCGGTCATTGAACATGTGGTTTTCAATATAGGATTTGAGGGTTAACTATCCAAACGTAGATTTCACTATCGAACATGTGACACCGCGAACCTGTGAAGATGCTGATCCCCAGTAGTACGTAGGTTCATGGCAGCCAGGGTTGCCAACATTACACGCATTGGATCTGAATGGTGGCTATTTAAACAAATATAGCTGGGGGGACATAACTTTACACCGTAGGCTGCCCATAAGCTCCATCGAGGTGAGGCCCCGAAACGATAACTTCACCCATGACTTGGTTATCTCAGTTTTTTTGGGGATATAACGAACTAGTGAAATTGGGTTTGCAAACATCTGCCTGAGGAGCCACACATTGTAGTGAATCAATGTGTTGAATCAGTTGAAGTAGCAGGATACAAACACATATCCCCCAGATCCTGTTCACTTGCTGGGCGCCTGAGTCCCGCAGTTCCAAACGGCTGGAGAAACCATGTAGGTTCCTAAGGACATGGATTGATCACCCTGCAATGTGGGCAAATCAATCTGCCTAACTAAATCATATTAAGCTGGTACAATTATTACCCCACATATATATATATATATTTGTTAAATTTTGCGAAGTTCCTAATTTTGGTTGGTTAAATCCACTATCATATCCATAGGTTAATCCAACTTTTGATTCTAGTTGGTACCAGGTAGTGCCCGGCCCGCGCCGGGGTGGAAGTTTCGAAAAAAATGAAATGGCTATAAGAAATCAATGGTCTTCTATAGGAAAGTTTTTGCGATGCAGAAGCAATGTAATCCTGAAGTTGGTACCTGGGCCTTCCAACTCCTAAAAAATATCAATCGTTTTGCACAATCAGGCGTTTCATCAAATTTATGGTCGTATCGAGCGTTTCCCGAAAAAGTTAGGCGTGGTATGGCTGTGTTTCCCATCGGCATGGCCCTGTCTTCTCACCAATATTTTGCTCTCAAAATATGGAGCCGCACATCCAAGTTGGTTTCTGTTTAATTGCGCGCTCCCAAAATTATACAAATTTACTAGATTCTTGGATTTGCGGGCGTTTGCGGGTTTTTGCGGGCGTTTTGCGGATTTGTGCGGTCGTTTTGCGGGTAATGTTGGGCGCAGTTATGTGCATTTATATGCGTTGGTGCTCGGGATATGAGAATGGCCTGGTATGTCTTTGGGACGCAGCCAGGATGTAAGCCATGTTCAGTCATAATTATTCAAAATGTCAATTGTGGTGATAGTGTGGCCACTAGGAAGCAAAACCAGGCAAACTAGTAGAATTGGACGAGATTCTGAAACTGGGTCATTTTAGGTCATACTCCAAACTACCAAAAATAATTGATCGAAGGAATGTTCAGGTAAGTTGAGAGGTGCATCAACGAATAAGCAAACGGTTGATGAGATGACACTGACATGACATGAAAGAATCCATGCATATAATCACGGAGTCAACGAATCAATGAAGCAACAAACCAACAAAGCAATGAGTCAGTGAATCACGGAATCAATGAATAAATGAAACAATGGTTCAACAGTTCAATTATAAGACTGATTTTCAGATTGAATCAATGAATTAAAGGGTCAGTGGTTCAACGACGCAATGAGTCAATGAGTCAATAAATCAGCGAATCAACGAATCAGTGAACCAATGAATCACAAATGGTTCACCGATTCAGCGGGCCAGTGAATTGACGAATCAATGAAACGCTGAATCAAGGAATCCATGAGTCGAATCAATGAGTCATCAACGATTCATCAATGATTCAATGAAATGATGAAACAACGATTTGCTGAATCAACGAAGCACTGAACCAAGGGATCAATGAATCAATGAATAAACGATTCAATGAGTCAATGGCTCAGTGAGTTCAGTGGATCAACGAATCAATGAATGAATGAACCAATGGTTCAACGATTCAGTGAGTCAATGAATCAGTGAATCAACGATTCAATGAATCAGTGAATCAATGAACCAAGGAACCAATGAATCAAGCCAACATCATCTACCAAAAGCGCTCCGATCCCCTGCGTTTTCTTTGGCGATTTTGAAGTGCAAATCAAAACTCTCGCTATAGTGTGGTGCACATTTTGCGACCTGATCTGCCAAAAGTGATCCGAACATGCCATTTTTTTTTGCAATTTTTAAGCGCAAATCAAGCTCTCGCTACAGTCTCTTGCGCATTTTGTTAGTTTAATCTTCAAAAAGTGCTCCGATCCCGTCAGTTTATTTTTTTTCGATTTTGAAATGCAAACCGAGTTGTAGCTAGAGTCTGATACACATGTTGCTGACCTCATATTCTTATAAGATTCTTACTGCTACAGTCTGAGACCATCAAAAATTATTATTTTTTCATTTTTTTTCATGTTCATTTTCATTTCCATTTTCATTTTCATTATCATTTCCATTATCGTTTTTTTTCATTTTATCTTCATTTTTTCATTTTTGTTCATCACCTTTTGCCATCAAACTTCATTTTTTTTCATTTGCAACTTCATTTTTTCATTTGCAACTTCATTTTTTTTCATTTACAACTTCATTTTTTTTCATTTCCTTTGTTTTTGATGGTTTTCCATTGTTTTTCATTGTTTTTCATGGCTTTCCTGGATTTCAGGTGCCACGGGCAAGGAAAATGAAAAAAAAATGAAAAAAAATGAAAAAAATGAAAAAACATGAAAATTTCCTCGAGTTTTTGAAGATTTCCTGGTTCGGAGTGAGAATCTGCAACTTTGAGTCCAAATTTTCATTTTTTTTTCATTTGCAACTTCATTTTTTTTTCATTTTCCTTTGTTTTTGATGGTTTTCCATTGTTTTTCATTGTTTTTCATGGTTTTCCTGGATTTCAGGTGCCACGGGAAAGGAAAATGAAAAAAAAATGAGAAAAAAAAATGAAAATTTCCTCGAGTTTTTGAAGATTTCCTGTTTCGGAGTGAGAATCTGCAACTTTGAGTCCAAATTTTCATTTTTTTTTCATTTGCAACTTCATTTTTTTTTCATTTTCCTTTGTTTTTGATGGTTTTCCATTGTTTTTCATTGTTTTTCATGGTTTTCCTGGATTTCAGGTGCCACGGGAAAGGAAAATGAAAAAACAATGAAAAAAAAATGAAAATTTCCTCGTTTTTGAAGATTTCCTGGTTCGGAGTGAGAATCTGCAACTTTGAGTCCAATTTTCATTTTTTTTTTCATTTGCAACTTCATTTTTTTTCATTTTCCTTTGTTTTTGATGGTTTTCCATTGTTTTTCATTGTTTTTCATGGTTTTCCTGGATTTCAGGTGCCACGGGAAAGGAAAATGAAAAAAAAATGAACAAAAAATGAAAAAAAATGAAAAAAAATGAAAATTTCCTCGAGTTTTTGAAGATTTCCTGGTTCGGAGTGAGAATCTGCAACTTTGAGTCCAAATTTTCATTTTTTTTCATTTGCAACTTCATTTTTTTTTCATTTTCCTCTGTTTTTGATGGTTTTCCATTGTTTTTCATGGTTTTCCTGGATTTCAGGTGCCACGGGAAAGGAACATGAAAAAAAATGATAAAAAAATGAAGTTTAAAATGAAAAAAATGAAGTGTGAAATGAAAAAAAATGATGTTTGAAATGAAAAAAATGAAGTTTGGAGAAACAAAAAACGAAAAAAAAATGAAAAGAAAATGAAAAATAAATGAAAAATAAATGAAAACAAAAAAATGATTGAAAAACAAAATGAAAAAAAAATGAAGTTACAAATGAAAACCCAAATGAAAAATAAATGAAAAAAAATAATTTTAAACATTTCCAATCTGTGGCTCGATGCGAATCATATAATCATATTCCAAAAGTGCTCCGAACGTGAACGTGACAGGTGTCACCAAAATAAATAAGTACCCTAGATCAGCTGGGTTTAGATCAGAAGACTTTGTGAACCCCCATGCGCATAAATAAACTCAAAATAACTTAAAAACGCATTAAAAAACACTTTTTCATATATTTAAGCATGTTATCCCATTAAAACGCATGTTTTTATCATTTTTTTTATTTTTATATCATTCTATATCATTTTTTATTTGGTTGGGATACAGGTAAATTGGTGGATTATATATTATCTGAGGGACATGTGATACCAAACGTGTTATTTCTGGTGATTTTTTTGAGTTCATTAATCACATCTTTATATTTTCGGTGTTGTGTGCATTGCTGGTAGGTAACCTTAATAAATAATCTAAAATGTCTCTGTTTATACTTCCATCTTTTCCACCCGTTCCTGATATATAAATAAAGCGTCTTGCCTGTCTTATATAATCCCGATGGGCTTCTGTATGCATTTGTCAATCCGTGTCTGTCTTCTGTTGCTTTTGTGTTGGCTATGTTCCTTTCTTCTTTATACAGTGTTGTATTTTGTCTGAATTGCTCATTAAGATTTCTTGCAAAGTTGTTCATCTTCTCATCTAAGTCTCTTTGTTTCTTGTCCGTGTCGTTCATCAACTCTTCTTTTCCTTGACGCATTAATTCTTCAAATGCTACTCTACCTATTCTTTTTGCGAATATATAATCTCATCTCTTCTCTTGTTAATACATGTTCTATTGCTTCCCCTCCCATAATTCTCTGAACAACCTCTCTCCCAAACTGCCTTCCCACCTGTCTCAATGCATTAGTCATTGCTATTCTTCCAACTCCTGCTACAACTCCAATCATTTATTTTTATATTAATGTTTGATAAAAATCATTTCTAAGAATAGATCTAATCACGAGTCATGAGTAATAGATAAACATATAAAACTATTTTTGTAGATAGTAAGTATCGCAATGCTCAATCAAAATCTTCATCTGACTTTTCAGTGGAGTTAAACGAAAACTCAGAAACACCAGAGGAAACAAAACTCTATGTAACTGATAT